CTCACATGCGATGACTAAACAAACGTAATAAACAATTGCCAGCCCGACGTATTCGGATGATTGGTATGTAGGAAAGTAAATTGCCAAGAATGCAATCCAAGGTGTGTGAGTCATCTGGTCTTCTCCCACATCATCGTACGGCTTCTCCTGTTCCTGCGTGCTTTTGACGTCAGATAAAATCGAGTTGATTGCCGGATTCTTGACCGCTTTCTACTTCTCTCCGCGTGGATTGATACTTCGGGGAATTGGAAATTGTGATTCATCCCGATGAATCCTCTCGGTACTTGAGGAAGTGTAATGTTTTCATTTTGTTAGTCATCGATAAAAGTTTCATGTTAAAAGAAAGTCGCGCCGACAAAAGGTGAAGGCCTAGGGCAGGTAAAGTGATAATCGTAATCATTGTTCAATATTTACCAAAATTTAATTTTATCTTCTTCAAAGTATGTTCACACTTTGTATAGATATAATATGTGATTATTTATAGTATGATTAGTACCTAGTTAGGTCTGAGACAGTTGAAATGGTTGAACTCTACGCGATTTCCAGCGACAATTATCGAATTATGCTCAATTGCCATGAATGAACGCTGAAGTGAACGCAAGTCTATGTTGATGTTAATGTTGATCATGCGATTGTAGTGGTCGGGTTAATTCTGTACAGTTGTAAGAAGAATAATGGTCGATTACCACCGACAAACGCTAACTGCAAGTTGTAACTTCCATCATACAATTACTACCAGTGAGAAACAGTCGCAAATTGTCATTGGGATAATAATTATCTTGTTATCAAACTGTATTCTCATTCTTTAATTAATAGATTATAAAATTAATCTTATTTTGGGAGATAATTACAATTTGGTTAGAATTTTTAAATTTTTAAATTAATTTGATTTTGGGTAAAACTTATTCGTTATTAAGACAATAGTTCAGGATAAATTAGTTAATTTCGATTTATCTTTAATTCTACTCTTCTCCAAATTAAAATTAAAAGTATTCTTTTCATCGCCATCGAAACAATCACCAGCCATTTCAACGAAAGTCTGGTTTACTTAAATTTAAGTAATCTCTCACTCTTAATGAGCGTACGGTACGCGGTGCATAAAATATGTGTTAATGTGCGGTAAGAACGCACACGCATTGTTCGCTAGAATTCGTTAGGACGGCAGTTACACAATAAATAAGTGTAACACGAATTCGTCATGTCCGCGCAGCGAATTCGTTGAATGCTAAGCACGCTCTACTCGTACCTACTCAAAACTGTAAACCGCTGAATTGCAACTTTAACTTCAACTTGACTTAAGCAGTTTAACAGACAATGCACAACTCCAGACATAATTCATAAACTCTTTACTTTTCATGAATAGAATTTTAAAATGAGTGTTAATGTGAGATTTTCTACCGTAAGCGACTTAGAGATTATTAAAATCTGTGCTTTGCTTACTCAGCCAAGCGCTTGTTAGTATTTTCATGCTGAATGAGCGCGAAATGAAAAAATGACTTCATAAATATGCATACACTTTTGATTAAGCGAAACTTTAACATTACTTAAGTAAGTGACTTAGTCTACAGTCTACATAATGTTTTTCCGCACTGTAAGCATTTTCAAAATAACTGCGGTAATATCACCTACTTACTTAAGTCGCCTTAGTACTGCAAAACCGACAAATCGCAACATTGCTTTGGTTTTTGACCGATAAGGCAAAGGATTATTGATTTAAATATTATTTGTATTAAATATTTACAGTATAAGAATTCCCATAATAATTCAAACATTTTTTAGATTAAATTTTTTCATTGGTGTTATCAACCTCAAGTCATATGTAAATATTAATAAATAATTCCAAACTAAAAATAAAACTGATGATAAATCGCTACCGAAATTAGATTTACGTATATTAGATGTATTTTATATTTGTAAATATAAATGTTGTTTGTTTTTCGTCCATTTTAATAGCTTTTGTTCGAAGTATGGCGGCCAATGGCAGTTTCGTGATTCGTAACGAATCGTACGGTTTGTCACGGATCACCGTAAACTTCACACTCGCTCAGCGCGCGCGCGCTATAAATAAACAATGAGCACCTCTTTTTCGCTCCGCTGTTGAAATGGTAAAGTTCATCCGGTTCTTTCGCTGTTTCGACAACGGCAGCAGCCACCGCTGTTGGTGATTTATGCCGCATTAATATTAATCGCCGTCCATGTCGAACTCTCGAATACTTTTGTGCCTTCGCGGCCGAGACAAAACCAAAAACCAAATCAAATCTCAAAGAAGCATGAGGACTGTATTGAGAAATAAACCTAAGAAGCTCCGCGCAGCGACAAAACGACCGACACCCGTCGTAGATGTTAAGTCAAGAAAGGCGCGTGTTAGTTTAAGTGCGGTATGGTGGTTTATTATCGGTTAAGGCGACGGTTTTAGTTTAGCTTTTAAATTTTTTAATGGACTTTGACTTTCTGGGCGTTTGGAATCATATCTTCAATAGCTTGGGAGGCTCGTTGAACATGCATGTGTTCTTTGGCTCAAGTGGCGCACGTTTATCATGTGACGCAAAGACTTAAGACACATCATAAGTCACATGCATGTATTATACCGTATTAGGAATGTGATTAATGTTGATTTTCTTTGAGAATTTCAAATATTTTTTGTTTTCTAGTCTGCGAAACAGCTAAAAATATTTTTTTTGGGGAAATTTGAAATTTTTTGATAAAAATTTGATAAAAACTTAAATAACATGTGAATTTTGAGACATTTTACTTTCGTTGAAATAATTTAACTTCTCTATGAAGTTTAGGTTTGTTTCGTGCACTATGGGTAAACAAGATGGCGTCTCTAGTACCGTTGCACCTTCCACAAAAGAAGAAAGAATAGAGTACTGTGTGAGCATTGAGAACAAAGTCTGTGCACAAAGCACAAAGACGTATTGTAGTCGCCGTGCAGACCCAGAAAGGAACAATCACAAGTAAAAGCCAGCCAAGTCTAACAAAGTCGCACGTCATTTGTTTAAGCTGCTATCGCCGGCGATGTGTTAAATGTTGTTAATTGAAGCACGTGCGCATTACAGCCACTGTAGACCGTGATTCATACGAGTACTTAGCTTAGCAAACTCTGAGTCACAAGAGAATAATATATAGGTTATAAATTTTAAAGTTTTGGAAATTTCTTGGAAAACAATTTAAATATTTTAAATGTAATATGCGTTTGCCATGTTTAATTACAGTGTCGGGCAATCGCGACCTGCGACTCGTTGGGCGAGTTGTAAATGACTTAAGTCACGCATGGATAACAACCCTTGTCGTGTCGTGAACGCCAGCGGGCAAAAAATTACACCCAACTGAACCAGGTTAACTCAAGCGAGGCAAGTGGACTTAAGTCAAAACAAATTTGACGACGTTGTTGTAACTGATGTAAATGTAAATTCGGACGTTGTGTATATTTGGTGGAGGTATATACAGATTACAATTGTCTCCTGCTTTATGTTGATACGTTCGTATTGCAATGTATGCAACGTGAGTTAAAAAGCGGTTAAGGTTGTTTTCCTCCTGAGGAACAATGGACGGCACTGTTACTGTTTCGATTTCAGCATATCGTGGGAGCGTACACGCGCAAATGACTTAACAAGTTTAAGTATAATAATATACAGTGCGTTAAGAACTTTTATTTTATCCATTTTCTGATTACCAACAAGCATTTTTCTTTCGAATATAAGAGAAATAAGAAAAAAATAATTTAAATATTTAAGTTTCTATAACTTTTCGAAAAAATCACCGATTAGGATAATTTTCACCTAAATTTTGGTGATAGAAGGGGCCGGCTAAGAGTACGGCACGTACTTAATACTGCAAGTTTTATAAGTGCAAAGTATTAATTTCATAGTGCAAAGCATTTTATTCAAGTGGAATTCATTTTTCAAAGTGCAAATATTTATTTTTAAGTTCAGTTCTGTATTTTTAAGTGCAAACATTAATTATAAGTGCATTTCATGAATTGACAAGTTAAAAATCGAAAAAATAAAGTTTGTTTAATTACATGCCAAAAAAAAATAGCACTGTTAAAAGACAGCACAGCACACAATACACATCAAACGAGTACCGATCGAGAACTATACTCAACGGCATTCGACGACATTACCAACATTCCTCTGGCGTGAATCACGCGCTTTGTGCAATCTGCAGTTAACATTTTACTTGACTTAAAACTTGACTCAACTTAATCGTTACAGCACAGTTGCGTAACAAAATACTGCACAAAGCGTTAATAATATCTATCATTGGATACTTCTAGAATTACATTTTTCTGAGAAATAAATAAAAAACATGCGATTGATAACATTCTATGGTCTATGTTATCAATCAATTGTTTAAAGCTCGGATAAATTATATCTGGGTGTTTGATGCACGCGTTTGTTTTATGTTTTTTATGTGTGTTACAATAAAAAATGAATACATATCCGGTCGGAACGCATTCAATGGCAATGGCGAGTAGATGCAGACCGGAGGTGAGCCATTAGACGCACAGCTCGACATTGCAACGATCCAAACAAAAAAGCGTCGTGATCATGAGTGCTTTTTACATTCACACCACCGGCGATGATCCGGCTTTAATAATTCTATCCTGACTTTCATTCCTATTCATATTAATACTTCTAGAGATAATATATTTCCTGTCAAATGCACTACAAACCATTTATTAAGATAAATTATTGCAGAATATTTATTATTAGCTTTTATTCAAAAAAAGTTTAAAAGAGAATTGCTAATTATGCACTTTAACTTAATTTCCGATTAAATTAATCACAATTTTTAATATTTTAATAGCTATTCTGCTATTCAGAATGAAAACAAATCCAATAAATCATAAATCATCAAAATCTATCCACGCGTTCTTGAGTTATACACGTTCTAACTAACGCAACCTCATTTTATAATTATCTATTGATGTTCTTATCAATTTAATTGATTTTTTAAAGAAAATCCCGCTAAATTTGCATTTTATATCATTCCAGGTAATAATATGGAGGAAGATGTGCCCTACGCAAGATTAAAACAAGCCCCCCGAATGGGCAACACACACAAACCCACTTTTATCCACTGTACGCAATACGCTCCCTCGATAAAAGAGCAACAACCTAAGGGTGAGCACGTAATCACAGTGGAGGCGACAGACGAGGATTCTCTCGAAGAAGGCGGCCGTATTACCTACTCCATCAACAGACGCGATGGTGATCGCATGTACTTCAAAATAGACAACACCACCGGGCGCATCACCACAAACTACGAGTTTGACCGCGACGAGCCCAACCGGGTGAAAGAGATCTACATCACGGTGCAGGCCACCGACAACGGCCGCCCCGCTCTTACAGATATCTGCACCTTTAAGGTCATCATCACAGACATCAACGACAACACGCCCAGTTTTGATCAGGTGGACTACAACGAGAAGGTCTCTGAAGACCTGCCCAAAGGTGCTGAAGTGATGAGAGTTGTAGCGTATGATATTGACGATGGAGACAATGCAAAACTCACCTATGAGATCAAAAATGACTTCAGCGAGAGCGGCAATGAGTTCAACAAGTACTTCCAGATTGATAGCGAATCAGGGGTGTTAACACTCAAAGAACTCTTGAATAAAAAGGAAGGAACTGTTTTTCAATCGTATGTTGTAGTCAGAGATAACCCGATTGATCCTCATGAAAGAAAGGAACATCAAGCACAAATTAAGATTACTGTCGTTGGTTCCGATAAGAAACCACCATCTTTTCTTCAATACCCACAGTCTAAGACTATGATCAACGAGAACTTCAACAGTTTCAATTCTCCTGTGGTCATTTTGGATGCAGTGTCTAACATTGACGACACCTCGGTACTCTTTGAACTTGTTCGAGGGTTAACCACTCAAACAAACAAGGATTACACTTTTCAATTGGAGCAGCAGGATACAAAAGCTTATATTAAAGTTGCGAGAACACTGGACTATGAAACCGTAACCGATTATCAGTTGACTGTAAGATGTACTAACAAAGACTCCTGGTCTGTGATTAGAACGATTGATATTGGTATCGTGGACGTAAATGACGAAATCCCCAATTTCATCGAATTCTTCAGAGGTAGTGTCTTGGAAAATGAAGACCCCGGCGCAGAGGTAATGCAGGTACGTGCCGTTGATAAAGATGGCACCTCCGCCAACAATATTGTATCCTACGAACTTGTTGACCACAAAGACTTATTCGAAATCAATCCGAACACTGGTAAAGTAATCACGAAAGTAAGTTTTGATCGTGAGAAGCAAAGTGTTTACGATGTCAACATCATGGCGAAAGACAATTCACCTTCGGCGTTAACCGGAAAACCCTTCAATTCCGCATCGCAAACATTTAGGATCACCATCGAGGATATCAACGACAATAAACCGCGTTTTGTGCATTCACATTACGTCGCCGAGAAGATTCCCGAAAATTCTGATATAGGGAAGGATGTAATTGAGGTTAAGGCAGAAGATGAAGACACTGCATCATTGATTCATTATAAAATCATCGACGGTAACATTGGCGATGTTTTCATGATCATGAACACCACTGGTCGAATCAAAGTACATAAAAAACTGGACTTTGAGAAGATAGAGAATTATAATCTGACTGTGGAGGCCAACGATGGTGTTTCTGCAGATACCGCTGTGGTGTACATTGAAATTTTGAACGTGAATGATGAATTACCAGAGTTCTATCCCTACGATGGTAATATCACGATACCGGAAGAAGTGGTGCCGACCGAGTGCATCATTGAGTTAAGAGCGTATGATCCTGACATCAAGGATAAGGAGGCTGATCAAAAAATTGTTTATAGAGTTATCAAAAACAATGACTTTTTAACCGTTGATGAATATGGTTGCGTGAAACTAGCCAGGCCTTTGGACAGAGATCGTCCCAATGGATACCCTGTATATCAGGGATACATCTACGCGCATGACGATGGCGATGGTCCAAATTCCAACTCGCGAGCTGCTGAAATCTTCATTGAATTGAAAGATATCAACGACAATGCTCCGTTTTTGAATGTCACAGAAGTGGTGTGGTATGAAAATAGGTCACCTGGTATAATAACGCAGTTGCAAGCTGATGATTACGATAGTCCCATCAATGGACCACCATTCTCCTTTCAAATTGCATCGGATGCCGGCGAGGAAATCAAGCGTTTGTTTTCCGTTGATCCAGTAGAAAAAGTAATACGAGCCAATGAGATGTTTGATCGTGAGGAACGCAAGTATTATAATGTCCGGATTGAGATCACCGACAGCGGTACTCCATCTCTAACAGGCATAGGAGTCTTGAAGGTCATCATCGGGGATGAAAATGATAACGCAGCGCAAGATGGCGAGAGTAATATCTTCGTTTACAACTTCATGGGCAACTCTCCCAATATGGTTATCGGGCGTGTGTTTGTAGAGGATCCCGATGATTGGGATCTGGATGATAAGAACTTCCGATGGCATCATCAGGATAACCAATTTGATCTAAACACTGAAAACGGAGAGATTACGTTATTACACGGTGCACCCGAAGGTATTTATAACCTAGAGTTTATTGTTACCGAACAACATCCGCCATTGATCATTGATAACGTGGTCAAAGCCAAAGTAACTGTAACAGTTAAAGAGTTACCTGAAGAAGCTGTCCTGAAATCTGGATCTATCCGAATGACAAAGTGTTCCGCAGAGGAGTTCATCACTAAAGATGGTGTTGCTATGAGCAAAAAGGATATCCTTCAAAAACACCTCTCTGAGGTATTAAACACCAGCGTTGATAATGTAGATGTAATTACAGTAATACCCACGCCTAATAACGATTCAACAATTGATGTGAGATTTGCTGCGCATGGTTCACCATACTATGAAGCAGAGAAGTTGAACTATCGTGTAGCGAACAGTTCAGTTGATCTGGAGAGGAAACTCGGGGTGGATTTTGTTATGATTGATATCAACGAGTGTTATGAGGAAACATGCCCTGAGAATTGTTACAATAACCTTGCAGTTCACCAGGAACCAGCGGTTATCTTAACAAATCGCACATCGTTCGTAGGTGTGCGAGCATTGGTTGAACCCGTGTGTGGGTTGAGACCCACTCCAATCACATGTCTAAATGGTGGGATTTTACTGGAAGACACTGTGTGTTCATGTTCCGATGGGTTTGATGGACCTAGGTGTGAGATTCTTGGTATTGGTTTCTCTGGCAACGGATGGGCTATGTATGATAATTTCGATGCGACGCTCAGGACTGAGATTAGTTTAGAATTGACAACGCAACAGGAGAATGGGCTTGTGTTCTATGAGGGACCACAGTTTCCTCATCCACCATCACTAACATCAGGTATTATATTAATTTTAAATCGAGTTTATTGAGTTAATATAATATTATTTTCTAATAGATTTCATTTCTTTGGAGTTGAAAAACGGTTACCCTCGATTACTCCTTAGTTATGGAGGTCCTGAGGTTACGGAAGTGGTGTTGGACTTTAAAAAACTCAACGATGATATGAACCATAACATCAGAATTAATTTACAACCTAAGGTATGCTTAGAAATCGATTTAATTTAACATGAAGGTGTTAATGTGTGTGTTTATCGTTTTGTAGGAAATTTTATTGTCGGTGGACGATTGTCACAAGAGCAGTTGTCAAGTGCTGAAAGCACCAAAGGGTGAAGCTCGCTTCCTGAATGTTAATGGTCCCCTGCAGGTGGGCGGTATTGCTGGCAATATTAAACAAATTGCGACCGTTGCTGGTTGGACGCATGTGCCTACCCACTACGGATTCAGCGGATGCATTCGCAATCTTACCTTCAACGGGCAGGTGTGGAATTTGGGCCAGCCGGGTGAAGCCATCAATGGGTCCCCCAACTGTTTGTACAGTGTGGCGCGCGCTGTCTCCTTCCGCATTGACTCAAACTTTTTGGTCGCCATCTTGGTTTGCATCGCTATACTGATAAGTAAGTTAATAGCAATAAATTGTACAAAAAATTGTTTATTAATATCCGTTTTGTATAGTTCTTCTGTTAGCCGTGGTGGTTCACCGTAGAAAACATGATAACTGGCCTGATAAGGACAATGATGATATTCGAGAGACAATTATTTCTTATGAGGACGAAGGCGGCGGCGAAGTGGATACTGGTTTTGATATGAGTGTACTGCGTCGTGTGCAGGACGAAGAGTACGCTACCAAAGAGCCGATCAAGATGCCTGAGGTACCTGATATCTCCGGGTTTCTCGGACACAAGAAAGACAACTGCGATCGCGATCAGAACAGCTATCCATTTGACGATGTACGTTATTACGCGTATGAAGGCGGCGGTGACAGCAACAGCCAAGGATCACTTTCGTCACTTGCTTCATGTAAGTTTTACAATCTGCAACATGATTTCAGTGATTCATTGATATTCTCCTTTCGCAGGTACTGATGATGGTGATTTGAAATTCAACTACCTGTCAAGTTTCGGCCCGCGCTTCCGGAAACTAGCGGATATGTACGGTGAGGATCCCAGCGACGAGGATAGCCAAGATGGCGGCGAGGAGTCGTGGTGTTAACTCACAAACCGCTCACAGTCACGGTACTTAACTTAAAACCATCAAACTGTGCACACCACGTGCATATCTAAATGAAAACTAACCTAGCTTGAAGCAAAAGTTAGGTTAATCGATAGCTGTCTGGTCTTGACAGTAATATTTGACAGGCGATTGTCAAAACAATGACACCCTTAAGCGTCAAAGCCATCTATCGCTCAAATGTTCGTAACAAAAGCACGTTTTTCTTTTCGAAACAAAAACAACCAAAGAATATCGACCACACCACCTTTAACACGTCTTAATAACGATTTAAACGCGGCCCACGAGCCGAGATAGAGACTGAAAATTCGAACACACGCCATTTATAAACAAATGTTGTTTTCTTGATAATTTATGTTAGTTTATGATTACGATGATGAATTCGATGAGTATTTTGTTGCAACGAACGCGCAACTATGTAGAACGTAATTTATAACATATTATAAACATTCCTACTACGATTATTACTACGAAATATTGTAGTAAGTGCTCTTATATACAATTGTTGACAATTGCAAGTGATAGTGCCTTTTTGAATTAATTTAGCAGCAACAATCAAAAGAAACGAAACAGTGTACGAGTGAAAATATTTTGTTTAGTATTTATTTTTTTCTGAACGGATCAATCATTTTTTTATCACTTATGATTAATTAATTAGTTTTATTTTGATAACTAGTTTAATGTAATAATTAAAGTAGCGTATTACAACCTAAGCCTAACCTAGATATTGATAGCTAAGAAGATAAAAGTTACTTGTGATCATTTTGTGCTAAAGTTAATCAAGCAGCTATTTAAAATTATATTCGATCTCTATTATAAGCAAGATATAACGCGTGAATTGTGTGTATTTTTATATGAAAACTTTATAAGCATAATAATTTAATGATCAATCTTATAGGTGTAAACGTTGAATACGTAAGTTGGTTGCAAACTTACTTATCTATTCAATGGTGCAAGATGGGGTATGAGAAACTGTTAAAAGGTGCATTCTGATAGGGGAGGAGTGGGTGCAATCGTTACTAATGCAATGTATATAGAAGTATGAGAATTACACACTGCCTTAAATAAAATTTCATAAAATTTGAATTCAGTTTAGTTCAGTTCACGTGAGATTAACTTCTTTGTATGCTATTTTTGAATCTGTCTGGTTTGTAATGTGTATGTTGGGTTGCCTAGGTTAGGAGAGTGTAGGTATTTAATTTTTAAATTTTCAATGTAAATTTAAACGTCGAATATGTACATAAACGAGAACAAATAATAAAGATAAGTACAGCGAAATAAATCAACACTGCACTGCGTTAATTTGTTGAATATTTTTTAAAGACTTTGGGTGACATGCAAGCAACTCGATATACACGGCGCTGTATGTAAGGTGGCCAAGCATGAAAGCGCGCAAGGGGGAAAATTCCACTGAAAACAACGACATCGCGACTAATATTGTAGCTTTGTCAGGGCTGGATACGGTGCAAAATAGTGAAAATCGTCGGACTGATAACAGAAAGCGTGGGCGCTTGCTGAGGCAACGCAACGCGCGTGTGTTTACGTAGCGATAAGACTCCGCTACAGACGTAAATTCGTTGTTTTCGGGTCGTTTGAGAGCGTTTGTTTGTTAGTAAAACAAAAGCAGAGCGCGTAACAAGCAGCAGCGTAAGGTAAAGGAAGGAGTGCAGCACGAGTGCATCAGTGGCCACAGCACATTGCTAAGGAAAACAGGTAGTCGTGACGTCAGGAACATTTGGGTGTTGAGCGGAAGAGGCTGACTCTGGACAAAGAGAATAAATTACGAGTTGCATTGGGCGCATTGGAGCAGGTAAGCGTCGCGCCGTCGTAGCCTCAGCTGATGTCGGTGTGGTTGTGCCCGCGAGCGTCGAACCTCAGCGGTCGCGCGCGGTCGGGCATCGTCGCTCAGCGCCGAGGCGCACGCAGCGGTGGCAGCGCAGCCCCCAGCGGCCAGTCAGCTCCAAGCGGCCTCGCGTCGTGTGCGTCCCCTGCGAGTGCGTGTGCGCCGTGTGCGCGACCGATGAAGAGATGCGTATAAAGATGGCCGCGCCGAAATAACCGCACGTCTTTGTTCTGTCGCGCGACGCGCCCGATTGCGGATGCTCTCGGCGACATGTCCAGCGCCACGGCTGCCGCCGCCGCCGCCAACCCCGGCCCGATGAAGATGCCGTTGTCGCGCAGCACATTCATCCTGCTCTCGACGCCGCCACCGCCACACGCGCATCCATACGAAAACGGCAAGCCGCCGCCACCGACGGCCAAAGAACCACCGCCACCAGGCATGCTTCCTGAGCTGCCGAACGCGTGGGGCCGCCCAGCCGCTAAGATGCCCTCGCCGCCCACAAATGCCGCCGCCGCCAACGGCACGCCGCAGCACCATCCCCAGCAGCCGCCCTCGCAACAGCAGTCGCCCGCGCAGCAGGCCTCGCCGGCGCCGCTCGCCAACCGCAAGACCATGGTCGCCACTCCCGAACAGGTGATGAAAATGTACAAGAACAAGCTCACGCCGTATGAGCACCGCGAGATCTACAACTACCCGGCCATCTACTTCATTGGGGCCAACGCAAAGAAGCGTCCTGGTATTATTGGTAAGTACATATTATTTTTTATGTCATCTGATCAGTGATTATGATCAGGTTGCTGGCTTGAGGTTTAATAACCTCAACAAAAGGAGGAAGCCAGGTAGCTGGTGCTGATGGCCAGAATCAAGTTCAAGTTTAGGAAATTCTCACTCTTACCTTAAATAAACGCACATCGCGCACGTTGCGCAAAACGTGCGAGGCCACCGATTCTCGGAATCAAATTCAACAAATTGTGCACAAGTTTCATTTGTTAGATACTTGTTGGTTTTTGTTTTTGTACGCCATCTTGTTGTGTTGACATTGTGACACCCACAGTACATAAAGGGCTCAGAAACAGACTTAAACTTAATTAATCCTAAGAAAACTACATGAAATTAGATAATATTTTTATTATATTTAATAACCTAATTGCATTTTTTTGTTTTATACAAAATTTTCTTATTTATCTTATGATTTGTTTTGATTGCGGATGAAAAATTGAATAGCTGCATTTGTTTAATCGGTTTTTAGCACTTAGCATTCTAGACCGCTAACAAGTGTAATAATCGTGCATACACCGTGTGTGTGTGGTCGGCAGCACTTGCGGATCGTCGATTGCTTTACGTCCCAAATATCGCACAAAAAAAGTGGCACTCGCGAGACGGCTGGTCGGCGTGAACACACGGCGCTTCGTTCTAATTAAATCCGCGCCGCGGCAATTAAATTAATCAGCGCCGCTGACGCCTACCACTTTTGCACGGCAATTAGTGCGCGAAAAACTAAGCGAAACGCTGTGGGTTGCCACGAATGTCATCGCAAATCACTTAAATCATACGATCTAATCACTCCGACATCCTAACCTAAAAAATGTTCATATTTGTTGTAAAAACAATAAATTCCTAGCTTGCGTTATCACAAGTTTCACTGAATAAGTGAGCGTGGATTTATTATTCATTGCATATTACGCTATTAAGAAGTATCTTATCAAAAAGGTTGTGGTTATGTGGTTATTATATTCTTGAATTAAAATTAATGCACTTTTAGTTGTAAAATACAAATTGGTGTTGTTTAGATTGTTTACTTTTAATATTTAAATTTTAATTTGAGATATTAACTTTTGATATAATTCATAGTTTATGAAATGACAAACAAAACAAACTAATTTTCTCGTATATATTTTAGGCGACCCATACAATTGCGATTACGACAATGACCAAGGCTCATACATTCATATCCCGCACGACCACGTAGCATACCGTTACGAGGTGCTGAAGGTAATCGGCAAGGGCAGCTTTGGGCAAGTGGTAAAGGCATACGACCACAAGTGTCACGTGCACGTGGCTCTTAAAATGGTGCGCAACGAGAAGCGTTTCCATCGACAGGCGCAGGAAGAAGTGCGCATCCTCGAGCACCTACGAAAGAAAGATAAGGACAACGGCATGAATATCATCCACATGCTCGACTCGTTCACATTTCGTAATCACATGTGCATCACGTTTGAGCTGCTCTACATCAACCTCTACGAGTTGATCAAGAAGAACAAGTTTCAGGGCTTCAGTATTCAGCTGGTGCGAAAGTTCTGCCACTCGCTGCTGCAGTGCTTGGATGCGCTGCACAGCTACAAGATAATTCACTGCGACATGAAGCCAGAGAATGTGCTGCTCAAGCAGCAGGGTCGCAGTGGCCTCAAGGTAACACAACTTGGAGTTATTAATATCCTTTGGTTAGAGAGAGATTGATTTGGTATTTGGCGAGCGCACGCGGATTGACGGCACGTGTCGACGTGTGCGGATTCGCGCACGTTTTTGTTTTGATTCCCCCGCTGTCAATAACACTTGTTTCATGTGCACACACACACCTTGACATTGATGTTCCAAACAAAAACTTTGTTATTTCTTTTTTAGGTTATTGATTTTGGTTCGTCGTGTTACGAAGACCAAAGAGTCTACACCTATATCCAGTCACGATTCTACCGTGCACCGGAAGTGATATTAGGCGCCAGATACGGTATGCCTATCGACATGTGGTCGCTGGGCTGCATACTTGCTGAACTCCTCACGGGATTCCCACTTTTACCCGGTGAGGACGAGGCTGATCAGCTTGCCTGCATCATGGAACTGCTGGGAATGCCCCCGCAACGCTTGCTGCGTCAATCAAAACGCGCTAAAAATTTTATCTCCTCCAAAGGCTACCCGCGTTACTGCACCGCCTCCTTTCACGTGGACGGCACGGCGATCCTCACCGGTGGTTTATCACGGCGAGGAAAGCCGCGCGGTCCACCAGGCTCAAAAGAGCTCAAGCGAGCTCTCAAAGGGTGCGATGATCCGCTTTTCATCGACTTTATTCGGCGGTGTCTTGAATGGGATCCCGAATTGCGGATGACGCCACACGCGGCGCTGAGGCATGCGTGGTTGCGACGCCGTTTGCCGCGACCACCCGACGACGATTCCGCCAAGACGGCCGTCACGTCCGGCCCGGGCGGTGTGCGGACGCCGGTGAGCTCCACAGTGCGCGTGCAGCTGAGCGACGAACGCTCCGCAACTCTGCATTCACAGCACAGCAACCACTCCGGTAAGCTGCCGCCGATTTCATAGCCATGACACGGCCGCCGGAGCCGCCCGAGCAGCCGTCGCAGCCGCCACCCACTACTCCGATATGTGATTATTTTAGATTAGTCCGCGCGGACGCAGACGCACCACTCAAGACACTTTCTCACACCTCCACCCCATTTACCCCGACCGAGTTTAGTTAATTGTTGTAATGTTTTTAGTTAGTAGTTTTCGATGCAGACGCGCGCAGAACTGAACAATGCCGACGACGTCGTTTTAATTAGTTTTTACTAGGACTAGTATTAACATACTTAAAATCTCTTGAATCTTGATTAAATTATTAGGAACAAAGAGCGACAAAACACTTCTTATGAAGAGCTCGCACTCATCTTTAAACACCCACACACACACACACATTACTAATCTTTGCCAAACAGGTGTTCAGACTGCAGACTTAAATCTTATCTTCAGACGATACTTACTAATGTAATGTAGATGTATGTACTGCGATGCATAATCACTCGCCAATACACACACACACACAACAGACACATACACGCAGCAAACTAAGAAGTTTGAACGCCGATTGATCTCAATGTCGCTAGCGAATTACGAACTACGAATCCAACTAAGTCACTTATCTCCTTGTTGCATATCTTATAAGTTAGTGTTGATTGTCATTGCTCAAGATGTGTTTTAAGTTTATGAATTTCACGAAGCATTTACGAACCCCGCAAATGCCACATATCTTGTACGCTGTATATTGGTGTAGTCGTGTTTCTTCCTCTTGGAGTTCAGGGTATGCATACACACGCGCTTTTGAAACATTTTCGGTCACCGCCATTTTCGGTCAACGCATACAACGACTCTCGACACTCTTCGACTTGCAATCATTTGTGTTTCAATTCGCGTCGCGACGCCACAAACAATTGAGTGATCTTCGAGAACGAGAACAATTAGAGACGGCCTTAAACTGTATCACACTCACATTCTATACACACACTTCACGAATTTGTTGTTCGTGAATTCATCATCCGTAGTGCGTGCGTGCGTTCACACTGTGTTCAAATCTTTTCAAACATTTCATTTCTTGTATTTGTAGCGTCATGTGGTCACATGTCTCTTTTTAAGATTAAGTATTATTTAAAATACTCACGCAGCGCCAAAAAAACGATACTTTTTTTTACACGAAAGACTTACGTTGCTCTTGCCACACGCATTGTGTTTGACTTAACTTAATCGAAAAACATTAGAGCGTATCAATTAGTAGCTGCATGAATGCAAACTATGTAGTAATGTGACTAACTAAATGTAAACCTATTTTACATCGTCAGCCGCGCATCGTGGAAACAATTGACAGCTGACTCTTCTACCTAATAAAAATTAGACTATCATCGTTTACAGATCGGAACACTAGTTGTCGATTAGATGTACACATGTAATGACACACTCACACACACACACACACACTGAATCGTTGATGATGTAAAATAGAGAGCGATTTGTAAACTAATTTGTAACCGAGCGCCGCGACAGGAATTTTACCGCAAGCAACGCGCGAAAACACACGCCACACAAAGCTCGTAAATTATTTGTAAAATATGTAATTTGTACAATGTGTGTTTGTGACACTCGAATAATGATCGCGGAAGATTCAGCGACAAAACAGAAAACAAACAAAAAACAAACTATTAGTTATGAAAAGTGATAAGACAAAGAAATAAAGAATTAATGTATGTTATTGTATTTAAGATGAAAACAAACGCGCAAAAAAATATTTCAAACATGTCGACGCTTCGATTTTGTACGAAAACGACGAACGCTATCGGCGAACAAGAGAAATTCAATTCGGGGTAATATCGATCTGAGGCAAGATCTGAGGAAGACAGATAATTGTATTGATTGTACTTTTAACGATATATGAAAATTTTATTATGTAAACGATATAATTGAGCGATGTGAACGCACATTTGGCAGAAAACTGATCACCAACTTCATGAATTTAATTTTTTTGACGTTTGTGATCATTTGAGAGCTGAATGTGCGAGTGATGTGAATGTAGCATGCGTTGCGAAGTTTATTTCGATGCGGAGAGATGCGATTAACTACATTTTTGATAGTGCCTATAGTGTTTGTTAGTTTCCGAGGCTAATTTGCACTGGAATTTTCTTGTACATACCTTACGATGACATAAATGTAACTGTAAGATTTCTATTTCTAAGCAAAGATGACGAGCAAAACAAAATGTCAACAATTAGAAAACGCTAATGACGAGCATGTGAAGAGTGAAGGCATGGTAATTGTAATTGTACTACGATGCTTTTAGTTGACCAATTCTCATTGTTTTTATTGATGGAAAGGAATTTAATATGATGATGACGATAAGAAATTTATAAACGACCACTAATTGAAAATCATTTGTTTTTATACAAATCGATGAAGATTCTTCTTCTTTTTTTACATTTTGTCGCAAATCAAGCTTTAAACGTTTATATAATTTCCTTTCACATTCAAACAAATTTAAGTTGGTTTTCTGTTCCGTCTTTTGCGTGGCTCTTTGGTTTTGAAATGTTCGAGCAGCACTGATTTAATTATTGTGTAATTGACGATGATGTTACGATGCTGCCTTGTGATTACGACTAGTTTTTATTTTTAAACGCGGTTCGAATTCGTTCTTTATTCTCTGTATCGTTTAGTTGATTAATTTAGTGATTTAGTATGAATTATGTTAACGATGGGAAGGCGCCTACGACAATTTGAATCCAGTGCAATAATGCAGCACGATTTTGACGCGGTGGGCGCGCGTTCCGGGTGAAAGCACACGAATAGTGGAGCAGGAGAAAGGATCTCAGGAGGATCCGCGAATCAAAAGTCGTGTGCGACGATTTTTGCAATTTGTAAATTGAAAATAAACGACTTAACAAATATATACCAGAATGGTTGTAATATATATTCATATAATTTATTCCATTTTACGGTTCGGGTTGCAACCAGTAAAAATTCGCAATCATTATTATTGCAATCATCTTGCTTATCTTTTGCATATACAACAACGAAACATTCAACAACAGAATTATTGCGATGATGAAACACAGTTCGCAAATGTTAAGTAAACATTTAGGGCAATGTTGCTATGGTCATTAATCATATTCGACAATCGTAATCTTTTCATTCGCGTTTTTATTGCTGAGATTAGTCTAGCGTGTTATCAGCCGGACCTTCCATTGGCCGGCGCCGTCTCACACCCATTCGCAGCCCACAAAAATGTTCATCATTGTCGCCTGATATGACTTACATGATAAACAAAGTATCAGTATATGAAGTGTTCGCTCACATTTAACACACACGAAGCATTTCTTTGGAATGAAAATATACGCCATCTACGTCTACCTGCCACGTCTTGTGCGCGTTTCCAGTTAGTTCAAATATATATCTTCTTAACAAAAATATATATTCCATAGTTAAACAATAAAAAATACATATTTCTCTATCGTCTCCAACACGCCTGCAGAATGAGAACCGCTAAGTACAAAAGTTTAAGTTCTCTCGTGCTGACGCATTGCAATTCCCTATAAATAAATTTAATTTAAAATTGATGGGGTGTGCATACGCGGGGTTAGTTGTTGTTGGTGAATTTCTCATAAACGAGCATGACTAGACATATGTTAGGTGTGACGTGCAGCAGGTAGGGCGCCAGGCCCTTGTAGAAACCGCGCGTGCCTTCATAGCGCCACGTGCGCCGCACGCAGTCCCACGTGCCGTCGTACGAATGGTGCTGATCCTGCAGGCGTGCACGTATTACTTGATAGGGGTAGGTGGATGCTGCCGCCACTAGTTTCGACATTGCAGCGAAGGTTAAATACTCCATTGTCGTCTAAACGATAAATTAAAACAAATGACATGCTTATTTATTAATTTCTAGTTGTTTAATACATACCAATTTGTTGTCAAACGGCAGGGAGCGATACTGATTATAAAACGCTTTCATTTCTTCATACGTCATGAATTGTAGAGCTCCGTGTGTCACTCCAAACATACCAGGGATGAATCCCTAAAAACCAAGGTATAATTTAATGTGTTTTTAATAAGTTTTGGTTTTATTTACCCTGTAATATCCCCTCACTCCTTCCTCCTGGTATATCTTCACCAAAGCGTCCACCATGCCCTTGTAGTAGGTGTGTTTCGTGCCGGTTACCTTGAGATCTGATTCGTATTGAAGACATAGACGCGTCTTAACCACCCAGATGGGATTGGTGACGAGCAATGTGAGTACGCCCGCTTCGGCGGCGGTGAGCATGTGCAGCTTGGCCCCCAGCGGCTGGTCGGCATCGTCCGCCTGGATCCAATTCTTGATCGCGTTGTAGCTACGAAAACACACAACGCCGGTCGTTTTTTGTTTGCCCACACATAGTGCGTTTGCTTTTTGCTTGTCTCGCCAGCCACGACGTTCAACAATCATTCAACTTACAATAGAAAGTAACAGCCCCACCCGCTGCCGGAGCCCCAAACGTTCGGCGCTACGCCTCGGTAGAGGCCACGCACACCCTCCTTCTTGACGATCGTGTAAAACGCACCCGTTAGGCTGCTGTACTGCGGCACGGCCGATCTGCCATCACTGACTGTAACCCAATATACAAATTATAACCAATCGTAACTAAAAATTTAAACTATTCACTTACCGGCAAATCGAATCTTCATCAGATCCAAAGGGTGGAGAATTAGTGTTGAGATGGCACCGCCCGAAATGCCAGCGAGGAGATGCTCGTACCTGACATGACTGAGCAGTCCAAGCCCTTGATTGAGCTGGTTGGGCGATTTTTTTGTCGAGTTCTTCATGTTGTTGCTGCTGCTGCTGATGCGATGATGCTCTTCGACCAATTCCACTACATACTAACAGAGAAAAATACAAATTGGCTTTATCTGTAACAAAATGAAACGAAAATCAACAACACAACACACAGAAACATGAAACAAGACTACATAACAACATGATCATAAAACATATTGATGAGATGACTCAATTTATGTTTTTGCCGCGAGGATGTCGCGGTTATTAACTAATTACTATGCCACACAACGTGCGACAATATTGATTCAAGTAAGCATCGATTTTATATTATGAATATTATGTTACTTGGGTTTTCCATTCATCAAACCTTGACATGGTTGATACAAAATTAAATACCAAGTAAATTATAAGAGAATAATCATATTGCGCGCTGTTCTCTAATATTAAATCAATTACTAGAACATTTATAAGTTTAATAATTTAATAAGCCAGTGCAGTATCGCTTTATATCTGTATATTTTAATAATACATTTGAACAGCGATATTAACTTGGCAATGAGCAGGAGGAGTTGCATGACGAATGCTGCGTTTCTAAGAATAGTGAAAGTTTGTTTGCCTCTGGTTTGCCGTCGGTGCGCAGTCTGGGTTGCATATCGCAAATATCACCGTAAAACAAAGGCTCCGTTGTTTCAATTTTACTTTCCTTTTATAACAATTCCAATCCTCGTGCAAATATGCGCTTGGCAGGCGAATATTGAAAAGCGGCTATTTTGGGCGTCACGAGTTTTTGCACACCGACACACGCCACAACAAAATCGCACGATTATCGCCAAAAAATCCTTTAGTGCGTTCTGGTAAATTTAGCAACTATTTCGAGCGATAGATAGGGGAGCGCTGGGAGGCGCGGGTATGCCCGGAAACAAAAGCAAATCGCGCGAAACATCGTGCGCTTACAGTGTTTGCAGGTTATGTAACGCACCAAGTCGCTGGACAGGTGCAGGCAGCAATTTGAAAGCAAGCGAGGTGGAAAACGTGAAAATTAACGACTTACGTCAGTGTCGCGGTCCCATGGCGAGCGCGAGCTCTCCCAAAGGTGTCCCCCCCGAGTGGCGGTGGTGTCGTGTGCGAGAGAGAATATGATCCGTATGAGCCGCGAAATGGACGTGGGTAACAACTGGTGGTGAGAGCGTGGTGAGCGTATCGCTTTACGATATAATTACAGGTACGACGGGCACCACTTGGTCCACTGGCATCGCTCCACCGACGTTCACCTGATGCACCTGAAGAGCACTGCCGATGTTCGATTGTCTCGCTGCTTGTTGATCGGTAGTCGACAAGACAGTCGCGCTAATATTCGAGTGCACGGCTACTAACGCGCGTGATTACTGCGACTTGGGATGACTGCGAAGCGCGAAGTCTAGAAGTCTACCGTCTGTCCGAATAATAAGCACCGCTAGCAGCCAACGTTCGAACGTTCGCTGCGGAATTCACACCGAGTGGGAATTTACTTGTCGATGATTGGCGAATAAATGGGGCTCGACTTCGGATGATGAAACCGGGACTACTACGCAACTGCTCGTGATGTTGTAGGCAACCCATTTGACCTTCGACCAACATACAACCTTAGATAAACGAATGTACAGCGTGCCCTTAGTAACTCACGTAAAACATTGGATACAGAATGAACATTGGAACACGCAAGTTCATTTCAAAGCACTCGGAACAAGGTATATATAACTGAATTCGTGGTAGAACCAGCCATGAACCAACTTTCTCGTTTTTTCCATCTGTGTTGTTGATCTTTGCGTTACCGTTCAAGCAATTTTTTATGCAAACTCTAGCGAACTCAATATTCCAGCGGTTTCGATACACAAATTACGTACTCAGAATCGATGAAGGTGGCAATTAAATGACGTCATGCTCGTAAATTTTGTGGAAGTGTTTTTCGCGATGTTGACCAATCATTTACTCAATTATTTATCGCACACTGTTGCGAAAGCAAGTAATGAGCGCCGCGACCCTGGGACGAACGATATTACATTTATTGAATGCTAAAATTGCGGAAAAAATTCGATAATTTCGGTCTTAAACTTAAATTACAGTTTGCAAGGCTGTGATTGGTTGAGGAGACCATAGCGGCCATGTTGGGTGATGTTTGAACTTTCGTGTCATTAAGTAGGACTAGAAATATATTTTTATTAAAAATATAATAGGTCATTATGTATTTACGCCAATGAACCAATGATACGGCACTAACACGACTCGCATTTGTTATGTGTTTTTTTTTTGTTTGCTTCGTTCCATCAATTCACCATCACGCTTCATGATTGCATCGAGCAAATCATTTACATTATTACACATAAAGGCTGAGAATCTTTCATCCCAATTCACAATTCACACAAAAATCGAATGATGGATCGCTATTAACATAATATTTCAATCGTGTACACACAATGTACAATAACAAGTATTCTTTGCACTGACAGCACTGCAACCTAAGGGTGACCACAGATCAATTGTCTGTTTCCATCCTTATATTTACAAATTACAATTAACTTTAACAATATATGATACATTTAAGTAACTTAAGTGATCAATGACATGGCAAAACACTGGCAACAATTTCTTAAACTTTTAACTCAAATAAAACATATAGATTCATTCAAAGTACGAATAAATAAACAATAAGAATGAGTGTGTTACAACTTGTACAAGAATCCGACGTAAACATAACCTTTAATATAGTAGATCGACCATATGTTGATATTTAAAGTTTATAATTTTGTGCACAAAATTTGAAGTGTGAACGTATATGTGTGTGTGTAGAATAAGTAACGTATTTGCGTTTATAAATTTAGTAAGTTTGAGTAGTAATGTACACGCTTAGGAATAAAGTAGTTCATGCGACGCTCTTCAATATTAGATTAGATTTACTCTCGCGCAAACGGCGCTAATCTCAAGTTTTTTTTTTTCAATAAGGTTATAAATGTAACATTGCTTGTTTTACAAACAGCACTTTGTTTCGCCTGCGCCCCTGCGACTAATTCAAGGGCTTAGGTACTTAGGTCATTAATTTAGTTCATTTTAGGTTATAAACGTTTGTGTGTTGTCACAAAGGATTTGTTTGTTTAGTTTTAAATTTGGAAAATTCTCATATTGGTTATTGTGCGATGTATTATTGATTCTTATTCGTATTCGTCTTTTAATAGGAAATCCAGCCGTTTTTTTCCTTCGGAAAACACCCTGTATACGCTAAGCAAGTCTAAAACTTGGAACTTTTGATATGATGTTGGTTTCCATCAATCTTCGCTAATTTTTCGCTACGGGTCATTAAATTTAATTTGGCAAATTTTATCACTTATCACACTCTCGAGGAATAATCTCTATAAATGCCTAAACTTTGTGAATTTTGTATTGCATGCTACGCTTTTTTGTTTCGTTTTGGTGTATTTTCATTACTCATAAGTTCCCATTTTTCTAAATTACGTTGATACCTGATATTTACTTGCTTAGTTTTTCCAGTGCAGAAGGAAATATATGAAGAGCGCCTGCACGGCAAACATGGCCGCCACGAACATCAGTTGGTCGTTGACGACGACGCTGCCGCGCAACGATTGTCGTTGATTCTGGAGGATTACCTGCTGCAGGTCATCATGGATCTTCTCTAACTGTTGGTCATGTGCTTTCAACGCCTTCTCAAAATTTTCTATCGCCGCCAACACACTAGACAAAATTTATCATGAGTAATTGAAATTGTATGGTTAACAAATTGCATACCCGGCGTTTTCCGGTGAAGATTTCGGCGCTGACTGCGTTGAATCAGAGTGGTACTCCTCTGATTCACTGGCGCTTTCAATGCAGTCAACGTCTGAGGATACCTGCTTGGCGGTTACTTTGCGTTTCGGCTTGACTGGAATGCGTGGCTCGACCTAAAGAATAAATTATTAATTATATATCATTTTTAGGATAATTATTGCCTCCTACTTGATTTGGATCCACGCTGACAATGCTAGCCGTGCGAATCATTGGCGTGGGATGCTTCGTCCGCGTTGCGATTGCATAATTCCACTCGTACTGATAAAGGTCGTTGCGCGGATCCCATGGACGAAGATCCGAGTGTTTGTACACCCACTGGCCCGTTTTGAGATCTTGCTGGAAATAATTGGGCGTCCATTCTTCACATTTTGCCTTGCGTTCCTTTGACAAGGCGCGCTGCGCTTCTTCTAAAGAAGTTTTCTCTTCAGTAGCTGCGCTCATGTCATCACGAGAAATAGCAGCCGAGACATGTTGCCACAACTGTTCAGACTCATGCTCCCCCTGTTGATCAATCGGTACCGTAAATCGGGTAAGTCTGGATCTTCTCACAGTCGGTGTAGGATTCCAGAACACTTTCTGTTCACCGGACCTTCTGTCTTTTATCGTAATCACGCCGTCCCAGTAACCCTCAAGTGTTGCCAGGGTTTCTTTTCCGAGTTTTAAACGACCAGTGATGCAATTTGTTTGTTCAGCTCCGCCCAAAAATGGCTAATAACCAACCAAATTACTCACAAACAACAAAAACAAATCTCAACAACTTACCTTTAATTTAAATTCAATTTCTGTTGAGTATCCAGTCTTTTCACACTCAATTGAAACTTTTCCACCGAGTTCCATACTCAATGTGCCCATTAAAATACCTTTGCAATGAGCATATGGAACTGTCAGAGTGTAATTCTCTCCGCGTGGTAGTAAAGACAAAATGGCGATGCCGTCCAAGATGGCCGAGGTCGAATTACCGTAGAATTTGGATTTTGCGAGGATAGACGCTGTGATGGAGAAGCCCTCCTGACGATTGGTGACATAAAACGCTGATACTGGCGGATGGTGCGACACTTGCTCAGCGATATAAAACGTTTTCGAGCCGTTCGGGTGCAACCAGTGACAACGGAAGGTTTCGCCTAGGATCGGATTGTAGGGTTTCTTTAAACCTTTCGGTTTCTTGTATAATCCAGAGAGGTACCATTTGACAACAGACTTCATTCTCGTAAAAGCATCATCTTCCAGAACAGCACTAAAAATATTATTATTTTATTAAGTAAGATTCTTAATCAAATTGCAGAAATGTAAAACATACTTAGAGAGTATGTCGACGTGATAGTAAGAATCTGTCAGCTTGTCGAGGAATGACCTTGGTTCCAATATGAATGTTGGTAAAACGACTTTGCTGAGATCCATGCCAGGACGCACTTGTTTGACTAGATACCAAATCAAAGATTTGTGTTCATCGGCTAGTTCTTCAACTTGAGCGCCGGCCTAAAAAGACAAAAATGTTGAAAAACAAACCAAAATAATGATAAATGTCTAATTTTGCGTACATCACCGAATTCTTCTTCGCGATTAGGTGTATAAGGCGTCTCTTGTGGTTCCTCATCAACTTCTTCTTCCTTGACGGATACTTCTGATTCAGTTTCGGACGCATCCGCATCCCCTGCACTTAATTGACCCCCATTGTCTGTGTGGTGGCCACCATCACCTAAATCTAATCCCCCGTTAGTGAATCCAATATTTTACGCGCGCACGCCACAGCACTCACCCTGATCAACAAAATGCCGCTCGTAATCCGCTTCGTTCCACTGCGTCTCATGATTTGCACTTCCGCTATGCGTACTCTTATTACTCACACTGCGCACCAGCGCCGAATCATTACGGATTGAAATCTCCAATGCATCCAACCAGCACATACCGGATGCCTGCGACGAGGCACGGAAGATCGTGTGTGAATTTGGCAATGGTTGCACTACAGCACCTTTTGCAGAATAAACAAGAAAACTATTAATAAACAAAAATGTTGACAGGCACTGGAAATACATACCTATTGTTTCATTTTCTGGTCCGCGCGGAGCCCATATCGACTGGTCCAGGGGATTATACAGTTTGAAACAAAATCCGTCCTTCTTACTGGGTCTCTCGATCACTTTGCACGAGTTTAGCAATATTGTGCCAACCCAATGCGCACTCTACAGCACGACAAACACAATGGAAATTATTTTTAGCAATATACAAATATGTGATTGTAATGAACTTACTTTACATTTGGGACTCTTGTACAGCAGCAACATGCCAGGTTTGAGCACACACCACAGTTTGGTCCATGACTTTAGGGTGCCTCGCACTTTCAGCCAATCAGCAAGCACTACCACTGACGGATCCTTCAGAGAGTTTAGCAATTCATTAGTAACTCGCTTTTTTTCCTTTCTATAGTTTTTGCGTTGTGCTTTGTATGATTCTTTTCTTGTTAGCTTTGACTGTGGGTCGAGTTTTTCCACTGAGATAAAGTCCATGGTTTTGTCTATTGTTGCTATTCCTATAAAAATTATTACGGTATATTCAAGACGCCATTTTGATATTTTTAGATGCTTAAGAGTATTTATACATTAAATTTTCATATAAAATTCTAGAAAAGTGTGTAACTGATAAACAAAACTAGCTCTATTCTAACAAATTAAATACAAAAAACAACAACTTAGTTATATAATGAGTAATGATGAATGATGATGCAAATTATGATAATCACAATCGTCATAAGTTAAAGTTGATGTTGTAATTATAGATGTCATTTGTTTATATATTCATCTTGTGGTAAACAAGTTTTTGTTTTAGTGCGTATTATGTACCTGGTGATGCAGGCCCTGGACTATTGTTGAGCGAATCGCTGGACGGCAGCTTCGGCAGGACGTAGAGATGCGTCCGGGAGGCACTCCGCGTCTTGCCTTCATTCAGGGTCGCTGCGTGCGAATGCGCCATCGCGATCGGCGTCGACGGAGCGGTCGCCGGTCCTTGCATTGCCATCTTGCCTCAACGATACAAATAAAAACCTGACAATAAAAAAACAACAAAATCATGATAAGTAACTCGTGATAAGTATAAGTTGATTATTTAAATTTCCGATTACACCGTTTTGTTGCTACATGTATTCGCATCATGCGCATAACAGGAAATAGAATATGTGTAGTGTGTGTGATATGCACTCACTTTTTTGTTTGTTTATTTCCTGCAGCGTTGAGCAGGTCCCTGACGTTTGCGTCTCATCCGCAGGCCTGCAGCTTCTCAGCGCCGCATCTCGCCGCTTATGCGGCATGTGCCATTATCATCCTGCGCCTGCTACGATTCACTTCCGGCTTCCTGCTTTACGTTTCGCAGATTTGTGTGTGCTGTTTTCTACCACACAAGTGTGCAGAGACTTTTCGTGGCTAGAACTAAGTCGAGTCGTGTCGGGTGCTGTTTGTTGCGTGCGGTGCGTGCAGGTGCCGGGCTCGCTACTGCCTGCTAGCCTGCTGTGTTCCTGCGAGCGACAATCGACATTCGGATTCGACTCGGCGACGGGCGACGGACGACGTCAAAACACGCAGCGCGGCGCGCATTGCGCACTCGTCACTGCGACACGGAGTCTCTCACACGCATACACACACTCGTTTGCCCTGAAACGACCACAATTACGAATTACGAATTAATTTAATTAATTGCACGCCGCGAATGAAGAAAATTAACGCCTACGATCACGGCGAGTTGAATTTTATTAGCGATGATAAGATGGAGTCATCAGAATGATGACGATCATTTGTTTTTTGGCAAACAAGCGTCGCAATTGCAGTTAATTTTAGTGTTAATGTAAAAATACCACGCAATATGTAACCAGAAGCATGTACAGCGTTTTGAAACAAATATTTTGCTGCGTGTTATTTATGTTGTTGCTCAACTTTGGACAAGTTTGAGTGATTTACGAAACTATTTTTGTTAAAGTTTTTACTATAGGCAACTTATATTACTGCTCACATTCAGCGCGTCTAAAACTTTTTCAGTCATACTCAGTAACCATAATTTAATAATTATTGAAACAATAATAGTAAATAACTAAAACAGACAAAGCATACACATTCAATTTGAAATTATTTACCGTTTTTATTCTCTTGTTGATATCCAGTTTGACAGAAATTAAGGTTAAACCACAACTAAATTTTTAAATTTTTGCAAAAACGAATGAATGTTGATTATATTGAATTGTTCTGTTAATTTCGGGTAAATACAATTTTGCACTTTGCACAATGTTCAAAATCACCGACCTAAAACCACCAACGGTTGCACGGTGACTGTGTGATGTTTGATTGGTTACATAATTAATGCAGAGGAAACTATGAAACAGTCGCGATGTTGGCCGCAAGTTCTGAGTCGCGGCCGCTTGATTGTGATTAAATTTTCATAACTTGAGACTTGAATAATTACTTCGCACAACAATCACACACAAAGTCAGTTTTCGTATGCGTGAAATGGTTTTCGTCTTTGTGTGAAGCCCGCGTTCCGCACGCGTGTATGTTGGGCAGCATAAATCAAAATAATATATGAATAAAAAGAGAGTGCCATGCATAATTGATGGCGGCGTGTGAAAGAGTGCATTTATCGATCGAAACCGTACGCTGGAGGCGCAAAGCAATCGGCAAAGTATTTCAAGATCAAATTGACGCATTAAATATGGATTATGGAAAATGTGCGCAGCGTGGAAATCGCTCACACAGTTTTATTCGTATATCAACTGCACAACATTCGAGCGTGTGATGATTTTTAATTCTCTTCAAGCACATATAGGCAACCAAATATACAGATATTATTAACTAAAACAGTTATAAATAATATCTATCACAAAATAATATTTTGATTGACATTTTAAAGGTCACTAATGTAAACATTTGTTGATTTCGTATTTTTGGGCCTTGCTAGTTGTGCTGTCCCAATTTATTTCTTTCTTTGTGTAATCCTGGAACCAGTTTGATCGGTTCTTCGGCCAATCTGGCCATAGCAAACGTCTTCACGAAACCAAAGTAAAAAATAAACCGATGGTCGTGGAGATTGTGCGGTCAGTGCACTCTCCCGAGATTGCCAAATAAAATGCTGTGGTTTATCGCGTTTGTCGTGTAAATAAAAAATAAACGCGGCGTATCATAAAACGATCGGATAACTGTAGTTTTCCGTATAATTTTCGTTAGCGATCTTGAACTTGACACACAGATATTCGTTTATAAACTATAAATTATCTTGTCAATGACATTGATTGCCAATTTGTGCGTTTACAGTAAACTTGAGCCAAAATATGTCACAATTTTGAAGAAACATAAAAAATACATATTTTTTTTGGTTACAATTTAACCTAATTAGTTATAACTTTGATTAAAAAACATAAAACGTGTTTGTAACCGGATAAATTTTTGATAAAAGTGAATCATTGTATTAATTCGCTTGTCACCACAAGCAAAACAAACAAAATCACGTCGATGGGGACGACGCGACGTTCGGTCAACAAGCACATTATCATTCTGTGTGCACTGCGATGCGTTGCAATTCAAAGGTGCTTCGAAACCTTGAACTTGCATGAGCAAAAAAGGCAAAGATATAAACATAAATCGAAGATAATCACTTTGCTATTGTTTCATGTTGTATTGTTGGTTGCCTAGGACCTAACCTGCGCACAAAACGTACATGTTCCAATTCCTACATTTTCTTTTCTTTTGTTATTACCTACATTAGTAGATTAACAAATTACGGAAGTGTTACGACACGTGCCGCTCGCGTCCATTACACGATTAGACAAACGAATATAAATTTAAAAAAAGGTCGATAAGGCGTGCATCACGTTCGACGCCATGTTTTCCACGTTCAAGTTCATTTTCTAGTTCTTCCTGAGCTTATGATATGCATACTTATCTAGCATTCAACGACACACTTTGAATACTCATAATCTACGCTTTGTTTTTCTGCGCTTCTTTTTCGTTAATGTATTTGTCGCGTTCGAGTTGCGGCGATAAACACAAGAAGCAGAAGACCGATCGATGCGAGTGAGATCGCCGCTTTACAAGTATAAAAGGCACTTGGGCACGGCGGTCATTTACCAGTCGAGTTGTAACCGGTGAAGAAGAGTCCACAAGTCAACAATCTCATTAAGTGCCGCAGGATCAGGATGAGGGCACTGGTTATTTTTGCGTGTTTGTGCTTCATTGCACTTCAAACTGATGGTAAACCAATTTTTAATTAAAAAAAAAACAAAAAAATATTTTAATTTTTTTTGAATTCAGCTACACCAGCAAGAAGTGTCTGTTACTTCAGTAACTGGGCAATTTACCGTCCAGGCCATGGAAAGTATGGAATTGACGATATACCTGTAGATCGCTGCACGCATCTGGTGTACTCCTTCATAGGTGTAAGCAACGCCACCTGGGAAGTTTTGGTTCTTGACGAAGATGTCGATATTAAAGACCGAGGCTTCGAGCGTTTTGTAGGCTTGCGCGCTAAATACCCACAAGTCAAATATCAAGTAGCTCTTGGTGGTTGGGGTGAAGGAGGAGAGAAATACTCAGCCCTTGTGGCTGATAAAAACAAGCGTGATGTGTTCATTCGCAGCGCTGTTAACTTCATGAACAAATTCAAATTCGACGGGTTTGATTTGGACTGGGAGTACCCGGGGGCAACTGATAGAGGTGGCACCTTTGCTGATAAAGATAGGTTCTACTATTTTGTTCAAGAATTGAGAAGGGCCTTTGATAAAGAACAAAAGGGATGGGAGATTACTATGGCTGTACCCATTGCTAAGTTTAGGTTGGATGAAGGATATCATGTTCCGGAATTATGCGAGTATGTTATTTTCAAAATGGCTGCTTTACAACTATTAAAATGGCGGGTATTATTTTAGAATGTTGGATGCTATCCATGTGATGTCTTATGATTTGAGAGGAAACTGGGCTGGATTCGCCGATGTCCATTCGGCACTTTATAAGAGACCTCATGATCAATGGGCTTATGAAAAACTTAATGTGGTACGTTTCTTATACTTAACCTTAAAATTCTTTGTATTTTTGTTTTGGATTCATTTTTATAATTTTGTTTCTTAGAACGATGGTTTGCTTCTCTGGGTAAACTACGGATGTTCTCCTAAGAAACTTATCGTTGGTATTCCCTTCTATGGCCGCACTTACACGCTGAGCAACAGTAACAACAACTACGAGCTAGGCACCTATATTAATAAGGAAGCTGGTGGGGGTAATCCAGGCAAATACACCAACGCTACTGGTTTCATTTCATATTATGAGATCTGTGAGGATTTATTGGAGAAAGATAATGGCTGGACTGTCCGCTGGGACGAACATGGTAAAGTCCCCTTCATGTACAAGGGTAATCAATGGGTTGGCTATGAAAATCCTGAATCCGTTCAGATCAAGATGGATTTCATTAAGAAGATGGGTTATGGTGGTGCTATGACTTGGGCTATTGACATGGACGACTTCAATGGACACTGCGGTCCCAAAAATGTCCTCATGGAGATTCTATGGGCCAATATGAAAGACTATCAAGTACCGGAACCTATTATAGCTACTACTAAACGCGTAGGAATTATAAATTTTAATAAACTAAAACATAATATTATATTAAAAATTAATTTTTAGCCGGAATGGAGTAGGCCACCAAGCACGCCTTCTTCCGAACCACTCCCACCGGCGCCTGAAGCTCCAGCTACTACTCAACGCCCACAACAGGAACAAACTACAAGGAAACCGGAAAAGCCTACTCAGAAACCGCCAGTAGCTGCTGCGCCTGCAACCACTCAAGCACCAGCTGTTACAGGAGGTTCAGCGGGTAAACCATGCGGTGGGTCTGATTACTTAACGCACGAGGATTGTTCAAAATACTACCGTTGTGTGCATGAGAAATTGATGGAGTTCTCCTGCGAGCCCGGGTTGATCTATCAACAGACAAGTCATATCTGCGATTGGCCTGCAAATGCTGATCGTGATGAATGTCGCAAAGAATAATTTATTATAAACAGACAACGAGCACAAAACAACTTGGTAAATATCACATTAAACAAAAGACTGTAGGCTTAAGTTAATTTATGTTTAATAAAAGTTTGGAAACAATAAGTTGGGAAATATTTTCTTAAGTTTTAAATATTGCTATGTGATATATAAGTTGCCTATATTATACCTACTTTAACTAAAATCATTAAATCTAAATAATTTTTTCCTGCAATCTTTTTCATCTATTTATTAAATATTATTTAATTGTATTGCTGAACATTTCCAAACTTATTGTTTGAATCTTCCTCTGCCTTTATTTATAAATTTTATTTTATGTTAAAATAGTTTGCGGTTTCCCGCGAGGTGTCGCTAGTGTAATGTTAGTGTATGTAAATTGACAGCGTGGAACTCGCTGTGGCAGAAACAAAACACGTAAGAAGTTATTCAGTGAATCCGGTGTGGAATGTGGCGAACACTGCCGAATTTGTACTGATGGCCACGTACACGCCGCATCTGACAATCAACCCAGTGCGAATTGTGTTCATCGACCAGCATAATCGGTCATTCCGTTATTGGGTGAGCTTAGGCCGTAACAAACATCTGTTTGGGCGCTAACCTCCAAGTGAGGTGACACCTCTCAAACAAATGCTTGCTGCCGCGGCGAGACCGACGCCGAAGTCGAAGAGTGCACGCGGCTCTTGCCCTCGGCGAGCGAACGTGCAGACGCTGCAGAGGTGATGGCCGGCCGAGTGGTGGCAGGCGGTGGTCGGAGAATGCACCGCGCGCCGCCAGCGTTCACCTTTCACGAAAACCGCGCGCTCCACGCGCCGCATTCCAATCGCGTCGCGCGCCGCGAAACCATCCCGAACCAAATTCAAATCACCGCCATCCGCAACACAACCATCGTACCCGCAACGTACACGTAAGCCTAGCGAAAACAAAAGTTCGAAAAGTACAAACAATATGGCTGCGCTCCGTGGACTGGAAGCCAACGCACGCCGGCTGCTAAAATCATCTGGTCAGGAACACCTGCTGGATTTCCTCAGCGATGATCCGCATGAACGCGAAACCTACCTCAAGGAATTACTCACCATAGACTACGAAGAGATGCGCGAGCTGTTCCAACGTGCGACTGAGAACAGCGGTGCGCAGGTCCAGAAGTTGGACGACCTCATGCGCCCATTGGCTGAAGATCAAATCGAGGCGGAGGTGAGGGCGGATCCAGGGCGTCTCGAAGAATATCGCACTCGCGGATTGGAGGAGATCTCAAAGGGGCACGTCGGTGTTATTCTCATGGCAGGCGGACAGGGCAGTCGCCTTGGTGTCTCTTATCCTAAAGGAATGTATGACGTTGGTCTTCAGAGTAAGAAAACCTTATTTCAATTGCAGGCAGAACGCATTCTAAAGGTTCAACAACTTGCCGCTCAGCGCCACGGAAGACATGGTGCCATCATTTGGTACATCATGACATCAGCGCCAACTTACGACGAAACCTTAAACTTCCTAAAATCGAACAAGTACTTCGGATTAAATGAAAAAGACGTCGTCATTTTCAAACAGGGTTTATTGCCGTGTTTTAACTTCGATGGTAAGATTCTTCTGAGTCGCAAGAATGAACTAGCACTTGCTCCTGATGGTAATGGTGGAATTTACAAAGCGTTGGAGGTAAACGGCGTTTTAGACGATTTCCGAAAGCGAGGTGTTCTGTATTTGCATTGTCACTCCGTGGATAATATTCTAGTCAAAGTGGCGGATCCGGTGTTTGTCGGATACTGCGTGGTGAAGTCCGCCGATGTGGGCGCGAAGGTAGTCCAGAAGAATTCGCCTACCGAGTGTGTAGGAGTGCTCTGCTTGGTTGAGAATATAGTACAAGTAGTGGAGTACAGCGAAATCACCGAAAAAACCGCAAATCTGAAGAACCAAGATGGCGAACTCACTTTTAACGCTGGCAATATATGCAACCACTTCTTCTCCGCCGAGTTTTTACGACGCATCGCCAAGTTGCAAATGCCGCTGCATGTCGCAAAGAAAAAAATTCCGCATGTCAGTAATTTAGGCGAATTTGTCAAGCCGACCGAACCAAACGGGATCAAAATCGAGAAATTCGTTTTCGACGTGTTCGCCTTTGCGGATAAGTTTGTCGCGTGGGAAGTCCCGCGAGAATCTGAATTCTCCGCGCTTAAAAACGCCGACAGCGCCGGTAAGGATTGTCCGGCGACTGCCAAACAGGATCTGTATCGTCTGCATAAAAATTACCTGCAGCGTGCTGGCGTTGGAGTTGTTGGGGATGAGGTGGAAATCCCGCCGAGTGTTTCCTACGGTGGCGAGGGTTTGGATGCGTGGCGGGGCAAGACTATTGTCGGCCCTGCGCTGATTAAAGACTAGTAGTTTTTTTACTGCGCGAAATTATACCGTACTTAAAAATCTTTTAAATATACTGTAATTATATCGACGCGGATCTAGCAAGTATTTTGAGATATTTTGAGATACAAAGATGCAAGATTATATATAAATATATGAGATAATTAGATAAATTATTGTGTACATTGTATGTTTGTACTGATATGATGCTTGATTGATTGCGATAAAGACAAATATATGCTGTTATGATGTTATGTATAAGGTTGTAAGAAATTGTTATTATATTTTATCACATTATTTTGGTTTTTTATCGCTAAATTTTTAAGTTTTTATTGAAGGCGACAAATTGGTTTGATATAAAGAATATGGATTATTCCACCATATTTTTTTAAACCAATTTTCGCATAAGATTTGACTGGTTACTTGAGTGTTTTTGAGAAAAATATACTCATGGTGGTTTCCAGTACATGTGGAGAGGTTTTTTTAAAGAAATTTGCCCATAACTCGCGAATTAGCAGGATTTTTGTAATTTTTCTTTGTTATTTTAACTTGATAGACGCCCAAATGCATTAAATTCTTAAGTTTATGCACAGAAAAATTGTTTTTGGGGATGATCCTAAGCAGTTTCAAGAACTGTACGCTAAACTCAACGAAAAAGTAATTTTTTCTCATTTAAACAATTGCATTTTACATTACAAACATTAAAATTTATTAGTTTGTTCCTGGTTAGTGTTTTTTCTGTTTATTTACAGTCATCTTGCTCTTAATATTTATTTTTGCACTTAAAATAACTTTAATTTCTACTTACCGGTGTCATTTCACTGTAATCAACATAATTTTATTAACTAATTCTTAGTTAATCTGATATAAACTTGCGCAAGTATGAAAATATTCATAAATTTGCGTTTATTGTTATTTTTTAGTTTCGCTTTTTGATTTTAGATTGTTGTTACAAAGAATACATTACATAAAAATCAAAAATTCATGTTTTTGATTACGTCGGGATTTCATTCGCACCTTCACCCGCGTTCGTGGTGCGCGCGAACGCATTAAGCAGTATTTTAAAGTTCAATGTTCATGCGCCTAGATGCGAAACGAATCAAGCGCGGTTTAAAGGCATTCTCGGCGGCGAAGTGAAAGTAGAAATATCACTTTTTAGTCTGGCACTACTTCGCCGACCACCGACAAACACAATTCTCGATCGATCGATCGTAGCAAGCGATTAAAATACGTTCGAACGTTGAAATTGAAAATTAAGTATCTGCACATATTCAAATTCTGGAAATACCACCTAATAATAACCTGCTAGATTAAAATTTCAAATTATACACACTACGTGATAGAACACAAGCATTTTAAATGAACGTGTTTTTCTTATCTTTGCTTGAAATATATATTTAAACGTTTAATTTGCACAATAATTATTGATTTAATTGTAAAGTATTTCTTTTTTTTGCTTGCCATCATAGAGAAACAAAATTAGAGCAATTGTAGTGTGTATAATACACTTCCTTTTGTATCTGCTTATCAGTTTCGGTGACTCGCAAAGTGTGGAAACAAACAAAACATAACGAGTTATCTCTCTATATTTATTTAACTCAGTTTGTATCGTATAGCTTTGCTATCAAATATTTTGCGTAATATCTACGTTAATTGCTAATTTTACTTACATATTACAAGTAAAATTTACACTAAAATACACTAAAATATGATAACATAAGGATGCCGCCATTTTAATCTATGAAAGAATGTGAAAACAACTAATATTTCCACGAAAACTATAAAAACGCAATCCGGGATATTTTATCTCCACTATCAGTAGTGAGGATGAATGAAATACAGTTAATACTTTAAATATTTGTTCTGAGAACTGAGCGCAATTTTTTCAGGTATTAGGTACAAGTTTTAATACAAATAGAGTTCAATAGGTTCGATTGAGTGTGATCTAGTTAAGGATCAATTGAAAAGTACAATATCTGTGATATAAAACTCATATTGATAAGATTATTGACAGACACATTGACTCAGTTTTCATATCTGGATATTTTTTTCTGTTAGTTAGAAAACATTGAGAATGTTTAACAATACATGTAGGTTTTGTTCAAATCTGTAGTTTCCTTAGGCAACTCATTATACACAAATCTTCAATGAAATCTGTATATAATAAATTCTGTAATTAATTCTATATAGTAAATTCTGTAATTCTGGAAATTTTTAAATTTAATTTTTGGTCTCTCATAGATAATTGAATTTTACATCGATTATTTTAGAAATTTTTTGACAACTTTTATTGAAAACTGCATTTGGCATGAAAAAGAAAAAACTTTGGCCTTTTTAATGACGAAATCTTTTTGCAACAAATGCAGGCTGTTTAATAATTAGAATTTTCGAATTCTGATAGATTATTTAATTGTAGATCAAACATTTATGTAGCATTATTCTAATCATTGACTCTGTAGGCCCTATTTACAATTTTAATTAATAATAATTTAAAAATTAGTGATTTTAGCCATGGTGTTGCATAAAACGATTATTGATCGCTACCCTGCACCAATGAGCAACGTTATACCTTTGTTGAGTCGAATACTATCGTGAGCTAGACGCATTATTATGAAGGCCATTAATCACGAGAAGGAATTTTACGCGCTGTTGTATTGGGTTTTGTTGACCTGCGCAGCAGCAAGCACAGGTTTTAGCTTCAGAAGTACAATATACCTACTGTAGAATATGGGTAGATAACCTCTTTAATGCAGCGCTGTGATTGGCTCTGTCATTATACACGATCGTTTATAATAATTATAACTCCGACATTTCATGTTTCCTGATCTGTTCTGTTATCGTCAGTTTACTTATTGATAAAATGTCTGAGCAACATGCAGAAGAACAAGCAAATACCGCAGATGTACTACCTGAACGATCAAAAAAGGCATACTTGACTGTCTATGAAGCATATACCACCTGGAAATCGAAGGAGAAAATAACATACACATCAGAACCAGTATTATTGGCCTATTTTAAGGAATTGTCAAATGTGTACAAACCATCATCCCTCTATTGGCACTTTTCATTGCTCAAAACCACATTGCCTGTACAGGAGAATGTAAACATTGAGGATTATTATGAACTGCAAGCATTCCTAAAAGATAAATCAGAAGGCTTTGAAGCCAAAAAGACTCTGACATTCAACTCAGATAACATCAAAGACTTTTTAGCTAATGCACCAGATGAGGATTATCTTCCCACAAAAGTAAACAAAGTAAAATAAATTAGAATAATTAAATAATATAAGATTAAATTTACAGGTTGCATTAATACTGGGAGTTTTGGGTCCCTGTCTATCAATAGAAATGTATCAAATGAAAATGGGGGATCTGCAGGATCTTGGAACAGCACTCTTAGTAAATCTACAAGTTAGTCGGACAAAGCAATATAGAAAGTTCATCATTTCTCATCCGTTTTATGAGATATGCAGTAAATACATCAGTGGTCGAATGGACAACCCAGATGCATACTTATTTCAACACTATAGAAAAGGTCACTATATCAATCAACGAATAGGTATCAGTAAATTTATTCGAATGGGAAGGGATGTTGCAAAGTTTCTTAATTTTGACAATTTTGAACAGTATTCAGGACATAGCTTTAGAAGTTCAGCTGCCAATATTATTGTGGATGCAGATGGTAATATTAGTAGTAAACCAAGTGCGCCTGCGCGTGAACTTGTCTCAACATACACAAACAGTTCTAGTAATTCTAGTAATAGTATTGTGCAGATGAGTGCATCTAATGAAACTAGTGAAGTTGATGAAAGTGAAAATGTTGAGCAGAGCAAGACTGATGAGTCTTTGAATTTTGATATCTATACAAGACCAAGAATAACTTTTACTAATTGTCATAATATTACTATAAATATTAATATTATTACAACTAAGTCGAATAAAACTGAAATAAATTAAATATTAAAGGAGTAATATTTTAATAATAATGTTTTATGATAGTTGAATGCGTTTTAACTAAAGATTTATGTTATTATTTGAAGTAATTTCATAAATTACGTATTCCAAAACGATGCATTTCTATTTTATTTACAATTTTAACATTGGTATGTACAATTAGTATATACAATATTTGAAATATTTATTTATTTATAATTTTTCGTGAATATTGGATTTACAATTTATATTTGGAGTTGACATGTTTCATCAGTTGGCATCTTCATAAATCTTAAACAGTAAATCCAATATTCACGAAAAATTATAAATAAATAAATATTTCAAATATAAAAATGGATTACGTATTCGCCAAAGAAAGTAATAGTATATACAAATTAGTAAATACAAAACTGGGGACTTTTCATACCAACTGTCATCATCTCTGCGCAAAATCCCCTAGATTTTGATGTCACTTGTCAACGACAAGTGCTACAACAGCTGATAACCAGTAAATAAGCCGACAGGCAATATATAATAACTAGTGCAATAAATAATACTAATTTCCATACCTAAACATGCATCGGTAGTATAATATAGTTAAAGAATTCAAAAGCAGTTTTACAATGGCACAAGCCAAGCAATCCCCACAGGAATTCCTCCGCGACTCATTTACGCCCCAGATCGGTGTTCTGTGCAGTGCCAGCGCTGAATCACTGTGCAACAAGAACAATCTCAGTTTCATTGAGTTGCTGCAGCCCTTCTGCCGACTCAGTACAAAACTACACTATAAGGACCCCAATGGGAGTGCTGTTACATTGGAAAACTTCAAGATAACCTTGGTTGATGTACATGCAAAGCCACCAGTCACACAACTTGCAAGGAAGTTTTTGAATTCATCAGTGAGTGAGTCCAGTGTCCCACGTTTGGTAAAATTTAACATTGGGGAATATGCGGTGGAGATACCCAATGGGGCGCCGTGGTTTGAGGCATGGAGGGAAACATTTTTTCATGTGCAATATCCTCCTGATCATGAGTTTACTAAACATTTGTTAGGATGTATGCTGGTGGTTTCTACATCAGATCCTAATCCAATTGAAGCTATGGAGGGATTGATGACACAACTTCAACAACTGCAGAATACATCTTTGTCTAAGTTACCCAAATGGTTTGGGACCAGTATATTGAATTATTTTGTTATTTTACATGAGAATCAAAGTGAGAATGATTCAAAGTAAGTTTTATTATGAGATGTTTTGAATATAGCAGTAAATGGTTTAATTTATATTTTCAGGGCTTTGGAAATATATGAAAGAATGAAAGTTGCATATGGCAGCATGAATTGTTTCCTTCTGCGCATGAATTCACGCCCGGTGACATCAACAGGTGAACCTTTGCCAGATCCTTGGAGTAAATTTATAAATCCCCGCATGGTGGCGCTCGCATCGTCCACGAATGAAACTGCAAGTCCTGAGCAGTCGCCTACGTCGAGTCGTGCATTCCCTTCTGGACTAGAGCTTGCACAGGAGATGGGCGAACAAGGGGCGTTACTTTACCACCCACTCAGCCCGGAAACAGATGAGTCCATGGATGTCACTGCGCCGCCTACTGATATGCAAACTTCACAGCATACAGCGCCACCTGTCCTACATGGCGCTTGTCTTTCCACTGAAGATGTTGAGCAAATTAAACATTTAGTTGTTGAGTTTACCACACGGGGCTTATTACCACATGTGGAAAGACAGATTAATCAGCTTAGTGATTTCGTTGCGAACAAGAAGGGTGTGAGTCGGAGTTTGCTCAGCGCCACCAAGCGATGGTTCACTCCGAATAAACCGACGTCGAACAGCGCCACCATTAATACTTTGACGTGAGTTTTACATGCGTTTCATTGTGTAGAGATTATAATTGGGGTTATATATAATTTAGGTATCCACCTGATGCTCCAGAGCTCCAAATTAGACGCCTGGGTGATTTATATTTCATGTTTGGTCATTATGCCATGGCGTATCAGGCATACCACACCGCAAAGCGAGAATTCATGGTGGATCAGGCTTGGTTGTACTGCGCCGGCGCACTTGAAATGGCCTCATTGGCTGCATTCATGGCGAATGAACCGTCGCGGAAAAGTTTTGACTACATGGAAGAGTCAATCAACACATATCTGAATACTTGCAAGTAGGTTCGGTGGTGATTTGCGAATAAACCTTACAATTAATATGTTTTTAATAGAATGCCACAGTTTGCCACGAAAGCCACACTCCTTTCTGCAGAATGTCTACGTGGACAATCAATGTACGGCGAAGCTGCCCATCAACTCATCCGGATGGCATCGGAAGACTCCGATCTGCGTTCGGCTTTGCTATTGGAGCAAGCAGCGTATTGTTTCTTACAGTGTTCGCGGCCAACCATGGTGAGAAAATACGCTTTTCACATGGTTCTAGCTGGGCATCGATTTACGAAGGCTGGACAAAGAAAGCATTCTCTGCGTTGTTACAAACAAGCGCATCAGATCTTTGAGAATCATGGATGGAACCTTGCTACAGATCATATCCTGGCAAGCATTGGCAGATTAGCGAAAAACTTGGACGAATTGGAGGAGGCTATGAGGTCATACGCTAAACTTCTCACGGAGGAGAATCGACAGACTGCTGAGCAACAGGAAGTGTACCTCAAGGAATACCTCACAATACACAGTGTAAGTGCACATTAAATATTACAAATGTTTATATTTATTTAAATTTTACGTGAATTACGTTTAGGATTTGCTCAAAAAGCAAAATAACTTGCTTACTCCCCTTCTTCCATTACCAATTGTGGTGAATGATTCAATAAAAGTCTTGGTTGGACCAACTGCGCCACTGCGCACGCCTGGAAAGGTCCCCGCTGCAGGTGTCTCCCTTTCTCATAGAGAGTCCATCAAAACTCGTCAAAGATGGCTGAAACTCGAAGAGATGCTCGTCCAGGAAGCCCAAGGATCCACACCAATGATCTTCCGCCCTGCCGCTACACTATTCTCAGGCGCGGACATAGGAACCGCTAGTCCCATTGCAGTAATCGGCGAACCAATTCAAGTTGCTGTTGAACTAAGAAACCCTCTTCAGATATTACTTAACCTCAAAGATATTCATCTCCTGTGGCACGTTAAGGATGCTGGTAATCGTCTGGCTGCGAATGAAATCGTTGGTCATAATGTAGAAAATTTCATGAAGACGCACCTCTTGAAGAGTGTTGTGGTACAAGCGGGCGAAAGACAAGAGGTGGTGTTGAGTGTTACCCCATTGGCTGTAGGGGAAGTATGTATAAAAGGTATTGGCTACAGTCTGATTGGAGCGAATAACTCAGAGCATGAGATCATCCTCAGGGGTAAACAAGTTTTCAACATCAAAACAGCCAAGAAGAAGAAAGATGGTCCTCCTGCACCTGCAAGTGGCGAGGAGAGGAAGATTGAGATTAAAATCGTACCGTCAGCGCCATGTTTGCAGGTTAGTTTCTGCGAGATGAATGCTGAGTTACTCCGGAATGAACTTCAAGAAGTCTCAGTTGAACTGCGCAACGTTGGGTCGGTACCCCTGCATAATATTTACATGGCCACGTCGCAACCTCACCTCCTTTCGAGTTGTGAATTCCAGGCAAAGGATGATGATGATGGCGCTACGGTCACTTCCGGTGCGACGCGAGAAAAGGAAGCTCGCAAGAATCATGTATCATTCCTTCCGCTGCCTAACAAAGTACTTGCACCCGGTCAGTTTTACAATGTGCAAATATGGCTGAAGGCACCGGAAGTCATCGGACCGGCCGCCATTGATCTTTTAATCTATTACGAAAATGTCGATCCGGCAGCTGTGCCGCGGTACAGGTTAGTCCGCCATGTTTGGCACTTGTCGATTCAAGAGTCTATTAAAGTCGACGCTAGCGCTATGCAGAGCTGCGCATCGAAAGATGTCGAACAACTGGCGTTGATGGTGCGTGCGACTAACCTCAACAAGATTCACCACGCCATTTTAACGGAAATTCGCTTGTTGACTGCAGCGCTCCTGAGTCGCGATTGGGTTCTATCGGCGGATACAACGCCGCCTGCCAATATAAAACTTGAGTCACAAGCAAGTTACTACTTGTTTCTCAAGATGCGGCGAGAAACACAAAACCGCAATATGGCGCAATTAACCAATAATAAAAATGGTAAGAATAATTACTCACAGGTCGCGTTTATATCGGATGGAGAAGATCCCAGTGTAACTAGTAATTCCGCATGTTTGGACTTTGCGAAACGGAACGATCGAGAAAGGGCAAACGTATTTGATCCCGAAGAGGAAATAACGCCATCTTTGAATATACGAAAACGAGACGCCATGTTGGTTTTGAGATGGCGTGCAAATGTTACGGATAGCTCTGGGCGGCATCGAGTAGTTTACGGACAAAATCAAATTCCTATTCATGTAACACCCTCTTCGTATGCTAAAAATGCGCCAGTTGTTTCAAGCGACGATGTTATTACCCAAACGGAAAGCTTTGGGGAGGTGGCTATCGATGTTACGCCATCTTTGCATTATGGTGATAATCAAATAACCTACAATCTGTTACATCCAGCGTGTGTTACACATGATTTTACAGCGAAAAAGCTGTGTGTGGTACCTGTGAAATTGTTGCTACATAGCGTTGCGGCAGTACCATTGATTATCAAGGTTCACACGTTAGGAACAAGCAGGTAATTAAGATTATTCTTTGATTTGCGTTCAATTTAATGTCTTAAATATTTAATTGAGGCAAAAATGCTTACAAGTAGCAAATTTTAGCATAATATTAACTTTAATAAAATATGATTGTCTTTTTTCAGTGAAATATCACCACCAAATCACAACAGTCTTTTCTACCCATACTCATCGCGTAATTTCCGGTGGATCAAACTCGGCAGTGCTTCGAGAACGATAGAACCACTTTCGTCGATAAGTATCTCTCTAACAGTGGCGGTTTTAGGCCCTGGCACGTATGACCTAGGCTCACGATTAGAAATCTGGTGTCATGGCGTCGATGTGCCTCACGAGGCCATTTTACAGTCATGTCGGGTGCATTCTTCGCTAATAATCGCAAGCACTTAGAAAAATTGTATATATCTTAGTCGATTTTTGTTATTCTACGGTGGCCACGTACAATTATCGCAATGTATTGTACTTTCGATGCGCTATTCGAACGCAATAAGTGGTCATTGTATTTAATTAATTAGCGCCACCAGTATCATAATGATGAACTATTCACAATTTTCATTCCAAGTGTTAAGTCTTATTTTATTGTTTGATGCATTATTTGTGAATTTGGTATTTAAGAACGACTTAGGATTTGTTGTCGTTGATTTTTGCAGGTTTGTTTAATTGAATTTAATCCAGTGATTATTTACACTTTATGAAAGTATTTATTAAATTAAAATTAAAAGTATTGGCAGACATATTATAAAGGAATTGTTTCTCTATCAGGCAGCTTAACATTAATTTTTACATTATGACAATTGTTAAATGTCATTGCGGGTAGTTTGGCAATCTTTTGAAAGTCTATGTTTGTGTCATCATCACTATCACTTTCTTCACTTTGATCACATTCATTCGCCTCTTCAGTATCAGCAACACTGGTTGTCGGTTTGATACGCTCACGTAATAATTCCGGTTTTTTTGAGATAATATTCCCGTCAGCATCCAAAATAATATTTGCAGAGGAGAGTTTAAAACTATGGCCAGAATAGTGTGCTATATTGTCTAATTTGAGAAACTTTGCCACTTCTTTTCCCATTTTGAACAGAGTAGTAATATTCATCACTTTTCCATCAGAATATGGTTGGAAAATGAGCGCGTCTGGGTCATGTAATCGACACCCAAAATACTTTTTACATATCTCATAAAACGGATATGAAATAACGAAATTTCGATGCTGTTTGGTCCGAGAATTTAATATTGTCACTAAAAATGATGTGCCCATATCTTGTAGGTTTCCAATTTTCAATGTGGCTAATTCAGTTGATTGGCAAGCACCAAACACACCAAATATCATTGCAACCTTAAATTTAAATCAATTGTTGATAGATAATTTCAGCCAACACTTGAATGAATACAATTACCTTTGTTGGAAGATACTTATCATCAGGTGCTTTACTTAAAAAGTCTTTCATGTTCTCACCAGTGAATGACAGTGACTGTTTTGCTTGAAATCCTTTAGAGTTGTTCCTTAGGAATAGCAACAACCTAGGGAACTTCTTAATGTTGACTTTCTCCTCCACCAGCAAGGTATGTTTGAGTCTTGAATAGTGAGACCAGAGTGAAGATGGCTTGTGTGAGGTGGATAGTTCAGTAAAATAGTTTAATACATCTGCTTCTGTGCTGGTGGTTGTATTGTTCTTCGCTTTCCAAATGTTGAATGATTCATAAACACTCCAATAAGCCTTCTTGGATTTTTCCGGAAGTTCACTCACGAGTAGTTCTTCAGAAACTTCTTCCATTTTATATGTTTTAAGTCCTAAATAAAATATATCAAATAAAATTTACACAACTTCACAAGAAGACACAATGAAGAACTGCTTTAAGAGAACCAAGAAGTCTTTAAATCCAATGTTTATACATATGTGTTGCCTATGTTAAAGCTACTGTACATAACCATTCCGAGTAAAAATTAAATAATTATATTATTTGTAAAAGTAAAACTGCGTTTCTAAATGTAATTCTTTTTACATTTATCATAACTATGTGTCTACAGAATTGTTTGAAATGCAAAATGATAGAAGCTAAAGTAAATCTTTAATCTTTCATGCAGTAAGGATATGTACTTATATTTACACACTAGCTGACCCGGCGAACTTCGTACCGCCTTATTAATTTTTTACTAACGTTGATGTCGATTCCGTTGAAGTGCATTTCGCGCTTCGCGTTGCTCATCAGTTAGATTTGCTCTTCTATTTCTTTGCCTTGCAGTATTTCGAGATCTGCGGCCTATGTTTGAACGTCTGGCTGGTGGCATTGTTAAAAATCAAAATCCAACTGAAAATTAAAAATTGCTCCCATATATTTTCTGTATAACCGTGTATACCAAATTGTAATATTGTGTAGTTATCAAAGTTACCAAAAATCGATATTAAGCTGTGAACTTACCATGATTAACAAACACTTATTAGCAAACAAAAAAAACTTCTTAGTCTTTAAAACAAAACAAACTTTATCTAAAACCTGTGACAAAAACTTTAATAACCTTATTGTTGGCGCGGCGGGTATGACACAAATTACCACAGATTACTAAATAAGTCATGCGTTCTGAAATCTAACACATAGATATTTACATTAAAATGAAATCATCACTGGTATTATTAATATTACCGGCAAAATCGGTACATTTAATAATATTTATCTATAAATAAATATTCCGTGGCGAGTTATTTCCAAAAATAATAAATTAGTGCGATAGAATTTAATTATTAAGTAACCGCGTTTCCGAACAAACGATGCTCTTTCAATAATATAGTCTATGGCTGAATGACCATTAATGTATATTTTTCAATCTTTCTGAGACATTTTCCAAATATTTTTTTCCGTAAGAACCTTCTACAGAGTATTAGAAAACTACAAAAAAAATCAGCCAAATCGGTCTAGCCGTTTTCATGTTATGGCGTGACAACTGGAAACGGGAAACATTTTTATATATTAATTAATAATATAAGAAGATAAGTCCATTCCTGTTCAGTATATAACGTGTTAGTTATGTGTAACTCCGAAACTGCGATGCGCACTAACGCCATTTACTCTTCGTGGATTTAATCGGAACTAAATTATCAATACCTTGACGTTTGGTCGGCCGTTCCTCTCGTCAGCAAACGGCGAGGAGAAATCGCGCAATTTGCGCACTGAAATCGTCACCATCCATTTCTGGCATCGGTTGTGCAGTGAAAGGTAGCAACGGAGTACCTCCAGCGAAAGATATCTGTGCTCTACAGACGAGCGAGTGCGCTGCCAAGTGATTCGTTACCAGGCACGTAAATCAGTGAAACAATGGCCAGCAACGAACAGAAGGCGCAGCAGTTGATAGCCGAGGCGGAGAAGAAGCTCACCTCGTCAAAGGGCTTCTTTGGCAGTTTATTCGGGTAAGAATCGCGTATCTATAAAGTTACTTTCTCGAGCATGACTCAATTTCTGTCCTAAGTAAAGTGTTAAAATTTCACAATGTTATGGAGTTAATTTTGTATGTTTTAGTGGATCTGCAAAAGTAGAAGATGCAGTTGAATGTTATCAACGCGCGGCGAACTTGTTCAAGATGGCCAAGAATTGGACGGCTGCAGGAAGCGCTTTCTGTGAGGCTGCCAATTTGCATTCGAAGGCTGGGTCTCGCCACGACGCGGCCACTAATTACGTTGATGCTGCCAATTGTTACAAGAAGAGTGATGTTGATGGTATGCATTTTAATCTACATAGTTTATCAGAAATATTAATTTATGTTTATGTATTGTTACTTGAACAGAGGCTGTCAATTGTTTGATACGTTCTATCGAAATTTACACTGACATGGGCCGCTTTACAATGGCAGCCAAACACCATCAGACTATCGCCGAGATGTATGAGGCTGACAGCGTCAACTTGGAGCGTGCAGTCCAGCACTACGAACAGGCGGCGGACTACTTCCGCGGGGAGGAGAACAACTCCTCCGCAAATAAGTGCCTCCTGAAGGTGGCTCAATACGCTGCCCAACTGGAGAACTACGACAAAGCCATCTCCATTTATCAGCAGGTTGCGCAGGCGTCGCTTGAATCATCACTGCTTAAATACAGCGCCAAGGAGTACCTCTTCCGTGCCGCACTCTGCCACCTCTGTGTGGACGTGCTGAATGCGCAGCACGCAATGGAGAAGTTCGTCCAGATGTATCCTGCTTTCCAGGACGCGCGCGAGTACAAGCTGCTTCAGACACTTGTAGAGCACATGGAAGAGCAAAACGTCGATGGTTTCACCGAGGCAGTCAAGGACTACGATTCCATCTCGCGCCTCGACCAGTGGTACACGATGATCCTGCTACGCATCAAGAAGACGCTCAACGACAACCCCGACCTGCGCTGAGCGCCGCCCATCGCCCACCACGTCTACGTCTCTAGTCAGGTGCAATTGAATCGTTTCGCATGGCGCTCCGTATTTGTTATTGTTGCGGTTTTGTTTTCTCTTCAACCTAACCTCTAAGCAACACTGGTTGCGTACGTTAAGTTTGGTTATCGATTCGGTTAAAGCACATTCCTTTTACTCTTAAGTCTTCAGTTAAAAAAGAAAACATGCCGGACACGCGAGACGGACGAAACTTGTTGTCATATTTGTAGCTTCGTAAGTAATCAGTAGGTTTATACACACAACAACATACTCTCACACACACGATGACGACGACGATTTATCTACTATTCAGATTGTAACATAACCAAACTCTAAAGCTAATTCTTAGCGTAAAAACGCATGTAAACAAGGCAAACTAAACAGAATTCATAATGTAAACGGTAAGCGCTATCTCACTATCGGCATAATCAGTCGGTGTGTGGCCGACGCAGGCATGTCCGCAGTCTTGCAATGTTAGATAATAAAACTAAGACGGAGGGGTTTTTTCGCGAACGGGTTCGTGCTGAGTAAGGATGCATACATATGTGTTGGTTTTTAAATATTATGTACGGTATAGGTGACAAGGAAAACAACAATTACAACTCTTATTATTAAGATATGATTACGAATATTACAATTATCAAACTTAATTAATATATCGTTAATTGAAGAAATCGATTTTTAAATAGCACCTACTTGCGCAATCATCATTTAAACTAAGGTATAGCAATAGTATATTGGATTTTTGAATTGGGTAACATCATGGCCGCGACCTTGGAGCAAAATGTGCTTATATTATAATTTAATTCTGAAAATCACGCGTAGATGTCGATAGAATGCACATAGTTGCATTAAATTCTAAGTATCGCTGCCAGTTGTTGGTGGTGGTAGTGCGTGTCCGTGTGAGATTGCGCGCGATTGGTGCAACAGGTTTTGTTCTTATCTGTTATATTTATTTGTTTACGGCCATGCGACGGTGTGCCGTCGGAACTCACACGCTGCATGAAACTTAAGTGTCTTACATTCGCGCAGTTGCAAATGAGTTATCGTCGACGCTGAAACTCGGTGCATTTCTTTCGCGAATATCGATTAGTTCGGTAAATCGAGTTAAATTCGATCACGAATCAACGCCGTGTAATAACAACAAAGGTGTTGTGTTACTGACGATTTATAGTGTTTGTGAAATATGAGAAAACGTGAAATTATTCTCTCTCGGCTGTTGGATGTCATGGATTGCAAAGATTACTTGCGAACATGTAACCTTGTAAGTATTACAAGTTTTTATCTAACGGACCTTGATATGTAGTGTCGTAGTGTCGTGCAAAGTGTTTTACATAGTATATTTTTGTTACAGAACCTGCCGTAGATGTATTGAAGAGGACTGGTAAGTAAATAATTAAATTCAGAAAGAAACAGAAACAAATCTGGGGTGTTGTTACTGTTATTCGAGATGAAATTGTCGCATATCTCGAAAATAATTGGGAAATTGTTAGTTTTGCCTTCACCACGTTATAGAGAAAGAGTTGTTATTTACAATTGTGTTGTAAGAAAGATTGACATTAGTGCCGCAACAATCTTGTTACTGTAGTTCGATAGGGCAAAAGTTCTTTTAAGGGTTGGGCCCATTCGGGCCCTGAAAATCTCACGCGAACTGTCTGCAAACCGCCCCCCTAGTAATTTTTATCATTTCTGAAAACATGATGTGGAAATTGGTTATTGTTATATAATTACTTATTTCTATTTTACAAGGTGTAGTGCTACAGTTATAACACTGTAACACTGAAATGGAAATAAATATAGCTTTACTGACATTTAAACGTGTTTTATACAGTGTAAAGTACGCTTTACATACTACGTGCGTGTAAACTAAGTCTTGGTAGTTTAAAAGATATTCTCTATCGAAAATCCTCGAGAAAAATATAGCATTAATTTGGCATTATTTTTAATAATCTAAATTTCCTTCTGCATCATTCATAGATGGCACTTGTATGATCGAAAAGTCATAAAATAGAATTGTATTGTTTATTTCTATATTTCTTCCTTATACTTCTTTCGGCATTTGGCACGAGAATTGTGTTTGTTTTGAACACAATTTACTTTCCTATCGCTTCCGCCGCGTGAAATGCCACGCATGAGATTCCCGAGTGTTGTTGAAATCACCTCAAGCCGCGTGCAGCATATTCTAGTTTAGTTTAGATCGCGGGTTTCATGCCTATCGCAATTTGCGCACAAGGTCGCGTGCAAGCGACACGCCTTTGCGCATCTCTTGATTTCTTATCATAAACTGTCGCGTCGTTGCTTGCTCGGCTTTGGCGTGCACTCTTAGCGGATTGCGGCCAGTTTCGTGCCGGTCTCTGGTTGGTCCAGACGTATTTCTCGCGACTAGTATCGTGGGTCCGGACATCTGCTTCCTAAATTTGCATTATATTCGATCAGCAGTCGACTATGATATTTGATCGTGTTTCGTGTGCACACTTATGCAAGTTACAAGATTCGGTGTTGGTTGTTAAATGGATAGGATACATGTCGCCTCCATCTTGATTTATTCACCATTGAGATGACGCATAGTGCTGGTGTAAGTAACTTACTAAACAGCACAGATTGTTTGTTTTTCTTCACTGTGGGAATATAATATTACTAAATCGTATGAAATATTTTTGTTTTAACGTGTTTTTTTTTTTAATTTATAGTATTCGGTGTGCCTTGGAGTCTGATGAGTTAGTTCTGTTTTGGTAAGTTTATAATCCAATTATAATTTTTGTTTTTAATTTCCGCGTCAATCACTAGTTTGTATTTACGTGTTTTTTTTTATCGCGGTTCACCACGTGGTGCAAAGCCTTTTACTAAAGCGTTAGCGTTAAATAATTTAGTTTTTTTTTTGTTTGTTATTGGCAGTAAACTAGGTGCAATACAAACTTGGCCGCGGGGTTTATAGATACAGAATTCCGGGAGAGAATTTTTAGACCTTTTACTATTAGAAATATTATTATTTCATATTTTTATCTGATAGGGAACTATCCAATCTTTCATAATCAGTAAATCATTGGTTGCTATCTCTTTTAGTTTAAGAGATATTAATTATCAAAAATCGTCGAAAAAAGTATCAAGCACCCCCCCTTGACAATTTTTTCTTAAGAATTAAAATGTCATCTCTCAGATTTCCGTTTTAACTAGCCTATCCTATAGAGAAAAGTCCGTAGATCAAGACGCTGCGATCGGATCTTAATTATCTCTTTTAGTTTACGAGATATTCGCGATTGAAGAAAATGGACAAAAATTGAAAAATGTCACTTTTTAGTACTTTTAGTGGCTTTTTCCAATCTTCCATAATCCGCTATTCATTGGTTGCTATGGCTTTTAGTTTAAGAGATATTAATTATCAAAAATCGTCAAAAAAAGTATCAAGCACCCCCCCTTGGCAATTTTTTCTTAAGAATTAAAATTTCATCTCTCAGATTTCCCTTTTAACTATCCTATCTGATAGAGAATAGTCCGTAGATTAAGACGCTGCGATCAGATCTTAATTATCTCTTTTAGTTTACGAGATATTCGCGATTGATTAAAATGAGCAAAAATTGATAAATGTCACTTTTTAGCACTTTTAGTCGCGTTTTTCAACCTTTTACTGTAGGAAATATAATTATTTTATATTTTTATCTGATAGACAATTTTCCAATCTTTCATAATCAACAATTTGTTTGTAGCTATCTTTTTTAGTTTAAGAGATATTAATTTTGAAAATCGTCGAAAAAAAGTATCAAGCACCCCCTTGGCAATTTTTTTCTTAAGAATTAAAATTTCATCTCTCAGATTTCCCTTTTAACTATCCTATCTGATAGAGAATAGTCCGTAGATTAAGACGCTGCGATCGGATCTTAATTATCTCTTTTAGTTTACGAGATATTCGCGATTGATTAAAATGGGCAAAAATTGATAAATGTCACTTTGTAGCACTTTTAGTCGCGTCTTTCGACCTTTTACTGTAGGAAATATAATTATTTTATATTTTTATCTGATAGACAATTTTCCAATCTTTCATAATCAACAATTTGTTTGTAGCTATCTTTTTTAGTTTAAGAGATATTAATGTTTGAAAATCGTCGAAAAAAAGTATCAAGCACCCCCCCCTTGGCAATTTTTTTCTTAAGAATTAAAATTTCATCTCTCAGATTTCCCTTTTAACTATCCTATCTGATAGAGAATAGTCCGTAGATTAAGACGCTGCGATCAGATCTTAATTATCTCTTTTAGTTTACGAGATATTCGCGATTGATTAAAATGGACAAAAATTGAAAAATGTCAAGCACTTTTAGTCGCGTTTTTCGACCTTTTACTGTAGGAAATATAATTATTTTATATTTTTATCTGATAGACAATTTTCCAATCTTTCATAATCAACAATTTGTTTGTAGCTATCTTTTTTAGTTTAAGAGATATTAATGTTTGAAAATCGTCGAAAAAAGTATCAAGCCCCTCTGATTTCCTTTTAACTATCCTATCTGCAATTTTTTCTTAAGAATTAAAATTTCATCTCTCAGATTTCCCTTTTAACTATCCTATCTGATAGAGAATAGTCCGTAGATTAAGACGCTGCGATCAGATCTTAATTATCTCTTTTAGTTTACGAGATATTCGCGATTGATTAAAATGGACAAAAATTGATAAATGTCACTTTTTAGCACTTTTAGTCGCGTTTTTCGACCTTTTACTGTAGGAAATATAATTATGTTATATTTTTATCTGATAGACAATTTTCCAATCTTTCATAATCAACAATTTGTTTGTAGCTATCTTTTTTAGTTTAAGAGATATTAATTTTTAAAAATCGTCGAAAAAAAGTATCAAGCACCCCCCCTTGGCAAATTTTTTTCTTAAGAATTAAAATTTCATCTCTCAGATTTCCCTTTTAACTATCCTATCTGATAGAGAATAGTCCGTAGATTAAGACGCTGCGATCGGATCTTAATTATCTCTTTTAGTTTACGAGATATTCGCAATTGACCTAATACACATTTTGTGAGTTTTTAAAGGCCATGTTATAGTTTAACATGTTATTTGACAATATGTACTGCATACAAAAGTGGAAACATTAATTATTGATTATAATAGTCTAAATTGTGGGAGTATCTGTAGCTTTCATAGATGGCACTAGGATGAACTAAAAATCATAAAATCGAGTTATACTGCTTATTTTTTATGTATTGATGACAATCGTGGGCATGAGAACAGTTTTGTATACAATGCTGTTATCTGCGATTCGGTGTAAACAACTATTTTATCGCATGTGTCCCGCGCGCTGTCTTTGCGCACCTCTTGATTTCATATCATATACTGTCCCGTCGTTGTTTGCGCAATTTCCCAAACTATGCACTATCGGTGGATTGCAGCCAGTTTCATGTCGTTCAAGTTGTGTTTTGAGAGACTTAAATCGTTTATTCGTATTATTCTCGAAGATCAATCGACTATTTATTTGTATTTGCGACTATAGTAATTTGTTTAATATTAGGAAATGCCGGTTTTTGATCGCGTTAGTTATGTATATTACAAGTCACGTGATAGTGGATTTGATAACATTCTTCACTCGGCGTTATGTTTGGTGTCGGTTACTAAATTAATCGGATATATATCGCTCCCATTCAGAAAGATCTATCATGCTCATGTAAGTATTTTTTAACTAAACAGCACAGATTGTTTATTTTGATAGATTGTTAATTATAACATAATTCAATTGTATGAAATATTTTTGTTTTAATTTATGTTTTCGTTTAGTTACAGTACTCGTGCCTGGCAGTCCGATAAGCTGTACACTGGTAAGTTTATAATTCAATTATATCTTTCGGTCAAATTTACATTTGATGTGTATAAAAACTCCGCCACGCGAGTTATATTGACAGTTGTGTGTATACGCATATACGCTATAGTTCTTGTTGCGCTAGGAATTGTATTTCGTTAATATTATAACACGTGAACGCGGTCTTAAACTAAGTTCGGAATAATTTTCCCAGATGCGGAATTTAATTCTTTATTTCCCTGTATAGTAATTTGTTGCGAGAAAATTCCGTAACGCGATTTATAATGATAGTTGTGTGTATACGCATATACGCTATAGTATTCGTTGCGCTAGGAATTGTACTTTTTTAATATTATAACACGCGAACGCGGTCTTAAACTAAGTTCGGAATAATTTTCCCAGATGCGGAATTTAATTCTTTATTTCCCTGTATCGTAATTTATTGCGAGAAAATTCCGTAACGCGAGTTATAGTGATAGTTGTGTGTATACGCATATACGCAATAGTACTCGTTGCGCTAGGAATTGTATTTTGTTAATATTATAACACGCGAACGCGGTCTTAAACTAAGTTCGGAATAATTTTCCCAGATGCGGAATTTAATTCTTTATTTCCCTGTATCGTAATTTATTGCGAGAAAATTCCGTAACGCGATTTATAATGATAGTTGTGTGTGTACGCATATACGCTATAGTATTCGTTGCGCTAGGAATTGTACTTTTTAATATTATAACACGCGAACGCGGTCTTAAACTAAGTTCGGAATAATTTTCCCAGATGCGGAATTTAATTCTTTATTTCCCTGTATCGTAATTTATTGCGAGAAAATTCCGTAACGCGAGTTATAGTGATAGTTGTGTGTATACGCATATACGCAATAGTACTCGTTGCGCTAGGAATTGTATTTTGTTAATATTATAACACGCGAACGCGGTCTTAAACTAAGTTCGGAATAATTTTCCCAGATGCGGAATTTAATTCTTTATTTCCCTGTATCGTAATTTATTGCGAGAAAATTCCGTAACGCGAGTTATAATGATAGTTGTGTGTATACGCATATACGCTATAGTATTCGTTGCGCTAGGAATTGTACTTTTTTAATATTATAACACGCGAACGCGGTCTTAAACTAAGTTCGGAATAATTTTCCCAGATGCGGAATTTAATTCTTTATTTCCCTGTATCGTAATTTATTGCGAGAAAATTCCGTAACGCGAGTTATAGTGATAGTTGTGTGTATACGCATATACGCAATAGTACTCGTTGCGCTAGGAATTGTATTTTGTTAATATTATAACACGCGAACGCGGTCTTAAACTAAGTTCGGAATAATTTTCCCAGATGCGGAATTTAATTCTTTATTTCCCTGTATCGTAATTTATTGCGAGAAAATTCCGTAACGCGAGTTATAATGATATTTGTGTGTATACGCATATACGCAATAGTACTCGTTGCGCTAGGAATTGTACTTTTTTAATATTATAACACGCGAACGCGGTCTTAAACTAAGTTCGGAATAATTTTCCCAGATGCGGAATTTAATTCTTTATTTCCCTGTATCGTAATTTATTGCGAGAAAATTCCGTAACGCGAGTTATAATGATATTTGTGTGTATACGCATATACGCAATAGTACTCGTTGCGCTAGGAATTGTACTTTTTTAATATTATAACACGCGAACGCGGTCTTAAACTAAGTTCGGAATAATTTTCCCAGATGCGGAATTTAATTCTTTATTTCCTGTATCGTAATTTATTGCGAGAAAATTCCGTAACGCGAGTTATAATGATAGTTGTGTGTATACGCATATACGCTATAGTATTCGTTGCGCTAGGAATTGTACTTTTTTGATATTATAACACGCGAACGCGGTCTTAAACTAAGTTCGGAATAATTTTCCCAGATGCGGAATTTAATTCTTTATTTCCCTGTATCGTAATTTATTGCGAGAAAATTCCGTAACGCGAGTTATAATGATAGTTGTGTGTATACGCATATACGCAATAGTATTCGTTGCGCTAGGAATTGTACTTTTTTAATATTATAACACGCGAACGCGGTCTTAAACTAAGTTCGGAATAATTTTCCCAGATGCGGAATTTAATTCTTTATTTCCCTGTATCGTAATTTATTGCGAGAAAATTCCGTAACGCGAGTTATAATGATAGTTGTGTGTATACGCATATACGCTATAGTATTCGTTGCGCTAGGAATTGTACTTTTTTGATATTATAACACGCGAACGCGGTCTTAAACTAAGTTCGGAATAATTTTCCCAGATGCGGAATTTAATTCTTTATTTCCCTGTATCGTAATTTATTGCGAGAAAATTCCGTAACGCGAGTTATAGTGATAGTTGTGTGTATACGCATATACGCAATAGTACTCGTTGCGCTAGGAATTGTATTTTGTTAATATTATAACACGCGAACGCGGTCTTAAACTAAGTTCGGAATAATTTTCCCAGATGCGGAATTTAATTCTTTATTTCCCTGTATCGTAATTTATTGCGAGAAAATTCCGTAACGCGATTTATAATGATAGTTGTGTGTATACGCATATACGCTATAGTATTCGTTGCGCTAGGAATTGTACTTTTTAATATTATAACACGCGAACGCGGTCTTAAACTAAGTTCGGAATAATTTTCCCAGATGCGGAATTTAATTCTTTATTTCCTGTATCGTAATTTATTGCGAGAAAATTCCGTAACGCGAGTTATAGTGATAGTTGTGTGTATACGCATATACGCAATAGTACTCGTTGCGCTAGGAATTGTATTTTGTTAATATTATAACACGCGAACGCGGTCTTAAACTAAGTTCGGAATAATTTTCCCAGATGCGGAATTTAATTCTTTATTTCCCTGTATCGTAATTTATTGCGAGAAAATTCCGTAACGCGAGTTATAATGATATTTGTGTGTATACGCATATACGCAATAGTACTCGTTGCGCTAGGAATTGTATTTTTTAATATTATAACACGCGAACGCGGTCTTAAACTAAGTTCGGAATAATTTTCCCAGATGCGGAATTTAATTCTTTATTTCCCTGTATCGTAATTTATTGCGAGAAAATTCCGTAACGCGAGTTATAATGATAGTTGTGTGTATACGCATATACGCAATAGTACTCGTTGCGCTAGGAATTGTACTTTTTAATATTATAACACGCGAACGCGGTCTTAAACTAAGTTCGGAATAATTTTCCCAGATGCGGAATTTAATTCTTTATTTCCTGTATCGTAATTTATTGCGAGAAAATTCCGTAACGCGAGTTATAATGATAGTTGTGTGTATACGCATATACGCAATAGTATTCGTTGCGCTAGGAATTGTACTTTTTAATATTATAACACGCGAACGCGGTCTTAAACTAAGTTCGGAATAATTTTCCCAGATGCGGAATTTAATTCTTTATTTCCCTGTATCGTAATTTATTGCGAGAAAATTCCGTAACGCGAGTTATAATGATAGTTGTGTGTATACGCATATACGCAATAGTATTCGTTGCGCTAGGAATTGTACTTTTTAATATTATAACACGCGAACGCGGTCTTAAACTAAGTTCGGAATAATTTTCCCAGATGCGGAATTTAATTCTTTATTTCCTGTATCGTAATTTATTGCGAGAAAATTCCGTAACGCGAGTTATAATGATAGTTGTGTGTATACGCATATACGCTATAGTATTCGTTGCGCTAGGAATTGTACTTTTTAATATTATAACACGCGAACGCGGTCTTAAACTAAGTTCGGAATAATTTTCCCAGATGCGGAATTTAATTCTTTATTTCCTGTATCGTAATTTATTGCGAGAAAATTCCGTAACGCGAGTTATAATGATAGTTGTGTGTATACGCATATACGCAATAGTACTCGTTGCGCTAGGAATTGTATTTTGTTAATATTATAACACGCGAACGCGGTCTTAAACTAAGTTCGGAATAATTTTCCCAGATGCGGAATTTAATTCTTTATTTCCCTGTATCGTAATTTATTGCGAGAAAATTCCGTAACGCGAGTTATAATGATAGTTGTGTGTATACGCATATACGCAATAGTACTCGTTGCGCTAGGAATTGTATTTTTTAATATTATAACACGCGAACGCGGTCTTAAACTAAGTTCGGAATAATTTTCCCAGATGCGGAATTTAATTCTTTATTTCCCTGTATCGTAATTTATTGCGAGAAAATTCCGTAACGCGAGTTATAATGATAGTTGTGTGTATACGCATATACGCTATAGTATTCGTTGCGCTAGGAATTGTACTTTTTTAATATTATAACACGCGAACGCGGTCTTAAACTAAGTTCGGAATAATTTTCCCAGATGCGGAATTTAATTCTTTATTTCCCTGTATCGTAATTTATTGCGAGAAAATTCCGTAACGCGAGTTATAATGATAGTTGTGTGTATACGCATATACGCTATAGTATTCGTTGCGCTAGGAATTGTACTTTTTTAATATTATAACACGCGAACGCGGTCTTAAACTAAGTTCGGAATAATTTTCCCAGATGCGGAATTTAATTCTTTATTTCCTGTATCGTAATTTATTGCGAGAAAATTCCGTAACGCGAGTTATAATGATAGTTGTGTGTATACGCATATACGCTATAGTATTCGTTGCGCTAGGAATTGTAGTTTTTTATATTATAACACGCGAACGCGGTCTTAAACTAAGTTCGGAATAATTTTCCCAGATGCGGAATTTAATTCTTTATTTCCCTGTATCGTAATTTATTGCGAGAAAATTCCGTAACGCGAGTTATAATGATAGTTGTGTGTATACGCATATACGCTATAGTATTCGTTGCGCTAGGAATTGTACTTTTTTGATATTATAACACGCGAACGCGGTCTTAAACTAAGTTCGGAATAATTTTCCCAGATGCGGAATTTAATTCTTTATTTCCCTGTATCGTAATTTATTGCGAGAAAATTCCGTAACGCGAGTTATAATGATAGTTGTGTGTATACGCATATACGCTATAGTATTCGTTGCGCTAGGAATTGTACTTTTTTAATATTATAACACGCGAACGCGGTCTTAAACTAAGTTCGGAATAATTTTCCCAGATGCGGAATTTAATTCTTTATTTCCTGTATCGTAATTTATTGCGAGAAAATTCCGTAACGCGAGTTTTAATGATAGTTGTGTGTATACGCATATACGCTATAGTATTCGTTGCGGTAGGAATTGTACTTTTTAATATTATAACACGCGAACGCGGTCTTAAACTAAGTTCGGAATAATTTTCCCAGATGCAGAATTTAATTCTTTATTTCCCTGTATCGTAATTTATTGCGAGAAAATTCCGTAACGCGAGTTTTAATGATAGTTGTGTGTATACGCATATACGCTATAGTATTCGTTGCGCTAGGAATTGTACTTTTTAATATTATAACACGCGAACGCGGTCTTAAACTAAGTTCGGAATAATTTTCCCAGATGCAGAATTTAATTCTTTATTTCCTGTATCGTAATTTATTGCGAGAAAATTCCGTAACGCGAGTTTTAATGATAGTTGTGTGTATACGCATATACGCTATAGTATTCGTTGCGGTAGGAATTGTACTTTTTAATATTATAACACGCGAACGCGGTCTTAAACTAAGTTCGGAATAATTTTCCCAGATGCAGAATTTAATTCTTTATTTCCCTGTATCGTAATTTATTGCGAGAAAATTCCGTAACGCGAGTTTTAATGATAGTTGTGTGTATACGCATATACGCTATAGTATTCGTTGCGGTAGGAATTGTACTTTTTAATATTATAACACGCGAACGCGGTCTTAAACTAAGTTCGGAATAATTTTCCCAGATGCAGAATTTAATTCTTTATTTCCCTGTATCGTAATTTATTGCGAGAAAATTCCGTAACGCGAGTTTTAATGATAGTTGTGTGTATACGCATATACGCTATAGTATTCGTTGCGGTAGGAATTGTACTTTTTAATATTATAACACGCGAACGCGGTCTTAAACTAAGTTCGGAATAATTTTCCCAGATGCAGAATTTAATTCTTTATTTCCTGTATCGTAATTTATTGCGAGAAAATTCCGTAACGCGAGTTTTAATGATAGTTGTGTGTATACGCATATACGCTATAGTATTCGTTGCGGTAGGAATTGTACTTTTTAATATTATAACACGCGAACGCGGTCTTAAACTAAGTTCGGAATAATTTTCCCAGATGCAGAATTTAATTCTTTATTTCCTGTATCGTAATTTATTGCGAGAAAATTCCGTAACGCGAGTTTTAATGATAGTTGTGTGTATACGCATATACGCTATAGTATTCGTTGCGGTAGGAATTGTACTTTTTAATATTATAACACGCGAACGCGGTCTTAAACTAAGTTCGGAATAATTTTCCCAGATGCGGAATTTAATTCTTTATTTCCTGTATCGTAATTTATTGCGAGAAAATTCCGTAACGCGAGTTTTAATGATAGTTGTGTGTATACGCATATACGCTATAGTATTCGTTGCGGTAGGAATTGTACTTTTTAATATTATAACACGCGAACGCGGTCTTAAACTAAGTTCGGAATAATTTTCCCAGATGCAGAATTTAATTCTTTATTTCCCTGTATCGTAATTTATTGCGAGAAAATTCCGTAACGCGAGTTTTAATGATAGTTGTGTGTATACGCATATACGCTATAGTATTCGTTGCGGTAGGAATTGTACTTTTTAATATTATAACACGCGAACGCGGTCTTAAACTAAGTTCGGAATAATTTTCCCAGATGCAGAATTTAATTCTTTATTTCCCTGTATCGTAATTTATTGCGAGAAAATTCCGTAACGCGAGTTTTAATGATAGTTGTGTGTATACGCATATACGCTATAGTATTCGTTGCGGTAGGAATTGTACTTTTTAATATTATAACACGCGAACGCGGTCTTAAACTAAGTTCGGAATAATTTTCCCAGATGCAGAATTTAATTCTTTATTTCCCTGTATCGTAATTTATTGCGAGAAAATTCCGTAACGCGAGTTTTAATGATAGTTGTGTGTATACGCATATACGCTATAGTATTCGTTGCGGTAGGAATTGTACTTTTTTAATATTATAACACGCGAACGCGGTCTTAAACTAAGTTCGGAATAATTTTCCCAGATGCGGAATTTAATTCTTTATTTCCCTGTATCGTAATTTATTGCGAGAAAATTCCGTAACGCGAGTTATAATGATAGTTGTGTGTATACGCATATACGCTATAGTATTCGTTGCGCTAGGAATTGTACTTTTTTGATATTATAACACGCGAACGCGGTCTTAAACTAAGTTCGGAATAATTTTCCCAGATGCGGAATTTAATTCTTTATTTCCCTGTATCGTAATTTATTGCGAGAAAATTCCGTAACGCGAGTTATAATGATAGTTGTGTGTATACGCATATACGCTATAGTATTCGTTGCGCTAGGAATTGTACTTTTTTGATATTATAACACGCGAACGCGGTCTTAAACTAAGTTCGGAATAATTTTCCCAGATGCGGAATTTAATTCTTTATTTCCTGTATCGTAATTTATTGCGAGAAAATTCCGTAACGCGAGTTTTAATGATAGTTGTGTGTATACGCATATACGCTATAGTATTCGTTGCGGTAGGAATTGTACTTTTTTAATATTATAACACGCGAACGCGGTCTTAAACTAAGTTCGGAATAATTTTCCCAGATGCGGAATTTAATTCTTTATTTCCCTGTATCGTAATTTATTGCGAGAAAATTCCGTAACGCGAGTTTTAATGATAGTTGTGTGTATACGCATATACGCTATAGTATTCGTTGCGGTAGGAATTGTACTTTTTTAATATTATAACACGCGAACGCGGTCTTAAACTAAGTTCGGAATAATTTTCCCAGATGCGGAATTTAATTCTTTATTTCCCTGTATCGTAATTTATTACGAGAAAATTCCGTAACGCGAGTTTTAATGATAGTTGTGTGTATACGCATATACGCTATAGTATTCGTTGCGGTAGGAATTGTACTTTTTTAATATTATAACACGCGAACGCGGTCTTAAACTAAGTTCGGAATAATTTTCCCAGATGCGGAATTTAATTCTTTATTTCCCTGTATCGTAATTTATTGCGAGAAAATTCCGTAACGCGAGTTATAATGATAGTTGTGTGTATACGCATATACGCTATAGCATGGCTGGCCAATCCCAGGCCCGCGGGCCACGAGGTGGCCCGCCAGGACATTTGAATTTTCCCTCCGCACAAACCAAAGTTGGAACTTTTGTATATGTATAATATTTTATGTATGAATGGCCATAGTCTGTGGCCCGGTGCTGCCGCATTCTGAAAAAATTGGCCCTCCAGGAAAATCCATTGGCCCGCCTTGCGCTATAGTATTCGTTGCGGTAGGAATTGTACTTTTTTAATATTATAACACGCGAACGCGGTCTTAAACTAAGTTCGGAATAATTTTCCCAGATGCGGAATTTAATTCTTTATTTCCCTGTATCGTAATTTATTGCGAGAAAATTCCGTAACGCGAGTTATAGTGATAGTTGTGTGTATACGCATATACGCTAATTTTGTGGTTTTTAGTGTTTAGCGGGCGAACACCATGTCGTAGGACAACCGTTCTTCTACCAAGTTATAGATATTTAAATTCTTTTTAATTATCACGTATAATTTGTGGGTTTATCCCTTGGGAAACCTACAAAAATGCCCTTTTGTGTTTTTTAGTCGTCCAATTTTGTGGTTTTTAGTGTTTAGCGGGCGAACACCATGTCGTAGGACAACCGTTCTTTCATCAAATTATACATATTTAAAATATTTATAATTCTCATAGAAAATTTGTGGGTTTATTGCTCGGGAAACCTACAAAAAATGCCTTTTTTATGTTTTTCGGTCGGCTTATTTTGTGATTTTTAGTATTTAGCGGGCGAACGCCATGTTGTAGGAGAACCGTTCTTTCACCAAATTATAGATATTTAAATTCTTTATGATTGTCATGTATAATTTGTGGGATTATGCCTTGGGAAACCTACAAAAATGCCCTTTTTATGTTTTTGCGCTCGAATTTTTTGGTTTTTAGTATTTAGCGGGCGAACGCCATGTTGTAGGAGAACCGTTCTTTCACCAAATTATAGATATTTAAATTATTTATACATAATTTGTGGGCTTATCACTCGGGAAACCTACAAAAAATGCCTTGTTTGTGTATGTTGGTCGGCTAATTTTGTGGTTTTTTTTGTTTTAGCCGGCGAACACAATGTCGTGGGGCCGCCGTTCTTGCAGTAAATTGTACGGTGCCTTGAATGAGAGTCACTCCTACCGCTACCTTCGCACGGTGCCCTAAATGGGAGTCTTTATGGATCCTGTAAGAATAATTCATTTAATTTATGTATATGTATATTTCATTAACATAAATATTTTCCAGTTGTTGGATGAAGAATTGGCTAATCTGAGATGGCCAACTTTATCAATAAGGACCAAGTGGAGAGGTTCCGTGGTACTGGTAGAGTGCGTATTCAGGAAGATGAATGTTTCAACTGGACTAGATACCAAGAATGTATGTTATATTTTGGCAACTTATAATATTTTATATTTTACTATTCTGTTATTCATTCTGGTTTATAGTGTCCAAGAAATTGAGGATTGGATTGCTGGTGATGATGATGATTCCAAATACGATTGAATGAATTTACATAATTTTGTAGCTGTTATTGATATCATTTTTGTTTATTTTGTTAAAAGTTATAAACAGAGCATTATATAGTTATATTATTATCCTGTTTTCTTGCTTGTATTGTTAAAAATGTTGTATATATTAAGAAATTGAGTTTCTAATTCTACATGTTTGAATAAAATTGTTTTTTTTATAAATTTTTATTGTTTTATTTGTTCCAAACGGAGAACATAGCTCGCAACATCGTTACTCCTTTAATTAATCCATAAATCCTTTAAACTTTTATGGAAATACCACTGCTAGATATGAGAAATAGTTCCAAATCAATTTATATTGTATCAATATTAATTTAAAAACGGTATCACTAGTGTCATCTATCCACGAGTAACAAAACTACGCCGCTATTCAAGAGATTTAGCCTACTGCACTTTCTGCGATCCTAATATTCAAAAGAATTTTGTGACCGATTTCAATGGATTTCTCGACAAAATTTGTCGAGAAAATTGCTGAAATGTTGCTGCTCATCAGTCTGTAGTATTAGGAACGCAGAAAGTGGACATAGATACTCCCCGCCAAATTATTATATATATTATTTCAATTTGTTTCAAAATTCTAACTTTTAATTTTCATCATAAAAAAGAGAAATCTTTTGCCATTTTTTTAATAAAATCTTTTCTTTAAAAATTTTTTGTGCCATTTTGATGATTTTTCAATAATGATGCCACCTTGTAGAGAATTTTTCAAGGATCAATACTATGTAGTTCTTAATTTTCTAGCCCTCTTAGTTGTCGAGATCCTTCAGAATTCGAAAACCGAATTTGCTGAATAAAGATTTTTAAACATTCATTTTACCCGCCATTACGTTACCGCCTCTTTTATTTACTTACCTCCTCACCCTTTCTGCGATCCGAATACCAAAAGTCGAGTTTCGACTGTTTCGAGTCCAAATTTTGTGTCATTTTGCCTCCCAGAGTCGACAAAATAAAGATTGAATATTAGGATCGCAGAAAGATGAGAAGGCTGATAAAGTTTTCGCGGAAACTAGTAAGGTGCTGCCTCTAGTGGCGACGGGCCGAAGCTGAAAACTTTCGGATGTTGTAGTTTTTAATTGATAGATGGCACTAGCATGCACTTTTCAAAATAAATGGTTTAAGGGATCGCTAAATATGTGATCAGGTAGAAATAACAGAAATAATTATAATTAGAAAAACTTTAAAATATTCTTTATTAAAGAAAACACACAAGCATACATTTTGGGAGTCAATTTGTGTAATAATTACAAAAGTTATTTAAGATAATGATAAAGAAATTTAATACTAACAATCAGATGCAAGAATGGTCCCTCTACGATGTCAGATTCAGGTGCAAAATCCCTAAAACCAGCAAAAATTAGTCCTTCGAACATAAAAATGCAATTTTGGGGATCAATTTGTGAGATAATCACAAAAGTAATTTAGGAAAATGATAAAGGAATTAATTACTTACAATCTGATGCCAGAATGGTCCTTCTCCGATGTCAGACTCAGGTGCAAAACCCTAAAACCAGCAAAATTAGACCTTCGAACATAAAAATGCAATTTTGAGGTTCAATTTGTGAGATAATCACAAAAGTTATTTAGGAAAATGATAAAGGAATTAATTACTTACAATCTGATGCCAGAATGGTCCTTCTCCGATGTCAGACTCAGGTGCAAAATCCCTAAAACCAGCAAAAATTAGTCCTTCGAACATAAAAATGCAATTTTGGGGATCAATTTGTGAGATAATCACAAAAGTAATTTAGGAAAATGATAAAGGAATTAATTACTTACAATCTGATGCCAGAATGGTCCTTCTCCGATGTCAGACTCAGGTGCAAAACCCCTAAAACCAGCAAAAATTAGACCTTCGAACATAAAAATGCAATTTTGAGGTTCAATTTGTGAGATAATCACAAAAGTTATTTAGGAAAATGATAAAGGCATTAATTACTTACAATTTGATGCAAGAATGGTCTTTCTACGATGTCAGACTCAGGTGCAAAATCACTAAAACAAGCCTAAATTAGTCCTTCAAACATAAAAATGCAATTTTGGGGATCAATTTGTGAGATAATCACAAATGTAATTTAGGAAAATGATAAAACAATTTAATACTTACATTCTGATGCAAGAATGGTCCTGCTACGATGTCAGACTCAGGTGTAAAATCCCTAAAACCATCAAAAATTAGTACTTCGAACATAAAAATGCAATTTTGGGGGTCAATTTGTGAAATTATCACAAAAGTTATTTAGGAAAATGATAAAGGAATTAATTACTTACAATCTGATGCAAGAATGGTCCTTCTCCGATGTCAGATTCAGGTACAAAATACCTAAAACCATATAAAATTAGTACTTCAAACATAAAAATGCAATTTTGGGGGTCAATTTGTGAAATTATCACAAAAGTTATTTAGGAAAATGATAAAGGAATTAATTACTTACAATCTGATGCAAGAATGGTCCTTCTCCGATGTCAGATTCAGGTACAAAATACCTAAAACCATATAAAATTAGTACTTCAAACATAAAAATGCAATTTTGGGGGTCAATTTGTGAAATTATCACAAAAGTTATTTAGGAAAATGATAAAGGAATTAATTACTTACAATCTGATGCAAGAATGGTCCTTCTCCGATGTCAGATTCAGGTACAAAATACCTAAAACCATATAAAATTAGTACCTCAAACATAAAAATGCAATTTTGGGGTCAATTTGTGAAATTATCACAAAAGTTATTTAGGAAAATGATAAAGGAATTAATTACTTACAATCTGATGCAAGAATGGTCCTTCTCCGATGTCAGATTCAGGTACAAAATACCTAAAACCATATAAAATTAGTACTTCAAACATAAAAATGCAATTTTGGGGGTCAATTTGTGAGATTATCACAAAAGTTATTTAGGAAAATGATAAAGAAATTAATTACTTACAATCTGATGCAAGAATGGTCCTGCTACGATGTCAGACTCAGGTGTAAAATCCCTAAAACCATCAAAAATTAGTCCTTCGAACATAAAAATGTAATTTTAAGGGTCAATTTGTGAGATTAGCCCAAAAGTTATTTAGGAAAATGATAAAGAAATTAATTACTTACAACCTGATGCAAGAATGGTTCTTCTACGATGTCAGACTCAGGTGCAAAATCCCAAAAACCATCAAAAATTAGTCATTCGGTTGGAAAAAGGCAATTTTAAGGGTCAATTTGTGAGATTATCACAAAAGTTATTTAGGAAAATGCTAAAGGAATTAATTACTTACAATCTGATGCAAGAATGGTCCTTCTACGATGTCAGACACAAGTGCAAAATCCTTAAAACCATCAAAAATTAGTACTTCGAACATAAAAATGCAATTTTGGGGTTCAATTTGTGAGATAATCACAAAAGTTATTTAGGAAAATGATAAAACAATTTAATACTTACAATCTGATGCAAGAATGGTCCTTCTACGATGTCAGACTCAGATGCAAAATCCCTAAAACCATAAAAAATTAGTCATTCGGTCGGAAAAAGGCAATTTTAAGGGCCAATTTGTGAGATAATCACAAAAGTTATTTAGGAAAATGATAAAGGAATTAAATACTTACAATCTGATGCAAGAATGGTCCTTCCCCGATGTCAGACTCAAATGCAAAATCCCTAAAACCATCAAAAATTAATCCTTCAAACATAAAAATGCAATTTTGGGGTTCAATTTGTGAGATAATCACAAAAGTTATTTAGGAAAATGATAAAGAAATTAATTACTTACATTCTGATGCAAGAATGGTCCTTCGACGATGTCAGATTCAGGTACAAAATCCCAAAAACCATCTAAAATTAGTACTTCGAACATAAAAAAGCAATTTTGGGGGTCAATTTGTGAAATTATCACAAAAGTTATTTGGGAAAATGATAAAGAAATTAATTACTTACATTCTGATGCAAGAATGGTCCTTCTACGATGTCAGACTCAGGTGCAAAATCCCTAAAACCATCAAAAATTAGTCCTTCGAACATAAAAATGCAATTTTAAAGGTCAATTTGTGAGATTATCACAAAAGTTATTTAGGAAAATGATAAAGAAATTAATTACTTACAATCTGATGCCAGAATGGTCCTTCTACGATGTCAGACTCAGGTGCAAAATCCCTAAAACCATCAAAAATTAGTCCTTCAAACATAAAAATGCAATTTTGGGGTTCAATTTGTGAGGTAATCACAAAGGTTATTTAGGAAAATGATAAAGAAATTAATTACTTACAATCTGATTCAAGAATGGTCCGTCTACGATGTCAGACTCAGGTGCAAAATCCCTAAAACCATCAAAAATTAGTCCTTCAAACATAAAAATGCAATTTTGGGGTTCAACTTGTCCGATAATCACAAAAGTTATTTAGGAAAATTATAAAGAAATTAATTACTTACAATCTGATGCAAGAATGGTCCTTCTACGATGTCAGACTCAGGTGCAAAATCCTTAAAACAAGCAAAATTAGTCCTTTGAACATAAAACTGCAATTTTGGAAGTCAATTTGTGAGATAATCATAAAAGTTATGGCACCATACGAAGGTAGCGGTAAGTGATTGCCATTCAGGGCACCATACAAGGGTAGCGGTAGAAGTGACTCCCATTGAAGGCACCGTACGAAAGTAGCGGTAGAAGTGACTCCCATTCAGTGTACCGTACAAGGGTAGCGGTAGAAGTGACTCCCATTTAAGGCACCGTACGAAGGTAGCGGTAGAAGTGACTCCCATTCAGGGCACCGTAGGATGGTAGCGGTAATAGTGACTCCTAGAAGGGGGGTGTTGCATCATATTTCAGCCACGTAAAATTTAAATTATTTTACTATATGCACTGGTTTATTGATGAATCGACAATTGTTTCACCGGGAAGGGCATCGTCAAGACTGTCCTGACAGTGCAAATAGACTAGAACTCTCTCAGCAAAAAAAACATTTATAAGTAAAAACAATTTTTTACAAAAAAAATTCGACCGAAGTAAAAAGTTCGACACTGTTTTTCGACCAAAAAAATTGTAACAAAAAATATCGAATAATAAAGAATTTTAATACTTACAATTTGGTGAAAGAACGGTTGTCCTACGACATGGCGTTCGCCCGCTAAAACAAAAAAAAACACAAAATAAGCCGAGCGAAAAACACAAAAAGGGCATTTTTGTAGGTTTCCCCGAAGGTTAAAGTTATATATGAAAATTATAGAGAATTTTCATACCTACAATTTGTTGAAAGAACGGTTGCCCTACGCCATGGCGTTCGCCCGCTAAACACCAAAAACCACAAAATTTGCCGACCGAAAAACACTAAAATGGCATTTTCGTAGGTTTCCCGGGGGTTAAACCCACAAGTTATATATGAAAATTATAAAGAATTCTAATACCTACAATTTTATGAAAGAACGGTTGCCCTACGATATGGCGTTCGCCTGCTAAAACAAACAAACCACAAAATTAGCCGAGCGAAAAATACAAAAAGGGCATTTTTTAGGTTTCCCGAGGGCTAAACCCATAAGTTATATATGAGTAATAAACAAAATTTTAGTACCTTCAATTTGGTGCAACAACGACATGCTATCTCAAGTTATAGATGAATATTCTACAAAACATAACACGATCCATGGAATTCACTAATAACACGAACGTGCTGTGTGCAGGATCGAACAAGATTGAAATCGTACGCGTACCCCCACCGCAGTAAAAGTAGTACTAAGCAAGGCAATGTGCGAGCGGTGCACCGCGCTTGTAAAACGTGCCCCTTCCATAATAGTCTTGGAGATTGTAGAGCCATCTGCCGGTTATATTCATGCTAAGTGCGTGCTGCGCGCAGGTGTACTCGCTTAAGGTCATGAACCGAAAGGTCAGCGTAGAATGAGTTGAGGCGACTGAAGTGTAACGCGCGCGCCGCTCTCATTTCGCGTGGCGTGGCGTGCGTGTGCTCTTGTTTCGCTGTCGTGTCTGCTTCAAATGGAAGTAAAGGTGGAGGCGGCCACCGCCGCCGGCCTCTGCCTCAGCGCCGAGTTGTGCGTGGTGTGTGGCGACCGTGCCTCCGGGCGGCACTACGGCGCCGTCAGCTGCGAGGGTTGCAAGGGTTTCTTCAAACGCTCCATTCGCAAGCAGCTTGGCTATCAATGTCGCGGCGCAAAGAACTGCGAGGTCACCAAGCATCATCGAAACCGCTGTCAGTACTGCCGCCTACAGAAATGCCTCGCTTGTGGCATGCGCACCGATTGTAAGTTATTGTTTACCATTGAAACAATATCTATGTTTACCAATATTGTGATGTGTAATGTTTACTGCAGCAGTCCAACATGAAAGGAAACCAATTGTGGACAAGAAGGAATTCTCGCCTGCACGTCCATCTGCGTACAGTCCAGGCCTATCTAGAATATTTTTCCGAAAAGATCTTACTGTTGAACCACCCCAACATCAACCACCACCAATGACCACCAATAGTGATCTCAATTTTAGCTCACTCCTTACTAAATGTAAGACATTTATTCCCTACTCAGTAACTTGAAATTAATTAAAATTATTTTTGTGCAGTGAATGTTCATCTACCAGAGATACACCACATGTCTCCTAGCCAAGCAAGCATAGAAGATGAGGCATCCCTAGATGATGGAGACAATGCAGACCTGACTGAAGCCCTATCAGCAGCCAGAGATAAACAGTTGATAGCTCTAGCTTTAGATACAATGGCGCGCGTGCAATGTTTAGACTCGCCTTCACATGAAGCTCCCATACCTAGAATGCCTGCAGTGGATGATAATGGACCACTGCTGCATGACTATCACATGCGTTTTCAAGTGCAAATACCCGGACCAGTTCCAGCTTATCTCAATGCGCATTATGTCTGTGAGAGTGGATCTAGGTTACTTTTCACTTCTGTGCATTGGGCTGCTAGTATTCCAGCATTTCAATCATTAAGGTACTTTTGTAATTGTATTCCTAACCAACTTAACCCTAACTTAATTCGTTTTCTTTTTTTAGTGTTGAAATACAAGTTTCTTTGATAAGAAACTGTTGGAGTGACTTGTTTGCTCTGGGTCTTGCACAAACATCACGTTCGCTTCCGCTGTCGATGATTTTAGCTGCCCTGGTGGCGCACCTTCATGGATCTATTGCGCAGGATCGTCTTCCGGCGACCCGTGTTAAACTCCTGGCTGAACACCTTGTGCGTTTACAAGATTTCGTTGCTAGCATGCAACGTCTGCATGTTGATGACAATGAATATGCTTACCTAAAGGCACTGGTTGTATTCTCCGCCGATGCCGTTGAAGGTAGACTTGAAAGATTGCAGGAGAGAGCAGTCCAAGGTTTAAGAGCCCACTTATCACGTAAATGCGATGATGGTGAGCGTTTCTCCAAGTTGTTGCTACGCCTACCGCCATTGCGTGCGTTCGAAGCGCAGGTTATCGAAGAACTCTTCTTTTCGGCACAGTTAGGCCCAGTGCAGATTGAAAGTGTGGTGCCTTATATTTTACGGATGTCGCCAACAGGCGCGCATTCTGCTCGGCAAGTGAAGACCGAGCAACAAGTGGAGTTTAATTGATGACGCTCCTATTTTGACCCAAGTTGTACTTAAACTTAAAGTCTTTGTATTCCTAGTCTGCTCCCAAACCCACAGATATTTGAATTTCACACGCGTTTCACATTTCCCAGTTTGTGTCTGGATCTTTTCTTGTTTAGTTAGGTTTGTGTATTTTTATGTTAAAGAGTATTGCAATGTATTTATATGTGATTAATGATGTAGAACTAAGTGTATATTGCAGGTGAATGCGATATATGCAAATAAATTAATAAAAATCCTATTTTATAAAATGTTATTTTTTGACTTTTCCTTTTGACGATGTTTACGAATCGAAATATGTGAAAACTCGAAACACATTTTGACTCAATTCACGCAAAAATTAAATATTATAAAATGTAAATCATGAATTGTTCAAAAACTAAGATAAAATTAAAAATCCTACCTTAACATCAATGATCAGCAAGAAGTTCGAGGAGCAACGCAGTCACTTTCGATGGAATTGGTTATTGCAACTTTTCGATAGTTACAATAAATAACGACCCCAGAAAAACCGTTGACTGAAAAATATAATAAGCAAGTTTAGTTTTATTCTGTGTTCACTAAATTGCCTATGTTAACATAATACATAAAATTTTCCAAACAAAAGAAAGGAATTAATAATTTATATGTGTTAAAATAATAAATAAACTAAAATTTCATTATTTCTGGCGTTATAAGTGCAGTATTTGTTTACTTGTTTAAATAATAAATAAATTTACATAATTTTATTAGCGAAAGTCGAGTTACTTGTCGTGCATTATGCGTATGTATCAAATACGCCAGTAGAAAGCGCTGCAATCGCAATGCTATTTGAAACGTGGCTGATGCCGTGGTCGATTCGCCGACGTAATTATTCGTGTACCTTCCACGAGTTCACGACGTTACTCCGCCAGTAAACGCGTGTGTTGTCCAACGTCAGACATCTGTGATCTTTCAATTCGGTACAACACGCTCCAAAAATCGTACGTATTCTTAACATTTCTAACAGAACTAGTGCTCAATACATAACTAAACACTATTGATATTTGGTTTTCATTCAAGATGTGGCAGAAACTTACTCTCTCGATCCTCGCGACGCTTGTGGTCGCCGCCGCCGGCGGTAGTGAAGGCGGCGAGGAAAGCGGTGCCCGCCTTCTCGTTTCCAAGCAAATTATGAACCGCTACCTTGTTGAACAGATGGATGTTGTAGTGCGTTACACACTCTTCAACGTCGGCAATTCAGCCGCGATCAACGTCAAGCTTACCGAACAGGGCTTCCCAGCGGAGGCTTTTGACGTCGTCGGAGGGCGTTTGGAAGCACATATTGACCGTATTCCACCTCAGACAAATCTCACTCATGTGGCTGTTGTCCGACCGACCAAGTTTGGATATTTCAACTTCACTGGTGCTGTTGTTGAGTACAAAGCTAGTGAAGATGCCAAAGAGGTTAGTAAAATTAATTTTAATCTTTGATTGGATTAAGAATCACTTAAATTTCAATCATTGTAAAGTGAACTTGAAGCACTTGTTCCTTTTATTATAGGTTAAACGTTGCACTTTCTTCATTGTTTATGATTTTTGTTCCTAGATTCAACTTTCCTTCAGTTCTGAACCGGGTGAGGGCGCTATTGTTGCTTTCCGCGATTACGATAAGAAGTTCTCCTCTCACGTACTGGACTGGTTGGCGTTCGCCATCATGACCCTGCCATCCCTCGTCATCCCCTTCGTGTTGTGGTTCAACAGCAAGACCAAGTACGAAGCGCTGGCGCGACCTGCCAAGAAGACCCACTAATTCTGCCAGTCAAGGCAGACTCGACACACAATCGTCGTTCATTTCTTTTCCTGCTAAATAATTTACGAGCGCCCTCTGATGACAGAGAGTGTCGATCATTATTTATTCATACTTTGTTGCGTATTTTGTAAAGAAAAAGCGAAGAAAACGAGCAATGCTCTCGTCCATCACTACATCGAGGACGTTGCGACTGCAATAAAATATTTTGTACGTATGTTACATTCTGATTTTATCTGGAACCCTTTCAAACAAATTGCCAGCGCATCAGAATAGTTATAGTAAGGTGACATAGCACATTTGTCTAATAAACAATGAGTTTTCTTCTAAATTTCAATCAAAGTGAGTTTATTCCAGAGGTTATTGCAATATCAATCAAAATCTACTAGCACATATTAATCAATCCATATAAAATTGTTAGTCAACTTGAGTTTTAAATATAACCTCAATCTTTAGCCAGTACATACTTGTTTATCTATAAAACAACTAAAGTTTTCATATGTGCATTAATACGAGACAGAACATAAATTAGATATGTATTAGTCCTCACAAATAATCAGCGGGGGTGAGTGTCATTTCCATTATTCTTAGGTGAATGCATTAGCAAAATATAAAATTGATTTACTTAAAAACATAAATTAAATAGGCGCAATTAATTAGTTAGAATTAGATAAATAGACCGTTCGGATATTTGACCTCTTACGTCGTCAATTGTCAACTGTCTTTCACATATTCACAGCCATCACCATGTGGGGGTGAAAACACGGAGGGATTCCAATGAGAATTCATATTATCTCATTCTAAACTGGAACGGCGTCACCATCACCGCTTTCATTCGCATGCGTAGTTGTTGTCGTATTTGTCGATGAAGACGACGCAGCAGTCACGGCCGCCATTCTATTCGCAAACTCATTAATATTGGAACTTCCGTAGTCAGGCGGTTGCAGAACACCGCCCGCGCCTTCAGTCATAACAAGATGCTCCGAACTGACAAGCACAGGAGCAACGTACTGTTCCTGCCTCTCTTGATAATCACTGTCCATTCCTCTCGTACGCGGCGAGCAGTTGGGAAATGGGCTCAAAAACGTAAAGCAGAAGAGTGTCGCGAACACTCCGAGTAGTGTCACTATCGCCATGACACTCGTAGCACCTCTAATGAGAGCAAACGTCGCCATGATTACCTGCAGCAGGAAGAATGAGACTCGAACCATTCTTACCGCTGTAGCGTGGATCCTTGCACCTTCGCCCGACATCTGAATCGGTTTGTAAACATAATAAATATTATGTTTATCGACGAGGTGCTTGAGACACAGATAAAGCAGACCGAATGGCGCTATCAGTGGACAAACCAAACTGTATACAGTGCTCACGGTGAATATCAGCAAGGTCCAAGCGTAGTGAATCCCGAATGGAAACACTGATAAAATCTCTTTGCGAATAGATCCTTTCTCTGCAGCGGATCTCATCAATAGTAATCTCCAGACGTACATCGCCAACTCGGGGAATCTCAATAATTCCAATCCGGTTCCAATTAAAGCTGAGGTAATAACGTAATTCACGAAGAAAGCACCTTTATCTGGTAGGAATATACAATCCCATCGCACTGTTTTGTTAGCTGCATGAAGAGAAGATTCTAAAAAGGCTTGTGCACTTGTCAATCCAAGTGATGGTAAAATCAACACCATAAACAATAGAAAACAAAAGCATTTCAACATCGTGCCATGATTCTGTTTGGACTTCGTCCAATGAGACATCCATTGGTCTGAGTAGGCAACCAGTACTGGCATGAGTGCTGACATTGTCAACAACAACAGCGTTGGCACAAATTCAGCCAGGAATGGACTGAAACTTTTGATGAAGTTTTCTTGAACAGTTGTATAGGTGTTCAACATGTTGACTACAATCGCTGGAGTTGTCAGGAAAAACAATACCACGAACAACGCGCAGTTGATGGCGATTGCTTTCGAGTACCAGTTTCTGGTTGAGATTTGTAGATTCTCCCAGTTGATATCTCCTGGGCTCGGCGCTCTTGCAATATTCCACTTTCTATAGGAACCAGGCTGGAAAGTGTCGATTACCAACCGGGCTTGATCTTCTGTTTCTAATGTAACAAAAGCTATTCCTAAAGGTGCGCTTAGAGCCCTCGCGCGTTCCCGAAGTGTCTCCGCGGTGAGTTCAGCCTCCTGACGTCTGTAATACTCCAAAGCGTTGACAGTCCTCCATGGACAACATGCTATACATCCATGCGGTTGTAGCCTTAGAGAAGTTTTATTATTAGCTACACAATAAAGACGTGCTTCCCTAGCGAGGTTCCTCTGACGTTCGACTCTGACAAGGTTTTTAATCTTGTACGCCATCTTGACGTCTCGTATCTGCACACCGGGAAACCTCTGTTCAAAATAAACCCGAATTTCCTGGGCGTTCCGGTGATTATGTGATATATGTGTAACTAAAACAGTCCTTGATGATAACACTGAAGTGCTTGGTATTCTCGAACTGCATCTTCTCATGATCATAATCGAAGTCGGGACTAACGCGAAAGATACAAACACATGCACCCATAACCAAGCTGACGTTGGTTCCAGATTACTGAGTGTTGTATGCCCGAATGTATACTCATTACCTTGGAGCTGGCCTTGGAAGTTAATTGGTAGTATAATCACGAGCGCACAAAATACCACCACGCATTTTAACAGTAAGAGATGTTTTTGGAAGGAGATGTAATGTGAAGCGTCGGGACCACATCTTGCAAACACGCGATGCTGGCCAATTTTAAATATGGTCGGGAACCATGAACAACCCACGTCAGAGGGTAGTGAATTCTCCGTGGTTGAAGACTCTTCCACTTGCACAGCTTCATCAGTGTTTTTGTAGAACAGCTGTGTCCATTTTTCACTCTGTACTAAAGCTAGCCTACCATAATCCCAGGCTTTATTCCTGAGTATTGCAAAAATGAGTAGCAGCATGCACCATGTAAGAAAGTTCAGGAGAAGTGTCTCTGGGATACCCTCATAGACATTACCAATGACAGTCTTGTTCATTCGCTTCATAGACAAACATGTGTCATTGGGTCCTTCCTCCAGCAGGAGATTGAAGTGAGTTAGGGAAGTCATCATTGATCTAGAATCTACATCATGGTTAACAACAAACAATTATATATAGAAACAATTAACACTTACTGTTTATACTCTAGTAATTATCAATCATCAATCATAATCAATGTATGTGTAAAACCATTGCACCTGCAGTGATAAAAACAAGTCAAATACGTAAAATACCAATGCAAAAAATGCGATAAAAAAAACTAACCGTTAGACAACGCGGTTTCTAGACTCCATAGAATCGTTGTTGAATGCGTTACAATTGAAGATGTCTTAGCGGTGCTAGGTGTCTTGTTGAATATGATTAGATTAACGCCATACGTTGTTCACGATGTTCACAATATCCCAATCACGGCCACGATCGCGTTGGCTAGAAGTAGAAGCATGACGCACGATGAACCTCACCGCCGTTCACTACGCGCTGGTTACTCGTTTCATCGCACTGTGTTTTCTGTGTTCGAAAACAGACATACACGGGAGGCTCGCTTTCTAGTTGAAATGTCATGGAGACAGGACCGTATCACGCCGAAACCAGCTGAATTCAATCAAATTCAACTGCGGAACTGCGCAATTTGATACTTGCCTGATTCAATCGCATGATTATCTCAGACGTAATGTTCTAACACTGCTGAATTAACAATTCAGTGAATTGTAAAACATAATAACGCATTATATTACAAAGTGGTAATATATGCTGTGATTTTTGTTGAAATTTATTCGGAGATATTTTTATCACCAACCAGTGATAAGGTGATAACTCGGCGTGTTTTATAAATAATAATAATCAATATTTTTTTGCCGCATCCTATTCAAACTGGGGCAAATCAAATTGCCTATTTCTACACGTTTGTATGTTTTCAGTTGGAATTTTAAGCGATGCATGAAATTTTCATGTTGCTATTGATTGATATATGTATTGTTGTCATTGTTTGGTTGTTTTTTATCATTTACCACGCAAAAAACATTACACATGATAACAGTAGCGAACGAGGAAACGCCGCCCGAGTGTGTTGACCGAATGTTCTCGAAACAAACAGCATGGTTACTCTCCGTACAGAGATGAGAACTCGTTATTGTATTCATTATTCGCCTTATCGCAGTCCGTTACGGTTTTGTTTTAAATTGGTCGCGTGGAGCAGTCATTATCAATAAATCCGTGCGATGCATTAGTCACCACATAGGTTGATACTTACAACTTTAATAATTGTATTTATCATAGATTTATATATAAAAAAACATAACTGTACACAATGTAAATGATGAATCATTAAATTTCGTGCATAAAATCGATAACGAATGCGCTCATAGTATCTCAGATCGCCGGTAGAGAGCGCTTCTCAGCAGTTGTCAACTCAGGATGCCACAGGTCCACGATTAAAACCAACCGGAAGTCGCTTCCGTTGTGCCATACTTCATGTTCGAAGCTATCGTCAAAGATCATAACCTCACCTTCTTTCCAACTCCTAAAATCATCAAATTTACCAATTAAATAAAATATTATCAAGTTGAGGTTTTGATTTAATTATTATTACCTTATTTCCTGATCAACTCTTAAAAAGGTCTTCTCAGGTACTTTAAGTCCAAGATGCGCGCGTATTCGGCAATTCGTAGGCCCACAATGTGGCCACACGTGCGTCCCCGGCAACATCACACTGAATTTTACCTGTCCTCGGCGACAACCAGCGGCTTCCGGCATTACCTCTACTAGTTTGCATGTCAGAGGACACCTCTCGCAGTGTTTCTTATGTTTTATTCCCCTGGCAAACAATTCAAACTGCTTCCAATCTCCTTTGTCCCTCAAGTTCTCGGCTTCATCTTGGAATGAACCTCGTGATTTCATCACAGCGAGGCCTTCCTCTCTGATAGCTTTGAAATTACGTTCTAATTGTTTGAAGAATGAACGATAGGAAAGTGGGGTGTCCTCATGACGCCACCATGGCTGCCCCTTCAATGTAGGAACATTATATAAGGATCTTTGTGTTGCAGATAGGAAGACATTTTGTTTAGCGCCATCTTGATAAACAGCAGTGGCTTCATCATGACGACCTAAACGAGCTAAGGCATCGCCAAGATGGAAATAAAATCGACCATCAATAACACCTTCATGTCTAGTGGCAATACCACGTTGAAGATAATCTATGGCGGGTTTAAGATGGCCGTCATGGACTTTTAGAATGAAGCCGTAGTGAACCAGGGCAAACCCATCGGATGGCCAACGTTCCAAACTTAATTTTAACTCCTTACGAGCTTCCTCCATTCGATTTGTGGTTAGGTATGTCACTGCTAATTGGTTTCTATAGATAACCTCATCAGGAAATTTTGTAATTAGTAAACGATGCACTTCTATTGCTTTGGAATACTGTCCTGGAAAATGTTTTACTTTACTGTAAATAACAAAAATAAAACTCATTCTCATACCCATAAATCTTAATCTGTTGATACATCTATCCGCCGCCATTTTGAATAAAGCTGGTGGCACTCCATCGAAGGACATCAGTTTCTGATAGTTAGTAATAGCTTCGGTTAGTAGTTGATTACTTTGACGCTGCTCGGCAAGTTGATCGAGTGCGCGTGCTCGACCGTAGGTGGCACGCGGTGAGCGAGGATTTACTTTCAAAATGGCCGCGAATTGCGTCAGAGCCAAAGCAGCGTTCTGTTAATAAAAAAAAAAACAAAAACAAACGCAAAACATGAAGTGTTAGAATTCTATCTATGAAACAAAACAAAGTATATAAAAAATCATTCGTGAATTTGTTCAAAGTCTCCTCGAAATATATTTGATGGTCATTTGTGCGGAAGTTGAAGAGACTTTGATCAATTTCAAGCGTCAATGTAAATATATGAGATGAACATGCAAAAATGTAAGAGATGCAAGTGAACCGAAAATATTCCACATTGGAAACATTCCAACCTCAAAATAGAGGCTAAACAACAACACGAAAACAAATACGTTCAGAATAGAATCAACATAAAAATAGAAAATAAAATAAAATGCACTCAATTGTCCACTTAAACCTAAAATCTAATATTAGGAATTAATTCAAACTAACGTTAATTTATTCCTGTGGAAAATAAATTGATAAAAATGGATGAATTTTAAGATGGCGTAGATACTCACTACATTAAGGTTTTCTTGAGCTTCGTCCAGTTGGTCATAGATGGCGAAATCATCTGCATTTGTGATGTTTTCATGGTCGTATGACGGTGCGGATTGCCAGGACTCTTCTTCAGGTACAGCTGCTTCCTGAGCTCCACCATCTATGAAATAAAACATTGAATATATTAATAAGCTGTCAAATATTACATTTTGCTTTAAATTAACTAAACTAGACTCTTATAACTAACGTGTCCAAGGAAAACCATCATCTTCATCGTCTTCTTCTGGATCCAGTTCTTCGTCATCATACTGTGCATCAATATCTCCTCCTTCTTCATAGTCATCTTCTCCTGATGGTTGTGGGCCTCCTGTAAGTTTACCATACTTGGCTTCAAGTTTCTTCATTAGGTCTTCGTCATCTTCCTCGGAAACAGGTTCTTCTTCTTCTTCTGGTTCTTCTTCTTCGGGAGCTTCTTCTTCTTCTTCATCTTCGTATTCGCCTTCAATTTCAATTTCAATTTCTCCCTCTTCCTCAGGTCCTAATTCTTCTTCTTCTTCCTCAGGTTCTAATTCTTCTTCTTCTTCTTCTTCAGGTTCTAACTCTTCTTCTTCCTCTTCGGGTTCTTCATCTTCCCTGTCAAATCTATCACTATCTGGAGTAAGGGATCTTTCATAAGTGCTTCTAAGTTTCTGATAGTCTTTCTTCACTTGCGGATCAAACCTGATCTCATACTCTTCTTCTTCTTCTTCATCATCATAGGGTTCATCATCTTCTCCCTCTGAATAATCATCGTAATTCAAATCCACTTCCTCCACTTTCGGTGGTACAACAATAGTATTTCTCCTGGCAAGATCCTGTTGCACATCTTTTTTACTTTGAACTTCTTCACTACCAGCTGCTTCGTCTACGAATGTTGAATGTTGTTAGTAAAGTAACCAACTTCTATCGCACTACACGCAGGACCACGAAGCGAGCACACCCGTTAACACTGATTAATAGCTAATACAAAATGGCGTCCATCCATTACAAACAAGATGGCCGCGCATAGTCGTTCGGGAAATGCGAGTTAGTTCGTTTTACGGTTTTTCGTCACTGTACCAGTGCGGTATGTGTGTGCACAAGCTAAGCCAGAGTGAGAGAAGGACAGAGACTTGCTTCTCGCAACACCAACACAACAACAAATCAAGAACAACACGGGGCATGCGTGAGAAAGAGACTAATCGTTTAGCTTTTTGCTCGGCTTGAGAAAGATTTGATTACCGACCGGATTTCCACTTTCTTATCAGCACAACATACGCCACCACCAATATGACCAGCCCGACGGTCGCCTTCACGACTAGAACAACAGGTACAGACAAAGGTACAGAAGGAACTCGCATTTCCCGATCACAATCATCAGAATACATAAATATACAAAAATAAATATTCTAGCGCCATCTATAATGGAATATTTGAATGAGGTTAGATACTTACCACTGATTGGTTGTTCTTCGGCTTCGGCGTCGGCGTCGCCTTCTTCACCTTCTACAGCATCTTCAGCTTGGGCATCATCAGCAACATCATCTTCATCATCCTGTTTATTAAAAACATAAGTAAATGTGTTTGTAATTTGTAATAATCTAACCTTCTCTGCTGATTTAGCTTCTGCTTCTTCATCAGCGACTTCTTCCTTGGATGCAACTTCTTCATCTTGTTCAGGGGAACCTTGAGCATCTTCTTCTTCGTCTTGATCATCATCATCTTGATCTTCTTCAGTCTTTGGTGCTTCACTTACGTTATCTTCTTCTGCATCTTCAGATTTTTGTTCTTCTTCGTCATCTTCGTCATTTGCTGCACTGACTTCTTCTTCTTCTTCGTATTCCTGAGTGGCTTCTTCTTCATCTTCTTGGGTAGCTTCCTCTTCGTCTGCTTCTTCAGTGCCTTCTTCTATTTCTTCCTCTTCTTCTTCTTCTTCTTGACTAGCTTCAGGAGCACTTTCTTCAACTTCTTCTTCTTCTTCTTCTTGTTCTTCGGAAGCAGCTACTTCTTCTTCTTCTTCTTCGTCATGATCATCATCATGATCTTCTTCTTCTTCTTCATCGTGGTCATCATGTTCCTCTTCTTCATGTTCATCATGATCATCATGATCATCATGTTCATCGTGATCATCATCATGATCAGCTATACCATGATGATCATCATGTTCTTCAGGTGCATTATCCACCCACCCTTCAAAATATTGCGTAAAACGACTTTCCCTTTCAATTGTATCAACTGCAAATCAAAAAAATTAATATTTCTAATTTAATTAGAAACACCAATGACCTACGATCAGTTAATCCACGATGTTCAGTGTAAATCAAACCCACAAGCACTGCCAGCGCGCTAAGAAGTACAAAAAAGACTAACTTAGCGCATATTCCACCACCAGTGCCGCCCTCTTTATGCACGTGAATGTTAACGTCATCGTTCTCCAATGGAGTCAGACTACGCGCACGTGCTGGAAGTGGAGGGGATGTTTCTTCAACATCATCTAAAGAACAAAAAACCAAATGCATACATTTAACATGAATAAAAGATTAAAATCACATGTAACAGTAGGTTAAGTGCCACATCGTCACGCGGCGTATGTCTATTTATACATACTCATACGCACGTCGCAAAGGTATTAATACACACGGCGTGCGCGACCACAGATCCACAAATTATACAATTGCTTAATATCTCTGTTCTCTGTATCTCTGCACTATATTGAAAGTAGTTATTTGCATTTTGGCAAACAGTTTAAGAGTACCTTTCTTTTTCTTCTTGTCACGCCGCTTCCTCGGCTGCACGTCGCCCGACATTTGGTCCTCCTCGATGTAGTGGTGTGCGGCTGCTGACGACGGACGAACCGGTGCGGTTCGAGCGACGGCGACGGTGGCACTATTAAAAGACGCCGGGGGCGCCCGTCCTACGACCGAGAGCGAATATCCACGAAGACCGCCAGAACTATAAATATTTTTTTAAGTCAAGTCACTACAAGGATCTTTTCATCTTAAACATGTACAGTATTACATTGCATTGCAAAAGTAGAGCTCTGTAATTTTTATTATACTAAAAAACTACTTTTTAGTGTTTTTTTTTTTCTTAAATGTAAAAAGGGGTTGTTTGGTAGTAACAAGTGAAGTAAAGTGATAAAATGGCTGCGCTGGTCGCGTGGCAGTGTGACGAGGTGCGTCCGCCGTTTCCCACGACTCTAAACCCTCCTAAAACGGTGATTGTTTGACTGCCGCGAGACCACACTCAGGGCGAGTGGCACCCCTCACTGCGCTAATCGCACGGTAACAGTAAGTAAAGCCTTTATAATGTTTACACGTACAAATGTATAATGTATAATACCAACAAAACAATAATTGCAAATAACAAATACAAAAAATTGATATTTTTGTATATTTTACTACTATTCCCGTTATTTTTATCATTTCCGGAAATACAAAACACGAAAAAAATATATAAACTGTTATAAAAGGCGTTTTTATGGTGAATAAGATCCGCAAAATTGCATTTTACGGTACTCACTCGTAAAATACTGTTATCTTTTCTATTTTCAGAAAGAAAAGTAAAACACTTCCTGGTTTTTTTGATTGCGATTTTTTTTATACAAAAAATTTAAGAAAAAATGTATCTTCTTAAATGGTAAGCAGATAGATCTACAAAAAAGGTATAACCACCCGCAAAGCTCTCATGGGTTCCTTTATAGGTCGGATACGGTACTGAATTGATGAATCGATGAATGGAAGAATGAAGAATGAAGAAAAGGGGAGGATAATACCAAAGTCACGCGCCCAGGTAACCATTCTTCTTTTTCTTGTATTTTTTTCCCATAGTATTAAAAAAAACTTCATCCTCATCCTTATCTTCATCCGTTTTTAAAAAATTCTACTTCCTGGTACCCAAAGAGTTGTAACAAAAAAAAACTAGGTTATACTCTAATATAAATAATAGTTTAGTGATTTGTTGCGGATGTGAATTAAGTATAAGTAACCGTCCGGATGATAAAAATTATCAACCCGGGGTGGATTATAATCACACACGACCAAAGCGTGCATCAAACGGGGCGCTTTCACCATTCGGCCAGCGCGTGGGAAACCGTCCGACAAACCATCATCTCCGGGGTTCTCTTTGAACCTTAGGGTACAATACGTCCATGCACACGGTACACACGTTTCGAGATGAACGTGCACGCGTCGACAGAGACAACATTATGAATTTTACTTAGGTATTGTGTTACTAGTGGAATAAAGAGGGAATACACGTGGTCGCGTGCACCCTTCGGAGTGGGGGTAGTTAGAGTAGGGATGAAAACGTGCCTGAACGGCGGTCCGGCAGCGTGCCATTCGATCGCCGGTCGCGTGCACGGTAGGTCGACTGCGCTTCCTGCCACCCTGCCACCACCTACGCCAAACCAAACCAAACAACAAGTGTGTTCATGTTCAAATAAGTGTTACGCCCACGCGTGTGCGAATTAATCATAATCAACTCTACAATTGATTAAATTAAAGACTTAAGATATACAGGTTTAATTTTGTGTGGAAGTGTATAAAGTGAAGATGGACCACTTATCACAGAATACTCCCTTGCATTGGGGATATTCTGGGACAAACGCGTCGTCTACTTGGGCACCGGTTCCAAGAGGTGTGAAGAGGACTTTGTCGGATCATGATGATGATGATCTTTATTCGGAAGGATCTTCTAAGGACCAGTAAGTTTTTATTTCTTTTTTTAAAAAATTGTTTAAAAATTTTTTTAAGTAAAAATTAATAAAAATTATTAATTTTAAAGGTGTACGTCTCCTGGTGAAACCGACAGTTGTCAAATGCAATCCAGAAAGAAACGTCGCGGTGTAATCGAAAAGAAACGCCGTGATAGAATTAATACATCACTACTTGAACTCAAGAGACTTGTGCCCAGTGCCTTCGAGAAGCAGGGATCCGCCAAATTGGAAAAAGCAGAAATTTTGCAACTCACCGTTGATCATTTGAAAATGATCCATGCTAAAGGTAATTTAAACACATATTTTTTATTTTTAAAATTTTCAAGTGTTTAACTTCATTTCCGCTCTAAAAAATCACACCGGAAGTGCACCTGCATTTAGGGTCACCCAATACATAAAAATTAAACGTATCGTAACAGTTAATGAAGTGTAATTCCTAAAATATTCAATTTTCAAAAAAAATATTTAAAAAACTAAAAAAATGATATTTTTATTATATTTTTTGATTATTGAGGTGTTATTACACTGCGAGTGAGAAAGAGTATTCCGTGGGCAGTGCAAAACACAACGCAGGTGAATGAAGAAGGGTTAGCTTAGCCTCGCGTGGGAAAGGCGCCCGGCCAGGTGGCGAGGTGCCGTCGTGGGAAACGTAGTAAAACGTAGTAACACCACTCACACACAACACACACACATTCCCACTATACTTAGGGACACATATATAACATAAGAGCCATGGCCATGCTTGTATTAATTTTATCGCGTATTACCGTATTTAACGCAACAGGTTACCATCTGGTGCTTACCACCTCGCTGCAATTTCATTATGGGAACGATTGTAATCACAAAATTCAAAATGCAACCAATTACTAAATATTATATCTTGTATCATTCCAGGTCTTGACTCCTACGCATATGACCAACATAAATACGCAATGGACTACCATGGCATGGGTTATCGTGAATGCGCAGCTGAAGTCAGCCGATACCTGGAACGCATTGAAGGTCTCGACGTGCAAAACCCACTACGATTGCGTTTAACATCACATCTACAATGTTGTGCAGCTCAACGTGAATTATCCAAACAGACTCCCGTGGTTGCCCCGCCTGTACCCCCACATCCCACAGTCGCTGGGTCTTGGTATGGTCCCAGTCCCACTCAGGCTTATCCAAGTCTAAACCCTCTTCCACCTTCACCAGCTAGTAATCATTCACATGGATTGGTACCACCTCCATTACCTCCTACGTCTATGCATGATGCTCCTCACTTTACTGATTTGTCTTCTGCGTGTCCACCACCTACCACCTCGGGAGATACTAGAGTCACCTCTGCTTCTTCTGTTTTGACTCCGTTGACTAGTACCACATCAATGGCGTTAGCTTATCCCAATCATTATTCCAACTCCTATGGGCTTGCTAATCACCACCAACAGCATTATAATCAAAGTGGTGGTGGGGCGCAAGGGATGAAACCATATAGGCCATGGGGTGCGGAAGTTGCCTACTAGTCTGGGAGTTTGGTAGAAAAAAAGCGGTGTGGAAACTTAGTCATTGGTTTTACTTAAGATTAACTTATGGGGGTTAAGAGAGTGTCCAATCAGTCAATAGAAGGACAATATTTATTTTATATTTAAGATATTGTATGATAGGTTATATTATAGCAAGCACAAAGAGAGGAAACACTGATTGTGATATGGATTAGAATAAAATATTTTTGATAAACTTTATGAACACAAAACAACACAATATAAGAGTAAATATTTTTTAACTTACATTTTAGTAGTTTTTCCTTCCCTTTTTCCTAATTGCTGAATAAATTATGTTTGCACACGTGCGTTTGACCGTTACACTTTTTCTTTCCGTTTTTAGCACACGTGTTAATTATACAGCTTAGTGGTACAACTGGACAATGTCCAGTCACGTTTTTAGGATTTAACCTAAAAAACTACATCTCAATAGGTGTATTCATGCAAAAACTTGCAAAAAAGAGTTTTGGTCATTTTGGTGACCAGCAAAGCGTGAAAACAAAACAAAACTTTTACACCTAACCCTTAAATATTCTATGAAAATATTATATGATAAAAAATAATATTGTATTAGAAGGGGATTTGTGTGTTGTGTGTCAGAAAAGGGGAATACTTAACTGTTGAATATTCCCGCGAGTGTTTTGTTTTCTTTGCGTCTCTGTCTAAACGCAAATTCTGTGCGCTACTAAAAGTGAAAGTGTGGTGGTATATTTTAGGGGTGAGGTAGAATCGACGTGGGAAACGTGAATGCGACCGACTCTCATGGCCAACACACGTTGTCTCACTCACCCTAATATAATATTAACCCTTAGGAATGAAACGGAAACATAAAACGGAATTGAAACTTTTAAAAAGAGAGAATATTTTAAATGGTAGTGGAGTGTGTGATGGAGTGAGATAGGATGAAAACATTAAGTTTCGTTATTCAACTATCCCCTATGTGATATTTTTATTTTTAATTTTTAGTTCTAGTGTTGACTTCAGTTTCCTGCGATTCTTCGATATTCTTTGTGCTGAATTGAGAAACTCGTGTGCGTCGTGTGTGAGGGCTTCGAAATTGTCACCCTTAAGGTTTTTAAGCGTGCATGGAGTATTGCAGACGTGTGGCACTTTGTAAAGTGCAAAAACACAAGTCATGCATGCAAATGTATAGATTTATGATTATTGAGGTTATGGAAGATTACGCAAGAGTGATTTTTTTGATCAATCGACCAAAACATAGAAAAATTAGGGTAAGTGTCAGTTTATTACTATGTTTGCATGTACTATTGATTCTTTTGTTATCAAATCATAGAATATTTGCATACAAATCACGGAAAAACATAAATCATCAATTCATTATGTGTCATAAGCAAATATGTTTGATTTAGTTTGAATTTCAATCGATAGGTGGCGTAGATGACTAAATATTAGTTAATCTATGTGTAAAACAGAGTTTGTTAGTTACAACACTTATAACTCAAGAACGGCTGGTCAGATTTTGATGATCTACGATTTTTTGGATTTGTCTATGTCCTAATTAGCAGAATAATCATTAAAATGTCAAAAATTATTACTTAAATCATAGTTATAGCTAAAAATAAAATTTTTAAATGCGTTTTTTATAATTTTTTCTTTATAAGTAAAAACAAACATGTTTTTAATAAATAAATTTTTTCAAAGAAACAACCCCCTAAAATATTCTCATGAGAATTCAGTTTAAAAAACATTTCTCATGTGAAAATTGAGATACTAATTCAACTTGTTTCCCATCGAAACAATTGACTACTCCTAATCAAAGCGATGGCTCGCCGCTTGAATGCTCGGCTTTGTCGATGAATGGTGGGAGTGTAATTACCGCGTTGTTGGGGTGTGCACCCCCGTGTCGCGCTATCCGCTGCTCCACATATATCTGCATGTCCGCGAACGAGTCAAGTGGTTCCCACACGCGCCACTCCATTGAGTAATATTAACGTGCGGTGGTGAAACATGCAGTGCCGAGAAAATCTGCTATGGTGGGGGGTGTTCGCATCGATAAATATCACCCGCGCATGCATCTTGCTCGCATTTTATATCAAAACCTACTCATGGCAACATCTAGAACCGCATAAATTTGGAAAAATAAAAATTTAGAAATAAAAAAGCCAAAAAATAAACAAAATGTCCCTGAAGAAATTAATCTCGACTTGTATGAAGGTAAATTAATAATTATTAATAATTATAAACATTTTTTAAACAAAATTTTGTTATATTTTTTATAGATGATTAAAAAATTGTCATCAGATGTCTCCACATGTGTGCATCATGGCCGCCTACACCGGAAATACGCACATAAACACCACATAACCAAATATCAAGATGGCGCCAATCGTAAATCAGAAATGATTGAATTCCTCGATAATAGCTTCAATGAAAACTTAGAAAATCAAAAATTCTACCAAAATTAATTTAATTTTTATAACTTAAACCACTTTGGCTGTGAAATTTGTAATTTATCTTACTTGTAACTATCAATAAATTTAATTTAATCCAAAAATGTAATTTCTAATTTGTAATCCGTTTTATTGCCCTTTTGGACATGTCCAATAATTAGTTTTTGAAACACGATGAATCATACATTATTTTAGCTGTGCATTCTATTGTTACCATAGTAAGCTTCTTTGCTAGTGACGCAAAGAAATGAATGAAACGCGTTTACAATAGCGGGCGCCACGTGCGAGACGCACGTCCAGCAGCTATTGTATTGCTGAGGACATCAAGCAAGGCACGTGCCGCAAATGTATTACAATATTAAAATTTCACTCTGGACGCTGCTCGTGCTTTGAAATATTACTATGTGACATATAAGTTTATATACATCATTAAATTTTTAGTCTACCAGCAAAGAGACACACATTTATTTTTTATTTCATTTGTGCTGATGATTATTATTAGAAAATTGGAAAAAATATTTTTTTTTGCATTTTTACGATTTTCTGCGGTTTTAAGACACAAAAAGTTAGTACTTTAAACACGGGCGTGACTAAAGTACTTTAAACACGGGCTTTAGCCACAGGGTGACTAAAAAATTCAAAACAAAAAGTTTAAATTTAAAAACCTTATCGTAAAAATAAAATAGAAGTAGAAAAAATAGCGTAAGCATCACGTGACTAAACATTATTAAACACTCGATTGATTAAACACTAGCCACACTCGCTCTAAATCAATACAGTGACAAAAACTCCCGTTTAACCATTTAAAAATGAAAGTAGAAAAAGTAACATAACCTTAATATGTAAATTTACATTATAATTCCCAAACCCTATGTTAATATGTAATGTTTCCACTTGTAAATCACAAACGCACATTACTCCTCTCAATACTCAAAATTTACGACGTCTAACATTCCTCCCCGCATAATAACACGAAATTATGGATTCATACCGCACATGAAAATGTCAAAACCACCTCGAATTATTATAAGTTACAATCGCTTAGATTACAACCAAAAACCAATATCCTCACTGATTGTCCGAAATTATAGACCATGAAACCATCTACGAAACTCGAACAGATGTGCACCGCGCACTGCATAATACCAAAATGCCACAAGTCAATGTAGGGATGGTCAATTGGTCACTCGGTCACTCCAACTCCAATGAATGAAAATTAAGTGCTCCAAAGTGTGTTTACGCAAGTGATGCAACTTTCAACTCCAAGCCGAAAGACAATTAACGCAATACAACATGGCCGCATGTGGGTGTGATGCCCAACTTCCTGCTCCGCACTCAATTTGTTCGTTATTCAAGCGATTGTCCCCAAACTCGAACCCAATTGTAATTCAATTTGACTTTCCACTTTCAAATCGATTAACAATCAATCATTCATTTAACCACTGAGTAACGAGTCTTTTCTAGTGTCATGCTTATGTTGTTCACGCGACGCTATGCAACCAAGATGACAGGCCGCAATCGTAAATTGATTAATCGACGATGGATGATCGCGCAGAACTCTTCTTTGCGCACAAACGAGTTGAATTGTATCAATGCACATCCTGGTTAAAAATTATGACTGAGTCAATCGACTGATCGATCGGATGAAATTTTATTCATCGCGTATTTCTATTTCGATGACACGCGCCGAGATAATTGTTATGCACACTTTGCATGCGCCCTTAATGTATTCACAATCGAAAACTCGAAAGCTTTGCAAACAAAGTGGACATCGGTCTAAACTAAAATAAACAAATGTCTATAATGTATTATTGCGTCACGTTGTAATCTAATCTCAAAGTATTGAAGAATTTCACGTAAAAGTCTTAAAATTTTTATTTGTGTATCGATGAGTAGACTTATTGAAGTTTTCACGTTTCGCATTGGATTAATGCGTTAAATTTATGTTACATTTTATTATGTAAGGGTGTGTGCAGTGTGTGAGGGATGATTCTCCACGCTGGGAGTTTTAAAAATAGGGGAGTGACGCGCTTTAAAACGCAATTAAACAATTAAAACCGTTTGGATTGTTCGCTGCAGTCATTGAGTGACATTTGACAGTCGGAACGTATCACAAATGCATTCACAATCGTCGCAATCATTTATTTTATTCAGCGTTTGCGTTTTTTAACACTTCAAGAAGAGTTTAAACCCGTTAATCGTTTAAAAGCCACACAATCAAATATTCACGTTTTTTTCAAAGCGGAATAATTGATTGAAGTGTGAAATTCACGTTGAATTCATAAATGAAGCATTTTCAGAGGTTAAGTCACTTGAAAACGGCTGATTTATGAAAGAATAGAGAATACTCACTGATTTGTTTAGTAGATTTGCATCATCGTATCCCGGTGGTGTTTGGGTGATGTAATTATTGTTAATACATTGTTTATAAATAAACTCGCGGATTAGCGTCCGAACATTGGCGATTATCAACGAATACACTGTGGTTTCACGCGCGTACTTGCACTGTACGAGTATACCGTTAGTGTAGTGCGTATCCGAATGGATGCAAGATGAGTTAAGTCGACTTTGACTTTAAGTTGGCTTAAGGTCGACTAGTTGGGTAGTCAGCGGCCGATTACGGCATTAGCGGCAGTGTTCCGCTCTATTGTGTTTGTGTTTGATGAACATGTTCGTCATGCTCGCGATAAATAATGCAGACTTTTTTTTGTTCTAGTCATCGGAGTGTTGCATATACATACTGAAAATTCGCATTCATTTTAATTACAAATTTGTTTATTAATTATGTTTTGAGTTTTATATTTATTAGTTTTGTTTGAGGCATGTGTGTATTGTGGGTTGCCTAACAGAAAACGTCTCTTGATATATTTTATTGAAATACGCAAAGAAAAACGACAAAAATTAAGAAAAAACAAGTTTTAGACTAATTTTGTTATAGTTCAAATGATTTTAAACGCTTGAAAATGTTTTTAATGTAAGAAGGGGCTAATTAACTATAAATTATTCAAAATAAAAAGCAAATATGTCAATTTTTTGATGAGATATTAATTTTTAACCAAATTTTTGCTTTTCAAATGATAAAATCAACATAAAAATCAACCGAATATAAAATCCATACAGGGTGTTTCCAAAATTCACTAATATTGCTTAGTGATATCATAATTCTTTTATTTATTGAATCAAACAAACAGTACTACTCTTTGTTTGTTGCTCATGTGCCTTTCTTCTCGCAACAGATTCCGCCAATTTATCAGCAACATGAAGCTCAACTTTCAAAACAGCATTCTCTTCTTTCTGCAGTTTTGTCAACGGCACCCCTACATATTTCGCAACCAACTCAACAATACATGAATTAGTCGCTTCCCCAGTTTTCGCCGAAGTAAGATAATTATAAAAACCGTTTTCTTTCACAAATTGCCGTGTCCTGTCCAATCGCACACCGCGTTGATGCTCCAAGTCGCACTTGTTGCCTATTATTGCGCTCAGGGGCGGACTAGTGATCAGTGAACCGATGGTATCGATCCACGCGCACATATTTTCAAAACTTTCAGCGTTAGTTATATCATAAACCAATACAATCATCTGTAAAATATAAAAAATAATAATTATGCATTAATATTATAAATAAACAACTTAGGTACATCTGCTTTGAATAAATATTTATCAAGCATATGTGCTTTTCTTTCTTTTCCACCAATATCTGTAAGTTTCAAAACAATTTCCTGTTTATTCCCGATGGGATTTGCAGTCGGAAGCATTATACGTTTGATATAAAAGTCCGCCCCTGTCGTTGGCGTGTACTGCCGTAGGAAATCCTCGTAACAGAAACGTCTTATCAAACTGGTCTAAAAATAACCAAAAACTAGTAATTTTCTGATTGATTTACCAATTATTGTTGGTAAATTATTTAGAAAACATAAATCGGCTTACTTTTCCAACATTCGGCTCACCGATAAAAACGATATTCACATGCTGCACGGTTGTCTCGTCCTCTTCGGAGTCGGACATGTTGAATTATCCAACGCACTTTCCTCGGCTTTGCATTTTTACCCAAATAGAATTTCCATTGTCCATTCAGGAATAATATCGCACAACGCGTTGGAAATAACAAAAAAATGTCTTGAATTTACTATAAAACCGCGATGTTTTGCTGTGTTTGGAAGCAGTTGTCTTTTAGGTTGTCAACTAGCACAACATCAAACCCACGAAGATGTTCTCCAAGTGTTTCGTTTTACTCGCTGTGCTCTTGGCATTAGGTCAGTTGATCCAAGGCTGTTTGATTACGAACTGTCCACGAGGAGGCAAACGCAGTGGTAAATTCCTACCGGAAACCAATGTTAAACCTGTAAGTCACATATTTATACATAACCTTAATTTTATACTATTTATGTATAATTGTATTATATATTTTTATAGTGTGTTTCATGTGGTCCGGCTCATAGCGGACAATGTTTCGGTCCTAACATCTGCTGCGGTCCGTTTGGTTGCCTACTCGGCACACCGGAAACAGCGCGTTGTCAACGCGACGGGATGTTCATGGAGCGTGAACCGTGTATTGCAGGCAGCGCCACCTGTCGTCGCAACACTGGACGCTGCGCTGCCGATGGTATTTGCTGCTCGCAAGGTAAACTAACTCACATTTAAAATTTATTTATTTTAAAACTAAACATTAAAACTTTCAGACGCATGCTACGCGGATAAGTCCTGCTCTGTCGATACTCGATACGACGTCTACAACTTTGTCAACGCCGAGTACACAGCCTAACTCACTTGAATAAATTAATTTTATTTACACATTTTATCAGTCCGCGCTATTAATTTAATGTTTGATGATTGATTTTTGAAAATAAAACTCACCTGCAAATCAAAGTTGAATTTTTACTTGAAATTAATAAATACGATATTGTGTGCTGAGTAAGCAATCAGTGTCGACTGATGAACGAAAATAAGTTTGCCGCCCCCGTGTGTGCCGGCGTGCTCATATGCTAATCGTCGCTATGGGCAACAAATCGCCACAGGGACGATACAAACACGCCTTTTGTATCGGCGCTCGTTGTGGCTAAAGAGAGATTAATCGCCGCCGCACCGGTCAATAATTTATTATGCAAATTACAACGTTACAACAACCAACAACAACTGAATACGAAAACAATTATTAATTAAAAACATTAAAAAGCGTAAAAATCATCATGGCGAGACAAGTTATCTCAGAGGCGGTTAATTTACCAGGTGCTGAATTGTCTGAGCTTTTTGTCACACAACTAATTTTGTCTTTTCTAGGCATGAAACCCTCCTTACACGTACATTTGGATTTTTTACATAAAGAATCCTGCATACAAACTGATGGATGTGTACAATAATCACCAATGTGTGTAGCAATACGTAGACAGTTTCCTCCTACGTTTAGATAACCAGTATCGCATTTACAGATTTTCTTGTCATTGTCTAATCCGCATGTTGAATTCCATTTTCTAGCGCATTGAACGTTTTGAACACATTCCCTGCCCATTTCTACTTCTGTAATAGATATCAATATAAAAAAATTAAAATCATGTTAAATTAATTTAATTTTAGGTCATTACCTTTATAGCATTCGTATTCATGATCAACATAACCTTCAACACACATGCATATTTTGTTACACACAGAATTTGGAACCATTTCGGTGCATTCTGTTGAAGTGGTACAAACGCCACCTATACGTGGTTTACACTCGCCATCTGTGAGTAGGTACTCCGGACCACACACGCATGTATTAGTCGCGTCACAGATCTGATTTGCTTTCTCACAGTCGTAATCTCTGCTGCAACTCGCCCGGCAGATAAAATCATCATCCAGTTTGAAACCTTTGTTGCATTTACAGAGTTTATCATCGGGACAGTCGAAATGTGCGTTGAGAATACGACAGGAAACGGCGGTGCTGCATTTGAGGCCACCGTCGATTTGATACGCAGTCCCACGACATATTGTATTAGTGGTGCTGTAGTGGTTGCCTGCTTCACAAGTGCACACGCCTTTCTCGCATAACATCTTATTACCACATTCGGATGCATCGGAACATTTCATTCCTAATTCTGCAACGCATTTCTTTGACTGTTCAAAGTAACCATTGCGACACAGGCAGGTATAGGATAGTGTATTACAGATGGCGTTGGTGTCTGCACAAGTATCACCAGAGGAACAAGCTTCGTTCAATGCTTTACCATCTTTTAAGATACTTTTACTTATAGTTACATTATCGTCACGATTATCGTCAATATCATCTTCTTGATAAGAAGTGTCAATGTTTTTGCGGCCGCTACCAATTTTTCTGCATTTTTTGTTGTCACAGAAAGTATTTTCATCTTGACAATCCATATTCAATGAACAAGCCTCTTCCAATGCTGAAAAATAGGTTATGTTATAGGTTAAATTTCGTGGTTATGTTTGATCATACCAGCTTTTCTGCGACAATCAATCCCACTCCGGTCATAATATCCTTCAGCGCATTTACATTGCCCCTTTTGACACACACGTGAATTATAATCCAGGCCATCAAAACATTGATCATTGCTAGTGCATACATCATCGTTTAGTTTCTTATAGATGCATTGTCTCTTTAGATATACATGATCTTCAGGACATTGGCATTTGCCTTCACGACAGGATACAGGCCCACTGATAATGGCGCACTGCGCGTTTACTTCACAACTTCCCTCCATTTTATTGACAACTGAATAAAAACAGGATTAAAATATCTTTGAATTTAGGTTATGTTAGATTAGGTTAGGTTGCAGTTTGGTTTGTACCTTTAATACATTTCGTATTGTCGATATTGAAAACTTCACCTGGCGGGCATTGGCAGAAGTTGTTCACACATGTTGCTGTTGATGGTGCGCAGTTTTCTGTTGTTTCACATTCTGGAAGACTTGCAGCTGGGCCAGCTACATGCAATATTTCCGGATTAGTGTGGAGTTGAATTGAATTTAATGATTCATTGATGATTGTTTATTGCACACCTGTTCACACCTGCGGGTACTTACCAAATATAACTGATAACGTTGCTACACACAGTATTAATCTCATTTTAATTATTTTGTAGTGATTGTATTGCAATGTCTGGGGATACTGATAGTAATTTCAGTTCGATGCGTGTTTTATAGAGGTTTTCAAGATGTGAATGATAAGAACAGGTGTCTAGGTTTAAAAGTGATAAAATAAATGTTTTTATCAGTTAATTTAGGTTTAGTGGAATCAAAAGGTTAAAAATGCTTCATTGTTTGAAAAAATTATTAATTTGTATCAAAAAGGGTTTAATTGTTCCTTCACATAAAGATTTATTAATGAAAAAGTTAAATTTTGATAAATTTAAAAAAAAAATTTATGCAACACTTCGTACTTGGCTTTGAAAGATTTTAAAAGTATTATTATAGTTGATTTATGCAATTGTTGATAAATATCTTAAGAAATTCACTTTATTATCTAGAAAATTATAAAAATTTCCTTTATAAATTCTGTTTTGGTTTGTAATCAAACTTTTTATTCCCATTGTGCAACAAGCAGACTTTCAACCTTTGCTGAACTTGCACCATATCGCCAAACGGCGGCGCGAGGAACTTCAACTGAGTAGCAAGCATCTCCGCATACAATTTACGTGCCTCAACAAAATGCCCGTCAGCAAAAAACGCCTCTGCTTTGCCTGATTTAGGCTCCAACGGCTAAAAAACAATAAATTAAAACAAAAAAACTAAACAAAAAATAAAAAAAATAGACTCACAATTAAACCCGTAAGGACAGGCAAAAGATTAATATCCTTATTACACTTTTCACAAGTAATAGATGGCGTTGGTATATCCTTGCTAGTAGGAACCACGCCACCACACTCACACCTAACGCGCAACACATTCGCGTCAAAATCAGCCAACAGTGGCCAATCCTCAACGCAAGCATGACATGTACAAGAAAATTTATACTTAGAAACCATTTCATTAATCCTGCTCTGTTTTATATCATTAGTATAAAAAGGGCCGTAATTTTCATATACAATATCACCGGCTTTGATTGGTTTTATACTGCGTAGCACCATCGTGTTATTAATATTATACCTGAAAAAAATTTAATTTTAATTTTAATAAATATTTTGATTTAATTTACCTTATAACAGATGGATCACAAGAATGATTTAATAATGCTAATGTCGGATATAAACCAGCACCTACACCACCTGTTTGATAATTAATCGGCTCACCGGAAGTAATTTTCCGTTGAGGAAAATCAGCATTTTTCAATTCAAAAATTTCATGTGCATTATACTGCAATATCTGTAAATATCTCAAGAGTAATCCACCAACGAGTATTTCATCATCTGTCAACTCATTATTTTCACTTTTCTTGCTGAAATAATCCGTGGTTTTTAATAAATTCAACAAAAACGCAGCCATTATTGTCAAATGTAACAATTCCTCTGGATCTCTCACGTCTTCATGACGTACCAATCGATTTACATTGTAATAATCTTCAGTTTTGTATATTACAACATTTCTTTCCTCTTTAGCGTAGGTATCTTCTTTAATAACTTGTTCCAGAGGGCGCTGGGTGATCATCCTCAATGCTAACAGGTTATTCACTGAAACATCAGCGTCATACAACGTCAACAAAATGCTACATTCATGCTGATGATATATTTTAGCTTTTTCTAGACATTGCATGTTACAATAGACAACCTGACAACATTTTGGACATGCAAAGACCTGATTGGTTGATATCGCACAATATCCACAGTTTGTACGGTAAATATTACTGTTTAATACAGCTGCGTATGCTTTTTCAACGCCGACGATTTCTCCAGCTTGGAAATCATCTTTTGCAACCACATAACGCCCGAGTATATTATCCTTTTTAACTATTAGTCTGCTTGACAGGGCTGGATAGGTTATGTTTTTTGAGCACCATGTAAATTCTTCACATGGTGCACTTTTGACACGTCCATCTTCTTCAAATTCGATTACTGCAGAATCTGTTGATTTACAAAGAGCGTCCAAGGCTTTTGTTTCGCGTGCAGTTAATTTATCAGGGTTTGGGTGGTGGCCATATTGTTTTAGAAAGGCGACATCTTGTAACACTTTTTGGTACATGCTAGTGTCAAAAAACACCGCGCTACGGTTAGCTATTAATATAGCGTACAGTTTTTTACCTTTAACTAAACAAAACATACATAACCTTAATAATGATAATAATAATACTATACATAACCTTAAATAGTTTTTGTGTATTTTTTGCTTACTGTCATCTTGTGGACATCTTGTGATTGCTTCGTTGTACACGCACAAAGCTTGATAGTTGCAGCGTTGATGAAAGAGTTTATTGCCGCTTACTTTGAGAGCTTCAGCACGTTCCAGGTCTTTTGGTGTCCATGTGGCCAAATCGTACTTAACCTCGTTTGAGAGTGCGTAGACAAATTTTGTCCTTGATGCGTCGTCTGTTATAGTACGAAACTCTTCTACTTTATCTTTGCTTAGTTTTTTAATTAATTGCTCGCAATGCGTTTGAAATTTTGGTTTCGTCATTGTGGAAGTGCAGGTTCTAACGCGTGTAGGTACGAATACAACATTTAGAAGAAGCTCAGTTATTTGCTGAGCATGTGCTGCGCGGTATAAATAACTTTCGAAAAGTTCTATTTTTAGTTGAATCGAGTGTAGTTAACACGCGGAAACTTTGTGTGGACCTTTATAGATTATATTACAATGCTATTGTTATGTTTTTTTAAATTTTCTTAAAGAAATGTAAAGAAAAAACACATAAAAATCAATTTTTTTATTTCCTCTGTGTTGGATGCAATATTTAAGCCGTTGCTTGATGTGATGAATGTTAACATTCAAAGGCGTGAAAAATGACAGAAGTGTGTCGAGTATTTCAGCGTACAGTTTCCGGGCTGATTCAAAATGGCCGCTGAGGTACGGATCCTCCATTTGGTTTAATTTTAATAATAAAAGCTGCAAAAATAATAAAATAAAATTTAAACTGAAAAAAATAAAATTTTGACTTATTCGGCTTACATTCAGATGTTCTTCAACAGATGAAATACTAGAATGTTTAATTAAAATATCATTATCAAATAAGGAGATTTCTTTAAAAAGAGGCCAGTCATCAATACAAGCTGAACAATTGCATGTAAATCTATAACACCTTTTCAATAAATTGATGCGTTTGTCTTTTCTCATGTTGAAATATGCAGGACCGTAATTATCATAAACTACATCACCAGTTTTGATTGGTTTAATACTTCTTAAAACTATTAAATTGTTAATATTGTACCTAAAACATTTTAAAATTAAATTTTTTTATTTGTTTTTCTAAAAATAAACTTTACTGACTTTATGACTGAAGGATCACAAGAATGATTAAACAGTGCGATTGTTGGATAAAGCCCAACACCAATCTCAACACTATTCTCCGCCATCTTGCAATTCGGCATTTCCCTAATCGCATGAGCATTATGACGTAGTATTTTTAAATATTTTAAAAATAATTCACCAATCATAATTTCCTCCTTGGTTAATTCTTTGTTTCTAGTGCTGGATGTGAAATAATTTGTTGTTTTTAAAAGTTTTAACAAAAACACAGCTGTAAATGTCACTTGTAACATCTCCTCAGACTCTGGTTCATCTGCATGTTGTATTAATTCATTAACATTATAATAATCATCTGTATTTTGAATGATTTTCGCTAGAGGGCGTTGAGTAACCATCCTTAATACCAATCGAACATAACCTAAATCATCAGTAAACAAAGCTGATGAAATACTGCATTCATACTGATGATAAACCTTAGCATTTTCCAAACATTGCAGACTGCAATATATTTCTTGACATTTGAAACACGCATAAATCTGATTGGTTGATATGGCACAATGAGCACAATTTGTTTTATTTTCTATAACAGAAGCGGAAGGAACTTCAACAGCAATGATTTCTCCTGTTTTGATATCATCCACTGCTACAACATGGCGTCCCATTACATCGTTTTGTTTGACAGTCAGTTTATTTGACAGTGCAGGATAGGTTATGTTTCCTGAGTACCATGTCATCTCTTCATTTATTATTTCATTGGATTTGTTATTAATATTATTAATTTCACATCCGGATTTACGCAGAGCTTCCAAAGCCTTTCTTTCTCGTGATTTGAATATTTTTAGGTTAGGATGGTAGCCATATTGTTTGAGAAAAGCGACATCCTGTAAACCTTTATGGTATTTACGTTGTGCAAAGAAAACTGAACTGCGTTTTTCAATGAGAATTCCATAAAGTTGTAAACTTTTCACTGGAAATCACACATAACCTATAATAACACATAAATACAAATAAAATGCAGGAACTTACAATTATCTTGGGGACATATTTTAATTGCTTCGTTGTATACTTTTATAGCTTTAGAATTATCTCCTGTTCTGAAAAGTTTGTTACCTTTATCTTCTAATGCTTTTGCACCTTCGAAATCTTTTGGTACGGATGTAGACAAATCGTATTTCACGTTTTTCTCACAAAAATAGTACAGGAATTGTATTCGAGAGGTGTTACTTGTTAAACTATTAAATTGTTTTCTTTTATTTTTCGTTTTTATTTCCTTTGTCACTTTTTTCCAATACATGACAAAGTAATTCATAGCTGTAATCGAAATTAGCTACTAAACTGAGTTTTCGCATTGAGTAGGTAACCGCGACAGGCAGTAAATTGATAAGATGAGATAATACTACAGAATAATGTGAAATATTTTGAGATATGTAATTAATCATACATATGTGAAAAACTAAAATATGTATTAATATTATAAAATATGAGATAACTTAAACAATAGATTTAATACTTGGAAATTTGATTCATGTTTTTGTTAAAACATTTCTACTCTCTGACAAGTTATTACCAAAACAAGCGAATTCAAACACGCCTTCATCCTCCCCGAACAATTCGCCATCTTCCAACGTAACCGGAAGTGTTCTAGCGAGTGTTTCTGGCAAGAATAGACACGCCCCTGCTCCGCATATTAACAACACACCTACAATGATCTCCGGCAGAGGGCGCCACCACCCGGCGAGATACAATATCTGTGGACTGAAAAAAGTCGCCGCAAAACCCGCGACGTGAATTACAGACACGCCTTGTGCGCGTACTTCAGTCGGGATTAATTCAAATGCGTACTGATGGCCAGAATTAAACGCTACTATTACATTAAGACGCGCCAGGACAGTAAGAATAAGCATGAGTGTAGCGTCCGCTCCATCCCATGAGAGTATAACACCTACAAGGGAGATGAATACGCCCCCTATGAACAACGAACCCGAAGCTAGTGCTTTGCGGCCGATACGATCTTGAAGGAGGAGTATCACCACACAGCCTGGGAAAATTGTCGCTGAGGTGGCGCTGAAGATCAGGAATGGCGAATAACCAAATCCGTTGATGTTACGTGCGATTGCATCATAACACAAGCTTAATACCATTCTAAAATGTAATATTTAATAAATATTTTTATGTGAATAGTGTTTTTGTTACACTTACGATTTAAATATAAGAATTAACGTCTTTCGTCTCAAACGTGGCGTTTTCATGAGTCCCAAAAAGCTGGCATGACTATGTTCTGATTTAATATGTTCTTTCATGTATGTGCGTAGTTGGTTGCCTACTTTATCGTCAAGTCGACGATTGTTAGTTTGTGCAATGCGTACAAAGCAACGCATCGCTTCATCGAATCGACCTTTACTAATCAACCACTGTGCGCTTTCAGGCACAGCAAAATAAAACAATACAACTAATAAATGTGGTACTGATATCGCTAGCAGAAAGTACTGCCAATGATGCATCAAGACGGCCAACCATGGAACTAACATGGATGCCACACAATAGAACACGCCTATTGATAGGTTAAGTCCAGCTGTACGCATTGACGGCTTCATGTATTCCATTACTGTGAAACATTTCAAGAATAATAAACAAATACGAAAACATGTTTACGTCTGCAGAAAGTTCAAAAGCATAGAAAACTATTTATATCAAGACGCATACCGATCATATACATCATGACAAAATTCGTGTCTGTGGCACATCCAGCAACAAAACGCGCACAACCATAAGTAATGGCGTCGTTTGCAAAGATGGTAATGAAGTTGCCTACAAATGCACACACATTAGCAGCTACCAGGACATGAAGACGTCCTATACGGTCCGCAAGTATGCCAAATCCAAGACTACCAATTAACGAACCAACAAAAAACACGCTTTGGCCCAATGCAGGCTTCCAAGCATCATCACACACCCAATTCAACTGTCAAAAAACAAAAAATGTCAAAAATAAAATTAACCTCACTTATACCCTAGATAAGTAGTAAAATTACTTCTTGTACTAAGCTGACATATCCATAACTACTGTTATACTCCCAGTGTCGACAGTGTTCGACTGCAATCGGTGTGTGATTCTCGTTTTTGTAGGTTACCTTACATGCATCCGCATTGTAGTAAGCAATTTGTGTCAACAACGTGTTATTTAGATTATCCTCGGGATGAATTACGCAGGCATGTTGCGGTTCTACACTGATGAAGGTTTGGCCAAAGTAATGGAATGCAGAGAGGGCGTTGATCAAGCTAAACAACGCAATGAGCACCAGTTGGAAGCGACCAAAGTTGCCTACATGTGCGAGCATTCCGTCAACATCCACGGTGTCGCTACTATCGCTGTCAAAACTTTGTGACAGGATGTCAGGAGTGTTTCTACTACTCCTACTACTTCCACCATGTTTTTCAGACATTTTAAAACTAAAATTTATAAAAAATAAAATTTTTACTTTCTTAAATGTTATATTTAAAAACTTACTTTATGATTGAATATAAAATCCAGTATTTTATGTTTTTTTTCTGTTTTCTTATCTCGTGGACGATTTAACGGTCCCAGTTAAAAACTGGTGAGTGACTTGGCGTATGCACCGAGCGTGCAATTGAATTACTCTCGCCGGCCAATTATGCGCGCTCGAATTGGTAAAACACGAAAGTTTGTTTACGGCTATTTTTACCATGCGTGCGAGAAATGAGTGTAATCAGGCTTATTAGTACTCTAGCGCACTGAGATAATATGTTATTGACTCGTATCGCTTAAGCGTCTGCCGGACATCTTCTTATCTTGTCAAATTGCGTTCGCTTTATAATTTATAATTGCGAATGTCACGAGTGTAGCCAGCGACTAAAGGTGAATTTTTTTTGCGCTCGTTGCGAACTGCCAGCACCCAGAAGCAGTCGTAAATATCGCCGAATTGTTTGCCAGATAAGTGTACCTACGCTTTATAAATATTTTACAACGCATGATAATATTGTCATTCTCCGCACACCCACTTTTGAGGTCATAACAATAGATGACTCCTCATGAATGATACGCAAAAATGGAGTCAGAGCTTTGGACTTTATTACCCAGGTGAAAAATATCCGCGCTTGCAGCGCCACCACTCGTAGCTGGCTTGTATTATACCAGCGGCCATTTTGTTTCATCGCATTTCATCCGCATCTGATGATTTGCGTCGTGTATGATTCAATTGCACACGCTTTCCGCCTGAATGAATGATTTAGGGTGAAAGACGTGTGCACGCCGGTGAAAAAATGAGAATCCATCGAGTTGGGAAATTTTCAGCGGTCAGTTGGCGGTGACGGTCCCCTCTTTATTACCATTCACACACCTGTAGCTACACACGCATCCTCTGCGTTTACCGCTGAGTTGTGGTGTTGCTCCAGCATCAGAAAATCGACTCGGACTCATATTGCTGTCAGTTGTGCGGCAAACGTGCGAGCGATCGTTTGTTGACTTTGTACCGTGCGTGTTATGTTACTTGAGTGTTACTTAGTTGCGATGTCAAGGTCGGGCCGGTAGACGCGGAGCGTTTTGCTGCAATTTGTTCGCGATGCAATTCCGCGAACGCACGCTTTGGATATGTTTGTGTACTTGTTTGGGTAACTAACGGCGATTGCGGCGAGGAGATGCGAGATGCAATTTTTCATCGTCATCGGCACTCTGTGTGGGATCTTAGAGGCCGTGAGGGGCAATTTAGGTAAGGCTACTACGCATGCGCATTACAAACATCTTAAAAACTTAAAAATGGAGCTTTAAAATAACTTTTCTCCGAAAAACTCATTTTTCACCATTTTCTAGTGTTAATAACTATTATTAATTCAAATACTTAAGTTTGTAACCTCAAAAACAACAAAATACGTAAATATTAATAAAAATCTATAAAAATAAATTGTAAAAACCTTAATTAAAAGGCTCTAATGTTAAAAACACTTAAAATTTTTCTTCAAAAAATATAAATTTCGCGTTTTTTGTTGTTTTGCGCTATCGCGCATGCGTATTACACTCAATCAACTCTCAAACTCATTAAATTCACATTAAACACTCTCTATTCCTCCTCATTCTCTTCCATTCAGAAATACTTAATACTTAAGCGTATTCAAAGTCAATAAATTATCGCTAGTGTTTATCTTTTCATCTTTGGAGAGATGTTCAATAATAAAGGTTGAGCAACACTCGATTTTTATGACATATACGGCATGCGCTGCGCATGGACTTTCTTGAAGTCGACTTGAACATATGGTCGGAGCCGATATCTTATTAGGTAATAATTAGACAATCGTGGGTCGTTGGTGTGTAGGCACACGACACACAGCACGACTCATTTTTCAACTAAAGCCGTGTGCTGTTGTATCTTGTATCTGAAAGAGTCCGAAGTAGTTTAATTTGTGTCGCGCGCGCCTTAAAAATCGAAATTATTCCATGCAGCAAACAAGTGATAAGCGTTTAACAAACTTTACACAAGTCCACGCTGGATATTTTTCAATGAAGTTGACGCCCACGCCTCACTTGAAAATTTTCCGAGTGTTGTCGACCTCGATTGTTTGTTTGGACGCATTCCAAAAACAAACGTGCATGTAAAATATTGACATCTTTAACTTTAACTTCATTATTAACGCTTTTAAATTTTTCTGTTTCATGTTTGCGCTGCCTAACCTTACTTTTGTGCTTCTAACAACATTCTCCGCTTGTGATTGGTCCAAATTGGTAACACATGGTGGTTGGATATGATATAATTCTCTTTTAATGTGAAATTAATCAATGTAGCATTGTTGGCAGGCACTTTGCGTACGTTTCAGGCAGCTGCATGCGACAACGATGCGATTCACCTAAGATGTCCGCCCGGTACACGCATAGCTATCGAGTTGGCGCGTTACGGACGCATAGGCAACCAACAACACGTTTGTCCATCCTTAGACAAACGAAACAAAACATCTACTGCCATAATGATGTCTGGCACTTGTTTACTTCCAACTGCACAGCAAACGGTTATTGGTTTGTGTCAAACAAAGACTGAATGTCACTTTGTGAGCAACGCGACTGTTTTTGAGGGCGATCCGTGTCCCCAAGAGCGGAAATACGTTGAAGTCGCTTATAAATGTCGACCTTGTAAGTGCAAAAATAATCTAAGCTGAGATATCATATTTCTTTTGTGTTTTACTGGCTGCAGATGAATTTCGAAGTCGTTTGGTGTGTCAGGATGAACGCATGCGTTTGGCGTGCAATACAAACGCACGTATTGCAATATTCACCGCCATTTTCGGACGGGGTAAAGGCGAAAAAGATGATAAGACGCCATGTGCCTCAGAATATTTCAATCAATCAGAAAGTAATACATTTTTAACCCCATTATTCAACTCAAATTAATTAAAAATACTTTTAAGGTTGTTTTTCAAGTTATGCAACACAAACAGCAATGCAGGCGTGTCATGGCCGACGTACATGTGAATTGGTGGCAAATGCCTTGACCTTCGGGCAGCCTTGCAAAACAAAAACAAAAGTTTACCTTAAAGTCATCTACACATGCGGTAATAAACTATTAACAAACAAATCAACATTGATTTGATTTAATTTTTTGATTCCATGCTTTCAGTGCCAAGAAAAGTTCTAAATAAACAATACGAAGCGCGCGTGGTAGAATTCACCGACGCACAGATGGCGCCAGTCGACAAATATCTACCGCATGCCAAAAATGATCTTGGCAACGCTCAAGGTTAAACGATTAACATTTAACATTTCTACCAGTCAAATTAAAACCGTTGTGCCATTATCATTTACAGTTTATTACAACCTCAAGTCATCGACGACCACATCGTCCACCATGCTCCAAAAAGATACGTCGGCCATCTTGGATAATAACTGCACGGTTGAAATATCTGACAATGACAAACCGAATAAAGTCATCGGGTTTATTTCGCAATGGATCAACACGTACACATTTGTTGCACGTAAGTTTCTCATTCATCATTTCAAAATTGCGTATTATTTAATTGTGTAATTATAAAACCTTTCAGAAAATCAAGAGCGCTTCTATTTGTACCTAATCCTGAGCCTTGGTGCCGGAGTTTTACTCTGTATGAGTCTCCTTATTATTTATCTACTCGTTCAGAGGGGGCGCGCACGTCGTGAGGCAAAATATCGAAGTACAAGTTACGGTGGCGGTGGATCAATCCTCCCGCATGGATTTGCGGATGATATCAGTGTTGTAGACGCTGATATTGACCTGGATCTGCCCATTGTCTCCATGCGACCGTTTTCGAACACTGCCCTCAATTCAACAACGGCCAGCGCACCTTGTGAGCTTCTACGTGGATGTCATACACTGCCGAGGGACATGCCACGCAGTTTGAATGCTGGTGGAGGCGCGAATAGCTCGTTTTTCTACGGATGACCTGATAGCCCGGACACGCTGTATAATTTCACGTGTTCGGGCTTAAAGTATTAAAAACTCAACATTTGTATCAAGTACCAAAGAATTAACTGAATTAACTTAAATCCAGGTAAGAACCAATGCCATTAACTCTTCGAAATACGTTTGCCGCTGAAGTATGTTGTAATGTATGTTATTTAATGTTATTTATTTGTTTTTTGATTAAATATTTGAAAAGTTTTCGGACTAAACTTTATACTTGTATGTAGGCAACCCAACAATCGTGCAAAGCTTTGTACAAAGCGTTTTTGCAGCAAAACTATGTTAAAGTTAACTTACTTTCATTGGCACGCAATCAAAGCTTGAAATGCAGACCAAGTAAATATAATTAACTTTATTCAATTAACAATCTCAATTCATTCCGCGTAATGAACAAACCAATAAATATGTTTTCATGTTTTGCGTGTAAGTACACAAAATCCCATGGGAAACAAACACAAAACGCTCCGACTCTGTAATTAATCAAATATCACGTTCGAATGGCAAGTGATAACGAATTAATAACAATATAAACTTTAAACAGTAAATTTAAACTGGCCGATAGTAGTAATCGATAAATTTGGGTTGCAATGGCTTTGGTTTCAATGATACAATTTAGTTAAATGTCTAACTAAGCTTAACCTAGACTCGAATAATGTACAATCACAATATTTAATGGCCCCGAGTTCGTCACCGAATACTGTCGCTCAGTCACCAACATCGCTGTCCCGATCACCAATCAGATACAGCACTTGGAAGGCCACGCCCAGCAGGAGTGTCCCCAGCAAATCGCCAATCGCGGTCAGATACGGAATCGCAGAGTTATCCGGATCTATGCTCAGCTTCCACATCCACACGATCATCACCTGCGCAATGTATAACAAGAGAAACACCTGCAAGAGCGCAGCGGTTAAGTAAACCAGCATAAAAATAGGCGTGAATGACGTATGACCCGCTTGTAAGTAACTGATGGTATATGAAAATATAAGATGGCCGGGCACCACCATTAGCAACAGCATTCGGGCAGTTCCGGCATGTGGAGTCTTCGCACTGTCACAGAATGCCACACAAGGCGATAGGCAAACCTCCTCACCTCGAGGCAGTCGACCAATTACAGATTTGCTATGTAATTCGGTTGAAATGCGACTTGCTTGCACCGCGGCGAGATTACCACCGATGCCGTTGATCACCAGTTGGAACACCGCCACGCCTTTGTACTGCGAGACGGTGAAGTCGAGTATCAGCCCGCCGATGCTCGAAATAACCATGGCGACAATCACCGGTGACCAGCCAGTGTCCAACACTTCTTTGCTGTATTCGTTCTTCGACGCGAACCAACCCCATAGGGGCACGAATAAAATCCCTACGATTATTATCACTACGGGCAGCCACGGTAGAGTATCAATAGTTTTGTACAACAATGACGCAAAATACGACAGCAGCGCCAGTGTGGTTAAATCACCCAAACTAGCAGCGATAGGTGTCGCCACATTATCGGGATTAATATGAAAATGCCTCGAGAAGAGGATTACACCCACCATGACAAGACCAAGGATAAAACTTGCCATAAACGCCGTGCCGACGCTACTAGCACAGAGTAAAAGCGCGTGTTGCAGGTTGAATTTCCCGGCGGGGATCCACCCGAAGATGACAGCCGCGATGGACGCAAGGAAGCCCACGACGATCGCTTGGCACTGAATCAGTGAGAGATTGCCGGCGATGAGACTCCATTGCTGCGAGCGCGTGTCCAAGTGGCCCAGGTTCGCATGCGTGGAGAGACGCGACGCCAGCGTCATCTCCAGGTTGCCTTTGAGGCCCAGCAAGGCTGGCACGAGAATGTAAACTTCGGAGACGTTTTGAAACACGGGCCAATGTTGCACCATATCGAGGAGGAGTGATGCTGCCACCATGCCGAAGCCTGCCAGCAGGAAGGGGATGAACATCTGGACAGATGTCGCTAGGATCGACTCCTTTGAGGAGAATTGCACTTTTGGTTCGTCGCATGGTATTAGTTGACTGCGCACTGAGTCGTCTCCAAGCTCATCCTGAAAATAATAAGTATTAATAAATTGTTTTTGTAATAACTCACATTATTAATCACTTTATTCATGTTTTTAGTTGTTTGGTAAGTGCCAATGTACTATTTGAATATTTTTCGCAATTTTAACAAAAACTACTCATTTCCTGACACAAAAAAATATTTTAAGTGTTTTTACACAAATATTTTAATCACTGTTGCCTCTAAACTAATTAAATATGTAATTATTTCAATAATTACCAAGGTGTTATTTAATATTTTAAGAAATATGTGAAAAAATATTTAAATTGTTTGTAATTTAAGATTTATATGATATACTTACATTGTCCAAATGTAAAGTCATTGTTCTCTTTTTCTTCTTGCTCTTGAACTTCCTGTGTGTAAGACTATCATCGAGGGAGCTGTCTGATGACATGATTCCTGCAGGGACACCTGTAAATTGAAGCGTTTTTCTCGTCAGATTTCGCCGAGAGCGACGTGGACAAGCGTGCCAGCATGGCATGCATATTTGCACGCAGCGATAAAACAATGCGATAATTGCAATCAAATATTTGTTACGCGGTTGTTGTTCGAAAAGCGCTTTTTAGTCTGCGTGCCCTGTTAATTAGCGTTGGCTAACCTCACTCTCATCTTCGGCCGTTGTTACGGATTAGTTTCGGAGGCGATGAATAAAAACGTGTTAAGGTGTTAATGAGCACGCACTGCGCCTGGCGGGCGCGAACAACCTGTGTCACGGAGAATTTTGGACGAACAATGTAGGAACTGATAACGAAACAGAAACTGCCGAAAACGAAGGTCGCCGTATAACAGATTATGAAGTCAGCTGGCAGCATGCCATGGTAGGCAACATTATAAACACGCAAAGTTATTCAAAGTTATTCAAAGTTTCATTCTCACTTATAAAGTCTTCATTTTGTACAGATTATTCTAAATAATATATTTATACCTTGCATAAACTGCATTAATAAATTATATGAATAAATTATTAGTAATTTTAAAACTCAATCAATTTAGGTTGCATACCTTGCGTATGTGTAAAACATACGCATAAATATGCCAAATTAACCATATAATATTTCATTTATCTTATTATTTATATTTAATTATAGAAAAGGGGCATAATGACAAGAGAAGGAGTTCTTCCTGATAGACATGGCGGTGGCCCACATGGCCTCGGTGATCCTAATGACCGTTCATTGCGAAAAGTCGAAATCGAAGTGATGATCCCAAAGAAAATGCGAGACATCGCCAAGACAGAAAAATGCCCTGAAGAAGTCCTGCAATTCTCACAGTGCTGCAGTAAAAACTCGCTGTTGATGGTGCTTTCCTGTCGCAATGAAAACAGCGCACTCAAGGATTGCCTAGCAAAGTGGTATCAGAATGAAGAGTTTAAAACCAGATGCACCAATGAGTACCTTGCAGAAAGAAGTGAATACAGAAGAACTGGCATCAAACAGAAGCAAAAAGGCAGGTTGCCAGTATCAATGTAAAGTAAATCACATCTTATTTATTAAATATTTATTAAATTATTCAATTTAGTTCATTATTTATTTTGACTTGATTGTTTTTTATGTGAATTTAGAACATTTTCTTGAATTTCAAAGTATTTCAGACAACTGGGATCATTTAGAATATCTGTGGTGTATTGTTGAGTTGGTAGTGCAGATATTTTTGCAACTAGGACTTCCTTTCCAGCTGCTTCTGCTAATCTATTGAGACCTAACAACATAGGTACACTCATTGATCTTCTTGTTCTAAAATTCCAGTCTAAATGTTGAAGATTCTCATCTGACACAACAATTATGACAACATATGTAGAATGGCACTCCTCTGGACTATCCTTGTACAATACTAATCAAAAATTAAATCATTTAAAACATTTAACATTGAATAACACAAGCAATACTTACAAAAATCTCCCCCAAACTTCAAACCTGGTTTGACTATCCAATTCCTGCTTCTATAGTAATGATACACTAAATAATTCTGTAAAAATAATTTATTTTTCTGATTAAATATCTGCCATGCTTGATTAATATCAAGTAATTCCTGTTTCTGGTCAGTTATTTGAATACAATTTAAAAGCAAGAGAAAGAATGCTTCTTCAAGTGACAGAAACAATTGTTCAGTGTGTTGTAATTGTTTTGTATCCTCTTGAATATTTGAATATTCGTCGTCTGAATCGATTTCAATTTGATTTTGTCTTCCTAATACTTTTGTTCCAAAGAATCCGTTACAATGAAAGTTTATGATTGCAATTGGATCATTTACGATTATGTGACTGCCATTAAAAACTGCTGGAAATTTGAATCTATCACCAGTCGGCGATTTAAACAATGGTAATGGGAGGTACTTTGATTTCGCCATATTTAGTAAATATTTTGTTTAACCTAACTACATGTACACGTAAAACATCTTATGTAAACGGTGTACATAATGGATTTGGGATGTAATGTTGGTTGCCTATATTAAAGAACCTGTTATTTACTAGTAGTAAATAAACTAGCTTGTGAAAATATATCAAAAATTTCTTAGAAACCAGAGCAAAACTGAGTAAAACTCTTTTATATGTTCTGTTCTGGTCGAGATAATTGCCATTCTCTTCTCCACCAACCCTCTCTTATCCCTTATTGACTTCTGAGTCTGGCTGCATGTATTCTCCTTCAGATTATCTTCAAAGGCAGATTTTGTCACATCTTAAAGATGCTGAGATTTATAATGAATTTTGATTTTTCATTGGTAAGATGAAGTACAAATGAGCACTACCTAATTTTGCAAGGCATTTTATTGAAAATAAAAGCGATTTGTAATTAGAATGCGTATGTACATTTTATTTACAACTAATTAGTATCTTCGTTCGCGTCGTCGTCGTCACATTCGATTTGTATCCCGTTCGCGCCAACGCACGCGCGTCGCTTTTGTTTGTTTGTATCTTCTCTTCATCTGGCTGCGTGTTATGCGTAAAATTATTCGTTTAAATAACACTATGAGATAACATAAATACAATCTGTCCATTTTGATTATGACGTGATCATCAACTTACTAATAGTATGATTAACAGATGAATGGGATAAACGTAAAACTTAAATGAGCAATAGTGTTAACATAATCTACCGATAAACAAGAGGGTGTCGTGTATGGCTGGCCCCGCCCCTACTTGGGGTTAAAGTACGCCTGTTGCGGGTGGCCGGGCGGCGGGCCGGGTCCCATGGGCGGCCCGCCCATAGGGTTGCGCGTGCCGGTCGCGTACAGCTGCTGCTGGAAGTTGTGGAACTGCTGCGCGTAGTTGGGGTCGGCGGTGGTGGGCCCGACGAACGGCGAGCTCTTAAAGCTATTGTTCTGACTCATCGACGGCGGGAGTGGTTGGCCGGCGTCCGGCGGTGGTCCACCCATGCCCATTCCGCCCATAGGACTGCCTTTCGGCCCACCGACAAACATTTGCGCATTTGGGGGCGGCCCGCCTGGTTGGAACATGCCATCAGGAGGTGGACCACCGGGGCCATTAGGTGGGCCATTGAAACCCATCGGCATACGCATCATACCTTGAGGTGGAGGTGGACGCATTGGTCGCATCATGGGCATCATTCCCATATTCGGTGGTGGACCACCCATCATCGGCCCGCCTCCATTGCCCATTCCGCCCATGGGACCCATTGGTCCATCTTGCATAGGCCCATCCATATGACCACCCATTGGACCATTTGGTCCACATCCGCCAAAGTACTGCATGCCCTGCCCTGGCGGCATCTTCCCGTCCATGTTGGGCACGCCAGGTCCACCCATGGGATTAGCATACCTTTGAAGGAACTCCAACGAAGGCGGACCTCTAGGTCCAGGTGGCGGGCCTTGTCCTTGAGGTTTCGCCGGCATGTACTGAATCGTATTGGGCGCGTTAGGCTTCACCTGCACATTGGCCCCGTTGTAGGGATTCGGACCCGGAGGTCGTCCCATCATGCGCGGCATGTTCATACCAACATGATTACCAAAACCACCAGGCAACTTGGGCGAGAGAGACCTAATCGGACCACCCATTGGCGACCCGGGATGAAACCCATGTGGTGGACCATGCGGAGGTCCTTGCATTTGCCCCATCCCCATAGGATCACCCATATCAGGCATACCGTGACACCCGCCCATATCCATCATGTGCATTGCTGGCGATCCAAAGTTCATCATACCTGGGCCGGGCCCACCTTGACCATTCAACGAGCTGGCGACACTGTTGGTGAGCTGCTGGCTCATCTGCGCCAGCGAGGAGATCGGGTCAAAGTGGGACACCTTTGGATTGCTCATGGTGTTGGTACAGTTGGGGTTGAGGGGAACGTTGTCATTGCGTGCGCATCCGTAGTTACCGCCCATCTCCATCGGGTTAGGTTTGCCGGGGCCGGGACCCGAAGGCGACACGTTCACAAAATTGCCGCCGGGCATCTTATTACCCGGCGACGGGCTGGGCCCGGAGAACCTAGGAACATCCATCATGTGCGGCGAGGGTACCGGGAACATCTCGTTTTTGATCGGGTCGCCCAACGGTGGGCCAGAGGTCTGTGGACTTAGACCCGGACCCGAACCGCTTAACCTATTGGGTTTATCTGGGAACAAACATAATTAAATATTTATTTTAATTTAAAATAAGAAAGCATACCTGTTGCAGAGGGTGTGTGTGGACTGGGCACTGAAAACCTACACCCGTCCGAAGGTGTCCCGGGAAACCTAGGCCCCATATCCATGGAGGTAGGCGTGTTGGGGCCGCTCAGTCGGTTGTGCATGTCGTTGCCGGGAAATCCGCTGTCCATCGTCGTGGGCAAGACTCTATGCCAACAAAAATTAAAAAATCACTCATTTGTTTGTGTTTAAAACTTGAGTAAATACAAAACAAGTAAGATAATACTCACGGTGGCGAAATCATGTTGCCGTCTTTGTTCAGGCTAGTATTCGGCTGCTTCTGAATAATCAGTTCTTGCCCCTCGAACGCATTCAAGTACTGAATCTGTTGTGGAGAGGGCACTGGCATCAGATTGGGCTCCTTCGGCTGCATATTGGGCCCACCACTCGTGGGCACCGCCATTTGCTTTTGCTGGGCTGCCATTGATTGCAATGTTCTTCCAAATAATCCATCTAAGAACAAATGATCATAAAATAACATAAAATTATCTTCAAATTAAGGAAAATTACCTGATGTTGGATTAGTATCGGCACTACTGGTATTAACACTCGGCGAGAGATGCGAGGAAATCGGCGTCCCGGGATTGCTATGATTGGGCCGCGATGGTGAATCCTGCGAGGTGGGGCTTTGCCCCGTCGCGCTCACATGTCGCTGCAGGCCAAACGGTCTCGCAGAATCCGCCGGTGAGTTGAGCGCCGACGACGCCCGCGATGGCGACGGCAGCGACAAATTTGAGGTGGGATTATTCGGCGACGCCGGATTCGGACTCTGCAGCGCAATGGGAACACTCGCCGACCTCGGGGTTTGATGATAGGGCGGCGGTGGTCCTTGCAATCTCGGCCCTTGCCCGGGCGGGCCTGTTCTAGGCCCCGGTCCCGGTTTGTACTGCATCTTCTGCCAATCCATGGGCGGCGGTCCCGGCAAATCCAAACCATCTGGCCCAGGTGGTGGATTACCTTGAGGTTGTGGCCCTGGCGGGGTACCATCCGCACCAGGTCCACCAGGACCGCCAGGTCCATCCGAGCACAGCATCTGATGCAACTTGCGAATCGTGGCGAGTTGTTCCTCTCGATGCTGGCGCTGTTGGGGCGTGAGGTTCTCGTCAGGCACTTTGACACCCTGCAGCGACGGCTGCACATTCATATCCATATCATCGCCAAGGCCATTCTCGCCATCCTTCTGCTCCCATGGCAAATCACCGATATCCTCCAGAGGATCTCCGCTGAGAAAGTCCAAACTATCTCCACTAGGTGGTGGCGCATTAGGTACAGCACCTGGCGGTTTAATCGGAGGCGGCGCAGGACTCCGCACACTCACACACTTATTACTTTTGTTTGTCATTTGCGCGCCCGGCCAGTTCCCGTGCGCCTGCCGATGGAACTGCGCCATCTTCAGCGGGTTTTTCTCCAGGTACTTCTTTGTGCCGGGTTGCGAGCAGTGGAAGGCGATAATCGACGGGAATCGACCCTGCAGCACTTCGTCAGCGCCAGTGTTTGCCAGCACGGTGCTAAACACAAATATCTGACTCTGCTGCTGCATGTATTGCACCTCCATGCTGCTTGGTTGCTTACTGATCACATTGCTTGGCAGCGACTGGACGCCATCGGCGGCGCCGCTGGCGCTGCTCACCAGGTTCATGTTGAACGCGTCCGCAGGCAAGTCGGAATCAATTTCATCTTTAATGATTGGTGTTGATTCACCATCTTCATGCTCGGTTTTAACGTCATGCAGAGACCCTCCGAGTGAGCCCAAATTTGTTGAACCAATGCAGGAGCCGTTTTTCGCCGCGGAGTCCTCTTCCTTTTTGACTGGAGGCGCCTGGTCCTTCTCGGAGCCGCCCGGCTCCTCCTTGACGCCGCCGTCGGCGCCCTTCTCGTGCTTCTCCTTGATCATCCTCTCACTGTGTGCTTGCGCCCGCCGCCGAGTCGCATCACATATGTTCTCGCAATGTTTTTATTTGCATTCCTCGAGCGCGCACTGAGGAGGTAGTTATTTTCATCGTTGTGGGTTAGAATTTCGAGCGCAAGCGAGCGCACCCCCACGGATGAAATCAGCGCCGTTAAGCGGGCACACTTTTAATAATGGGCTTGCATTGTTTTAGTATAGGGTTGGTACAGTTACCGATGTGATTATTGAGATTATTTTTGTTGGAAAACGTCTCGGTCGCGCACAGAATGCCAAACTGTCGTTTTCCACACGCGTTGCTACCAACTTTTCTAGTGACTTTCGCTTTGCCACCAGATTTTATTACTATGTATCATGTAAGATTGCCAAATTTACATTTACTTCTTTTAAACAACTAAGTTACGAATATTAACCCTAAAACATATCACAATAAAATGATATATCTCAAAACATTTGACTTGTGTATTTATTTAGCCTAATAAATCACTGGATTACATGATTAAATACAATTTGAAAATATTATGACTTCTTACAGTTTAGTAAAATGAAATGATTGAATATTATCATGTTTATTATAAGTTAAATATATTAAAATTTCTAATTCTTTTATAAATTTTAATATTCAAAATAAAGCACATATATTATTTCTTTTCGGAATAAATAATTTTTGTCTTTCAAAATTGAAGGCTAGCATAATAAATCTGGCATCATTGCACCACCATTTTGTGTTCACGTGATCAGACGTTTTTTAATGGCGGACGCTTCGCACAAACTGTCGTAAACGAACACAAAAATCCAAAACCTTGAAGCAGAAAGCGCTCCAACAATCGAATTAAGTGAAGCTACTTGCAGTTTCGACTTTTGTTAGTGTTGTGGTGTGCGAATAATAATTAATCGTGTTATGTGCGTGCGAGCGCTGGACGCGCGACCAATGTAACCTCACATAGTTGTTGTGCGCGTTTGTTTGTTGTTGGTGGCGGCGCCCGCGGGGGTGGTGTTGTTTTGGATGCGGTGCAGCGTCTGCGGTGGTATGCGCTGAGCGCGAGCATGGCCGACGTGGTAGCCGCAACGCAGACGCAGGGCGATGGCGGCGCCGCACCGCCGAAGAAGGACAAGCTGTTTGACCCGTCGGTGGAGATGCTCGTGAATGACTTCGACGACGAGCGTACACTCGAAGAGGAAGAAGCGTTGGCAGCTGGAGAATCTGAAGATCCCAACGCAGAGCTCTCAAGTCTGCAGAAAGTAAGTTTATAGGTTAATCTAAACAAAAGAAAATAAACAAATAATTCAATAAATTTTTGTTTAGGAGAGTAATATGCCTTTGGAGGAGTTACTGGCATTGTATGGATATCACAATGATAATAATCAAGAAACAGAGATGACTGTAGATGATGAAAATGAAAATGATGGTGAGAAGGAGAATGAACATGAGGCTGAGGCAGAGAATGATGTGGAGGAGCCTATGGATGAAGAACAACTTGAGCAGGAGGAGGCTGAGTGTGAGCCTGAACCTGTGGAGCAACCCTCAAACTTACATGCTTTATATGAACCCATTCCAGAAAGTGACCAGGATGCTTCAAGGCTTCTTCGATGTAAGCTAAATTTAAAATCATTTTTTTAATTTTTAAACTTTATTATTTTATACATAATTTTTAGCTGTATCCCGAGTAAGCGAAGAAGAAGAAGAGGATTACGACTACAGCCCCGATGAAGATGAGTGGCGAAAGGTTAATAAGGTTAATTTGTCTTTTTCACTCATGCATATCACTCCTAGAATCATAGCCTTGTCCATACAATCATTTACAATTCACAAGAAATCTCCAAAAACGAAAAATTAATATTTTTTATGTTCCTACAGACGATTATGGTTGGTAGCGATTACCAAGCACAGATCCCCGAAGGTCTGTGTCATTACGATGACGCGCTGCCATACGAAAACGACGATAAGCTGCTGTGGGACCCGAACACGATTCCGGATCCGGAAATAGAGGCGTACCTGAAGAAAGCGGCGCATTCCAGCCGCCCACCCGCGATGCCCATGGGCGCGCAGCTGCGCGACGATGAGCAGGCGCTCTACTTGCTACAGCAGTGCGGGCACAATATGGAAGAAGCCCTTCGACGGATCGGCATACAAGTAATACCTGCCTCGGATGCGATGAGTTCGTGGTCGGAGGAAGAGTGTCGCAACTTTGAGGCGGGCGTTCGATCCTACGGGAAGAATTTTCATCAGATACAACAACACAAGGTAATATATTTTATAATTTATCTTTTTAAATTGTTTTTAACTTTGGGAAAATATTCAGGTTCGAACACGCTCAGTCGGTGAACTAGTGCAATTCTACTACCTGTGGAAGAAGTCCGAGCGACACGACATCTTCGCAAACAAGTCGCGCCTTGAAAAGAAGAAATACACACTCCATCCGGGCCTAACGGACTTCATGGATCGCTTCCTCGAGGACCAAGATGGCCGCGATCGCAGCTCGTCGCCGAATGTGCAGTGCAACGCCAGTGGTGACAGCAAAAAGTCTTCTTCGTCTTCATTGACTGCGGCCATTACAGTAGCCACAGCTGCTGCCCCTGCCTCCTCCGCCACGCCCCCAGCGCTCGCCGTCGACATTACGCCCACCATTACCGCCGCCAAGCCCGTCGCCGACACGTAGTTGTTATTATTTATTGTTAACCAAAATTGCAAAGATATATTTTTATACGACGCTATTAATAAGCAGATGCGGGCGAGCAATGGGCAGGCGGGGCCATGGACAGTATTTATTGCAGTGGACGGCGAACGTACAAACACGAAATGATTATGAACAATTTGTGCGGTTGCTGTGTTGTTCTTCAAGAGACTTTCTACACATTCATCGAAAGGCTAAGGAAGAATGACGATTCGTACTTTGTATACACACACGTTAAAAATTATTTTAATTACTATGACATAAATTACATAAATGATACCATACTTGTAAAAATATGGCGCGTGCGCGCAATGTTGAAAATTCGATCGCTTTCTTCGCAAGAGTTTTCAGTATCTTTCAAATATAAAACAAACTTTACGTACAAAATCACCAGTTGTTTTGATTTCTTTGTATATTTGGTTGCCTATCCTGAAGGTTTAAACAGCTGATTGTTTAAAGGAATATTCCTGCACGTCCTTGTCGCTTCCTCTTTACGCCGTTCATCATGGCGAGTGTATTTTTACACAACCCACCCACGGTGCGATGTGTGACTCGACCTCGGTTTGTGTTTGGCATGCGCTCAACGCGCGTATGAAATTTGTGTTATTTTTAGGTTGTGCGAGGCATGTCAATCTTGCCTTGCGTCATTTCACGACCGACGTGAACCAGCTGCACTCTCATTGCTGGTGTACTTCCGGTCAGTGACGACATTTTGCCAATACTAACCTAGTTTTTGGCATTCCAACATGGCGCGGAAGGCGTGTGAGAGCGTTGCAAATAGTGTGAAAAACGCCCTGTATCTTCTGAATTAAAGTACTTTCTTTAATTTTCTTGCTTTTATTTTATAGTATAAGAGACCCTCTACACGATGCATACTCTTTCAACCTTCAAAGCCTTTTGGATGTACCTTAAAATTCCCTTCAAACCATGTTAATATTATGAAAATTAAAGAACATGCCGTGGAAACGCCCTGTATCTCCTAAAATAAATTACTTCCTTCAACTTTCTTAGCACCATATAATAGCCTAAGAAACCCTTTTTACGATGCATTTTATATCAACCCTCTAAACCCTTTAAAAGTGCCATAAAATGCCCTTCAAAAGTTGTCAATTTTATGAAAATTTGAAAACATGATGTGGAAAACGCCCTGTATCTCCTGAACTAATATACTTTCTTTAAGTTTCTCAGCGCCATATTATAGACCAAGAAACCTTTTGTACGATGCATTTTATTTCAACCCTCTAAACCCTTTAAAAGTGCCATAAAATGCCCTTCAAAAGTTGTCAATTTTATGAAAATTTGAAAACATGATATGGAAAACACCCTGTATCTCCTGAATTAATTGACTTTCCTGAAGTTTCTCGCCGTCAAATTAAAGTTAGAGAGTTCATCTATACGTTGCATACTCTTTGAACCTTCTAACCCTTCCGGAAATGCCCTAAAATGCGGTTTAAAAATTGCCATTTTTGTCCAATAAATTTCATTTTTTGGTCGAAAAACCAAGTCAAAATCGTATTTAAAATTATTTTCTGTCGAACAACAGGGTCGAAATTATTTTTAAGAAATTATTTTCGGTCGAACAACAGAGTCGAAATTATTTTTTAAAAATTATTTTCGGTCGAACAACAGGGTCGAACATTTTTTAACAAAATTATTACCTGTCGAACAACAGGGTCGAACTTTTTTCTTAAATTTTTTCAAGTCGAAATCGTCGAACTGCCCCTCCACCATCAAAAAGTTTAATAGATTAAATGGCGATTATCTAAGAAACTAAAAGAGATAGGAAAAAAGAATTTCATAATCTTGATCCTTAGAGAATTCTTTACAAGACTGCATATGTTTTGTAAAACGACCAAATTTGAATAAAAAAATTAAAGAAAAGATTTTATTAAAAAAATGGCAAAAGATTTCTCTTTTTTATGTCGAATGCAGTTTTCATTACAAGTTGCAAATAGAGCCCAAACGGTTATTGTGAGCAAAAAATGTTACTAAAATAATCGATGTAGAATTTAATTATCATTCAGAATCCGAAAACAGAATTTAAAAATTCCAACTTTTAATTTCGAACATAAAAAAGAAATCTTTTTTTATGACGAAATCTTTTTTCACCAAATTCACCTTCTATAATAATTGGAATTTCTGAATTTTGTTTTCGGATTCTGAAAGTAGATTAAATTGTGAATCGGAAATCAGTAACACCATTAACGATTAAGGCCCTATTGGCATGTAAAATCCAATTTTTGTATTAAAATTGCAAATAGGGCCTAAACGGTCAATGTTATATTCTGTTTTCGGATTCTTCAAGCTATATTTTAGATAAATATTCTAAATCGACTGTTTAAGTAATTATTTTCCTAACATTAAAGATATAAGCCCAATTAATCATAATAATTCATGGAAATCCAACAAAAATCAGGCGGGAATTGTCTATGTCCACTTTCTGCGTTCCTAATAGCACGAACTGATGAGCAGCTCAATTTTCTATTTCCTCGAGCAAATTTTGTTGAAAATTCCGTTGAAATTTATACACAAAATGTTTTGAATATTAGGATCGCAGAATGTGCGAGTAGGCTGCTGAATTAATAATGAAACTTATTGTAACACCCAGTGGCGGCATAATTTATTTATTCATAAACAGATGGCAGTGGTGACAAAATTTAAATAAATTATGGTAAAAATTAAACTACAAATTGATTTTAAAGTGTTTCACGATTGCAGGAATGCACAGTTATAAGCCATGCTACAGTAGTTGCCTAAAGATACCTTATTAAACAATATGCATAACGAATACGTCCACTATTAATTTAAAACCAATTTTTTATTTAATATTGCACCAAAATTAATTTAAATATTGTCACTACTGCCATCTGTTTATGAGTAAATAAATTACGTCGCCACTGGGTGTTACAACAAGTTTCATCATTAATTCAGCAGCCTACTCGCACATTCTGCGATCCTAATATTCAAAAGAATTTTGCGTAGGAATTTCATCGGATTTCTCAACAAAATTTGCTCGAGGAAATAGAAAATTGAGCTGCTCATCAGTTCGTGCTATTAGGAACGCAGAAAGTGGACATAGACAATTCCCACCAGATTTTTGTTGATTTCCATGAGTTTTATGATTAATAAGGAATATAGGGATAATGTTAAGCAAATAATTACTTAAATAGTCGATATAGAATTAAATTAGCTTGCGGAATCCGAAAACAGAATATAACATTGACCGTTTAGGCCCTATTTGCAATTTTAATACAAAAATTGGATTTTACATGCCAATAGGGCCTTAATCGTTAATTGTGTTACTGATTTCCGATTCACAATTTAATCTACTTTCAGAATCCGAAAACAAAATTCAGAAATTCCAATTATTACAGAAACTGTATTTGCTGAAAAATGATTTCGTCATAAAAAAGGCAAAAGATTTCTCTTTTTTATGTTCGAAATTAAAAGTTGGAATTTTTAAATTCTGTTTTCGGATCCTGAATGATAATTAAATTCTACATCGATTATTTTACCAACATTTTTTGCTCACAATAACCGTTTGGGCTCTATTTGCAACTTGTAATGAAAACTGCATTCGACATAAAAAAGAGAAATCTTTTGCCATTTTTTTATTAAAATCTTTTCTTTAATTTTTTTATTCAAATTTGGTCGTTTTACAAAACATATGCAGTCTTGTAAAGAATTCTCTAAGGATCAAGATTATGAAATTCTTTTTTTCCTAGCTCTTTTAGTTTCTTAGATAATCGCCATTTAATCTATTAAACTTTTTGATGGTGGAGGGGCAGTTCGACGATTTCGACTTGAAAAAATTTAAGAAAAAAGTTCGACCCTGTTGTTCGACAGGTAATAATTTTGTTAAAAAATGTTCGACCCTGTTGTTCGACCGAAAATAATTTCTTAAAAATAATTTCGACCCTGTTGTTCGACAGAAAATAATTTTAAATACGATTTTGACACGGTTTTTCGACCAAAAAATGAAATTTATTGGACAAAAATGGCAATTTTTAAACCGCATTTTAGGGCATTTCCGGAAGGGTTAGAAGGTTCAAAGAGTATGCAACGTATAGATGAACTCTCTAACTTTAATTTGACGGCGAGAAACTTCAGGAAAGTCAATTAATTCAGGAGATACAGGGTGTTTTCCATATCATGTTTTCAAATTTTCATAAAATTGACAACTTTTGAAGGGCATTTTATGGCACTTTTAAAGGGTTTAGAGGGTTGAAATAAAATGCATCGTACAAAGGATTTCTAGGTCTACAAAATGGCGCTGAGAAACTTAAAGAAAGTATGTTAGATCAGGAGATACAGGGTGTTTTCCATATCATGTTTTCAAATTTTCATAAAATTGACAACTTTTGAAGGGCATTTTATGGCAGTTTTAAAGGGTTTAGGGGGTTGAAATAAAATGCATCGTACAAAAGGTTTCTTGGTCTATAATATGGCGCTGAGAAACTTAAAGAAAGTATATTAGTTCAGGAGATACAGGGCGTTTTCCACATCATGTTTTCAAATTTTCATAAAATTGACAACTTTTGAAGGGCATTTTATGGCACTTTTAAAGGGTTTAGAGGGTTGAAATAAAATGCATCGTAAAAAGAATTTTTTGGGCTATAGTATGACGTTGAGAAACTTGCAGAAAGTATATAAGGTCAGGAGATACAGGGCGTTTTCCACATCATGTTTTCAAATATTCATAAAATTGCCTACTTTCGAAGGACATTTTAGGGCACTTCCAGAGGATCTAGTGCGTTGGAATGTAATGCATCGTAAAAAGGGCTCCTTGGACTATAATATGGCGCCGAGAAACTTGAAGAGAGTATAATAGTACAGGAGATAAAGGACGTATAACATAATATAAATACCTGTTTGAAATTTCGGTATCCTTGCTTGCTGCGTGTTGTCTTGTGCGGTACCGTAAGCAAATGCGCAGGCGCAAGCTGCATCCCGTGACTAAAGTAGCCACGACCTTGGCCGTCCGTGTTTAAAATACCACTTTTTGCGACCTAAACCGTGGAAAAACTGGCGTTTGATAGGTGGAAGTAGAAAAACGTAATAACAAGTCATTTCTGAGCAGAATAAAGAAGAACGTTTCTTTATTGTTTTATTATGTGTTATTTTTTTGTTTCGTTATCATGTTCATGTTCCATCATATTTATTTCCTATTGTATGCAAGTCTAATACTGATTAAACGTACAAAAATCGAAGGATCATAGTTCGTTTTCTCATTTTCTGTTCTCATTATAATTTAACATTAATTTTTTTCTTGTTTATTTTTAATTCTCATTCATAGCGTTGTGTGTGGTTTATTTTTGTTCAAAATCTTTGTATTTTTTTGTTGCTTTAGAGTTTTACACAAAACGAATTTTCCTTGTATCATTTGTAAATTGTTTTTGTTTGCGCATGCGCACTCGTCGAAACACCTGGATTGCTGTAAAACTAGCGAGAGAGTATTCGTAATTAATTTAAACAACAATGATAATCCGTAACATGTAGAATATAATAGGAATCAATTAATTAAATTCGCACTAGTAGAAACGTAATAATAATCGTAATAAGTAAATATAAATTTGCTAATATATAATATTCGTCCGCGAATGTCCTCACAATCATAGATGAGAGTAATAAAATCGTTTGTGTGTGTGTTCTTCTTTTGCATATTTATTTTTTATGCGGGCGGGGGGCGAGTAGTGGCGGTGGGGAGGACGGGGCGTCGCGCGTCCACGCCCATTGCACTCCCACTCCACCAACAACACAAAAATCACAATGATATAGGCGCCCGAAGAGTTTATATTACATTATGTACTTCGTTAGTTTATGTATAAGTAATTATAATACGTATTTGTTCACAAATGTTCTTCGTAAAAACGAGTGTACTTTACAGAATTATGTGTGTGTGGGAGGGATCAGGGGGCGGGTAAAAGGAATTATGTGGGAGGGGTATTGCTGCGTCGACTAAAGACGGCAACGCTGCGAACGCAGGAACGTTGCCGTTGCAAATGGCCGCCGCGTGGTTCGCGTCGCGTGTCTCGTGTAATTGACTCGTCCGTCGGCGGCAATGTGATATGTGAAAGTGCGAGGGGTGGGCAGGGGCGGTTGATTTGTTTGGTGGGAGTTCGGTGTGTGACGATTAGAAACGACGAACGCAGGCACACACACACACAGTTTACGTTTTGTATATTCGCACGCACACACTCAGGCACACATTGACACATACACTCGCGCATTCACGCTGACATTCTGAGATCCGAATGTTTTATTTTGTTTTGTTTGATAATGCACGAACTCCCGTGGTTCTCGGCTCGGCCTACCTAACAACGATATCCAGAGAGATAGAGAGTTTAAAATACGATCTGACGATGAAGTGTGTGGGCGCGTGATGCAACTCGAGAGGGGGGAGGGCTGAAGAAAAATATATCACCGTTTACCCTGTGCAAGTCTCCCGTGACTCCCGTCGCACGGACTTGCTAGGCGCTAGCCGAACGCATGTACAGGTACACACAGCAGATAGGGGGCGGGCGCGTCGCGCGATCAGCGCGGCGGCGGCAATCAGAAGCCGCCCAGATAGGGCGGATAGCCAGGCGGTGGATGCGCCGGTTGCGGATAGCCGTAGTATGGGTAGTTGGGGCTGGGCACGTGCAGGCCGGCTGCGGCGGCGTGATGGTGTGCCGCGTACGCGGACTGCGCATACGCCGATGGCAGTTGCGGATAGCCGCCGACGAGTGGTACCGGTTCGTATGGTGGCGCGCTCCACGTGGGCGTGGGGTACAGCGGGTAGGCGGAGGCAGGCGCCGGCGTCGATGAGTAGTTATACGCAGCTGCCGGACTCACAGCGCTACGGTGATACCCACTAAACTGCGCACCGTATTCTCCACCGACGTGTTCACTACCCACGACTCCTAAGGGAGGCGGTTCACCTTCTGTGATGCTGGGTATCTGATCGACGAGTGATTCAAGCCCCGAGAGGCTTTTCCTTGCCATATCCTGCGGCTGACGCGGTGATGGGTAGTGCTGCTGTTGCTGCCCGTTGTGTTGTGATTGCGGAGGCGGTTGTTGAGATGAATCTACTCCGCCGCCACCGCCGGCGTGCGGGTACGGATGGTACTGTTGGTGCTGCCCGTGGTAATGATGCTGCTGGTGTTGGCTGTGATCGCCACTGTGCGTCGATGGGGCTGGGCTGCCCCCGCTGCCTAACCGACACTCCGCCTCCTCCGTCATGCTGGTGGGCGGGTCAAAGTCGGGCGGGCCTAGACTAGGCGACGCCGGCGAACCCAGCTGCTCGGAGCTGATCGCGGCGCTGATCTCCGAACTGAGATCGGAGTGCGTGAATGGTTGCGAATGTGGGCGGGGCGATTGGCTGAAGGGAGGGGCCGGGCGTGGGCTGGCTGTGTTGTACGCCGGCCGCGGTGACTGGCAGTACGACGAGGGCGGGTGCTGCGGCGGGTAGAGATTGCTCGAGCTGTTCGGGGGCGTCAGCGCTGGCGTCATATGGTAGAAACTGTTTGGTGATTGAATGGGCGATGGACTCGAGAAGCACTTGGACAGACCCATACCCTGCGACTCGCTGCCGGGCACTACCGTTGTCGCTGAGGGCACGCCCACGCCGTCCATTTGCGCTATGCTATCTTCGACTTTCACCTTCTTAGGCCGGCCTCGCTTCTTCTTGGGGAAATCACAGTTGGCATTCGCGCTCGTCTGCGCTGGGGTCTTGCGCGGCGTGGGCGTTTTCGCGGGCGGCTCTTCGCCATTCTCGAGTTTAATCTTCTTTGGGCGACCCCGTTTCTTCTTGCAGGGAATTGGTACACCGTCCTCTGTTTTCATGACGTCCGTCATGCCCTCACCGAAGGGGTCGGTTTTAGGTTCCGCTTCGTAGCAGGACTTGACTCGCGGCTCGCTGAACACCAGTTCGGATTCGTCGATTTGGCTGACCATGCCGTTCAGGTAATCGCGGAATTTCTTCAGCGCGGCGTAGAATGGGACTTTATCGGCGGCGCGGGGAAGTTGGGCGCACCTCGCACTCGACGAAGGCATCACCCACATGTGCTACAGGGACAAAAATCAAGAAAAATTGCAATTAATCAGAAACAACCCTTAAAATTTAAGTTTAGAGGCATATTTAGAGTAAAACAACTATTGTCCCAATATTTTCCCAATTTTCTTAATTTTAAAAACTTAACATTTTAGAATGAGGTGTGACATGTCAGATGTAAAGAAGATTTAAACAACTTTAACATGTGACATCAACCTATTTTTGTTTAGTCATAAAATTTGGTTCTAAATTCAGTTTTGAGCTAAACACTTCAGAAAAAACTTGAAGGTCAAGTTTGACAGATTAGAACTGTAGAATCCAATAAGAAATAATGTTGTTAGCAACACTGATATGCCCTACAATAATTAAACCTTCTCAAAAATGAAGAATTGACAACTGACAACCTCCCAGAAAGAATTTAACATCAATGTTTTTGGAAATCAAATATTATTATTAATCTAACCAAGTTAATGAATTTGTTAAGAATTGATAGCTTACCGTATTAGTACCGTCGATCACATCGGGTTGTCGCCCGAACTTAAAGTCTTTCTTCCCGGAGAACACTTCATAGATGAGCTTGCCATTGAAGACCGCAATCTTGGGTTTGAACTTGCGCAACTTTTCTAAAAGGATCTGACTACCCTCCTTGATCTCCTTGCGCGTGAGATCAGCGCTGCCTTTGGTCGCACGCGCCACCATGTTTGTGAAACCGATGCCAACCTGCAGCAGTTTGTAATCCTCGTCGGCGCACATCTGCTGCGGTGTCAGTCCAGAAAGGTACAGACACTTCCAGAAGTGGTTGCCGGGACCCGCGTAATGGTGGCCTTTATACGCCGCGAAGAGACCTGGGTTGATACCAATCTGCAAAGAATACACACCATACCAATAAGTGATGAAGAGTAATGTGGTTGTAGTTGTGGTTGTGTAATAAACGTACGATTATGATATCCAGATTGGGGTTGATGTGGTCGGGCAACGTGCGCTTGGAGACCTCCTCTTCGGGCATACCATTGAAACGGTCGTGCTTCTTGCGCTCTTTGACAGGACGAGGAATTCCGCCGTTCAATGCCGCCGCGCTCACATCCGGATTGAAGTCAGCACTGGAAAAGGAAGAAAAGTTTTAAAGGTAAATCCAATTGGATATTGTTAAGCTAAAGGTTTGATATCAATGGTATTACTAACATTGTGGTAGTCATTGAATGGGGAAACAAAAATGGTTGACATTACTCAACTTAAACATTACGCATTTAGCAAACATCAACAGCTAACAACTCCACAACACAGTTTCAAAATAACAGGGAGCTTCTTTTACTGAAGATAATTTAATCACTTGTAATTTCACGATAAATTCATCGTTAAGGTATTAAAAAGATAGTGGAAACTTAAAAACAAAATGTGTCAACATCATACGCTGTTTTGTTTTAACCTAATTTGACAGCTTTTAACGCAACAGTCATGATAACTTCATGGTTAAATCGAAAGTAATTTGACTGTGTAAATTGCAATGATTTAAATGCGATAGCAGAATTATAGCAGAAATTATACATTTTTGGTGATTTTATGAATGATTTTTTGATTTAAAAATTTTCCAGTTGGCAAATCTGATAATTTTCTTTTTCTAGGTTAGAATAATTTAAAAGATAGTCAAATGAAATTAATTTAGTGAGTAAAAAGTGAATTAATATCTTATTAATGTTAATAAAACAAACAAATTAAATTAGGCGCGTAAAAAACTACAAAATGAAGTAAGATATCATATTTAGTCTTATGTCAGATATTACGAAATTTAATAGTGTTTAATTTAAACGGTAACCTATTAATTATAATTGTTAATAACCTAGAGGTAATTGAAAAGCAAAAGTTGTTTGCACTCCGGTGAATCCGAGATAAAAACTGAAAGTTTAATTTTAAATAATGGCACTTAATCGTAACTTTAATCAATTTCTCATGAAATAATACTTAAAACTCAAAAAATATTGAAAACAAAATGAATTTGTGCAAATTTAAAGTTTAAACTTTTTACTTTTTACCCTTGAAAGAAGATTTTAATGCAAACAACATCAAAATATAATTTTTGGTGCTATTTTTTCTGCGACATGCACACACACGCATCCGGACATGCATCGCCAACAAAATGGCCGCCACCATCACTCAGAGAAAAAAAGAACAGCAGCCACAACAAAAAAAAAACGTGCAAACGTGACGCACGCCGCAGAATTATCTCAATAGGTCGTGCATAATCTCCTCTGGGATTGATAACGCTTGCAGTGTGCTCGCGCGGGCGCGCATCTTCAACATTTCAACACAACAACAGCGAGTGTGCATGGCAAAAAAAAAGTGCGCGTAATTGTTCGCCACGCTCAGTTATGATACAGGCCCGCTCGTAAGCAACAGGTGAATTAATTTAAATATTTAACGTCGGCGAGACGCGCCCGCCAAGTTGGAGAGTCTCGACTCACTCCGAAACTTTTTAAAGGGGGTTAAATTCTTTATCGTTTGTTTTCATCATAAATATTTATGACGCGGCGGCCGAAACTTTTCGCACGCCGCCAACTTTAACACTCACACACACACGCGGGCCAAATCACCCTCACTCGCATCGTGTGTTCGAGTGCACGCGCCGGCAGTGGAGGCGGCGCGCGAGAAGGATGAGAACAAAGAAAACGGAGCGCGAGCGCATTAAATATCGCGTCGAGTACAAACAAGTTTCAATTTTACGACCTAGAAAACTCCGCGCAACTCGTGTAACAAGTGTTTGTTTTGCGCTTTTTTCCGCTGCCGCCTGGATTTAAACTTTGGAGGTTATAGACCAGTCATTAAAACATATGATCACAACACAACAAACCATTAGGGCTACTCAATGGGATTATAAGGGTTGTTTGTTGTTTTGTTTTCAAATTTTTTTTGGTACTTACTCTTCTGGTTTGATCTTCTTTTTCCGGCCGCGTTTCTTTGGCCCAGGGGGCATTTGCATCATGGGGTTTGCGGCCTGTTGGGCCATTTGCATCTGTTGCATTTGTTGTTGCTGTTGTTGCTGTTGTTGCACATGATGGTGTTGCATCGATTGCTGTTGCTGATGATGGTGGTGCTGTTGTTGCTGTTGCTGTTGTTGTTGTTGTTGTTGCTGTTGTTGGTGGTGCAGCATTGGCATCGGGTCGTCATCGATGAAACTATAGGGGTCGTCCATCTTCTCGCACTTGACCTGTGGCGGAACGGCGCCGATGTCCGGGTGGTGCGCGTGATGCCCGCCGTGATGGTGGTTGCTGAGCACCGAGGAGGGGTTCGAGGGTAGCATCATATCGCCGCTCGTCTCGTAGCCGTCGTCCTGCGGCTCCAGCTTCATGTTTCTGGAAATCCACAACACATTCTTGATTCACACGGACACAACAAGCACGCGCACAGAATGAATAAGAGTTTGGTACTGAGTTGTGAGGCGAGTACGACGAGTTCGAGTACGGAGCCGTGTCGGTAGGAGATGGAATGAATGCAGGTGTATGGGTATTGTTTGCTCTTGCTGGTGTTGGTGGCGAGCGGGTGTCATGTGCGCGAGAGAGTAGAGTAGAGCGTTTCGAAAGTCTCTACGGCGTGGAGAGCCGTGGAGGTTGTTGTATAGAGGTAGCAAACACTCGTGTGTGCATGTGTGTGTGTCGTGTGCTCTATCGGTGAAGGCGATCGGGTTGTGGGTTTGGTTTGGTTTTGGGTTCGAGCGGTCGACGCGCCGAAGGAGGTGGTAGGCCATACGGTGCAGCTGCGATTGCCCGCGATGGCGAAGAGCACCGCTGGCCGACTGGCCGGACGCGAAGGACGGTCTCGCTTGATGATGATGATGGCACGCAGGTAGAGAGAGGCGACCGGCGGGCAGAAACCAGGGCCAGCTCTCTCCGCGACCGCGCGCGCGGCTCTTTCACAAAGAGCCAGGCCGTAGTATGAAAACCAGCGCGCCTCAACTTCGCATGCACGCAGCCAACATTTGTAGGCGTCAATGCGACCGAAGAGGAGCATGCACATCGGAAGGCATCACCCAAAACCCAACAACATGCCGCGTCGGCCGCAGCGCGTCGAAAATAGATTGTGGGATTACATCTGCCGCACGGCGCGCGCTCTGGGTATTTTTGTAGTGCGGCACCTCCGGACGGCAGGCGGACGGCGGCCGCCGCCGGCACACACGCGAAAGAAAACAAAATAATCAATGAGAATGGAAGGTTTTCGGGGGGAGGCGTGCTGCACACGCACGCACATACACACACACATGCTCAGTCACAGAACTACGGGCGAGCGCGCGGCGGTGTGGTGTGGCAGCATAGCGGGTGGAGGCGGTGGAGGCGGCCAGGGCCGCACGCCGCACACCTACGTGCACACAGAGTGCACACGCACAGTACCGGCCGGGCGAAAACCCGAACGAACGCATCAAACGCATTCGACGCACGCACGCACACCGCCGCCCCCGCGCGTTACCTCCACCGCCAATCCATACATTTCCTATTCACTCCGAATGCAACGCATTCGTACTTACACACACACACACAGCGCGCGCGGAAACTAATTTAGGACCTTTTTTTCTTTGTCAACCGGATGTCCCATGTTAAATCTAGGACTGGGGAAGCGCGGCAAATTTGAATGTTTGTAAATTTCAGGACGATGGGTTTTTCTTCGAGCGCACGATGATGATTGTTTACATTCGCGCTTGGCGATATATCGAGGACGGGCGGCGATAACGCGCGCGCCGTCGAACTAATTAAACAAGGACACCGCCGCTCGGAACAAAGCCGATTGTTTACACACGCGATAAGGATGAGTTGCGACGCGGCGATTGCATAAAACTGCACGTAGATACCGCACCGTGGATGATGAAATGGCAATGAAAGAGGTTGTGAGGTCCTGGGAGCACTTCCGGGTCGATGAAGTCGAGGGTGTTTTGAAGGATGCCGTCAGGATGAGCGAAAACCAAAAAAAAAAAAGGTGGATGCGTACTCACAGCTTGTATTTGTTGGCGAACGGATGGTTGTAGTCGTTGTAGGCGATGGGGGCGATGGGCCCCGTGGGGCCAAGTGGATCGACGGGGGCAGGCATGCCGCCGGGGCCCGCAGCGCCGCCTCCAGCCTCCATGCTAGCGCCGAGCAGCGACGTGGACTCGCGGAAGAGCGTCGCCACCTGCATCGGGCGACCGCTGGCGCCGCCGCTGGCCGCCTCCGCCGCCGCCGCCGCTCGGGGGGCCGTCGCAACCGCAACCGCACTGCCTGCACCTGCACCTGCCGCGCTCGCTGCTGGTGGCTGCCGTACGCGGATGGGCGCCGTCGCCGAGTCTCTCGCTGCCGTGCCCGACCGACGCACCGAAAAACCCAAAAAGCGACACAACAACCTCACCCTTTAAAAATAGTCCCGCAACTGTGATTGGTTCAACGAACGTTTCAGAAAAATCAATAGGCGGCGCGTGTGTGCGTGCGCGCGTGTGTGCGCCGCGGCGCGCGTGTATGCGACCGGTTCGTATTTTTGTGCGAGCGCTCGCCGCTGCCGCTGCCGCCACTGCCGCCGCCGCTGCTGCCGCTGCCGCTGCCGGTCATTGTCGATGTCTCCGTCGTCGGCGGCGTCGCGCTTTTTATCGCGCGAGCGCATTCCGCGCGCGGTGCGCGCCGAAAAATCCGCCCGCGTCGTTTGCTCTATCTGCCGCCAGAGGGAGGAGGGGGGCCGCCTCCGTCGCCGCCGCCGGCTCACACTCCGCGCTCACAGCTCACTCGCAACTTGCTGCACTCGCGCTCGCACCGTCCGCCCGCTGCAGCAGGCGTGAACACACTCCTCATACTGCCTCATACACTCCTGCTGCCTGCATTCGCGCGCCGTTCGTTTCTCTCGTTTTCGCCGCTCGCTCGCGCGGCTGGGTTACGCAAAACCAACAGCCGTGACTAAACTCGGCGGGTCGCCTCTACACTCGCGCAGAATCGCACTATTCCCTTACATTTCCACTCGCACACATTAAATTCACACCCCTAACACATTTCGCAACTTACAATATCAAAAACAAATGTTTTTGGCGAAACTTCAAAATAATGTCACTGCTAACATTGACAACTTCCGGTTTGCTTGCACTGAAATTCCGCGAAGACGGACCTGCACGCTGCGCGATGCATTCGCGATTCACACCGTGAAAGCCGCGCTCGCGCTCGTTTTGTGCGTTGCGAAAAAACCAGCTTGTGCAACGTCGGACGAGCGCAAACAATGAGAACACAATGGGAATATGCATGATAATGGACACTAATTAATTGCAATTTGTACAATGCGACAGCGTCAGCGCAAGCGAAACCAGTTTTTCTCTGTTTGCAGGTTAACGGCGCACTACTTTTACGCACCAGCCACCGAAACGTGGCGAATATTTGCTCACAGAACTGAAATTTATTAAATTTGAAGGGTAAATTAATATTATAATTATGAATTAAATTTGCGTTGGTGTTGCTAGAGCCATCTGGTGGCAGGTGCTCACACTACAATGCGTTTAAGTTCATTACCAACAAAGAATAATTTATTTTATACCAACAGAATAAATGAAAATAAAGTTTGGTCAATGTTACTTAAAATTTGTGCCAAGTAGAAATATTAATTGACTTTAAACTCATTTTATTTGTTTAGATTCTTTCTAAACTTGATTACATAACTCTATGTGAACGTGAGTTTTATTTTTAATATTTAGTTAAAAGTTATTAAATGTATTGTGAATACATTTAAATTTGTTGAAATTAATAATAATTTCCCATTTTAATAAATTACAAGTTCAAAATTGAAACATGTGGCGACATCTGCAGGCAGAACAAACTACTAAACTTCCTATTTGATTCATGTACATCTGGGATACAAATATACAGAGTGCTAGAATACTGCTTATTCAGGATCAAGTCTAAATACTTTGAATTTATAGAAATAACATAAAATAATTTAAGTTTTAAATAAAGTAATAAAATAAAAAACATATAGTATCAAATGTTTTTCTCTCTATTTGATAAAAAATAAGAATTAAAATAATTATGGTCTACATCACCTGGTATTAATAGACGTGATCTTTTCGTTGAATATGATCTGATGTTGCCAAGTTTAGAAGGAAAAATGCACTGCGCTCTGCCGTAGCCGCAGGCAGACGACGAACGTCTGGTGTACTTGACCAATCACAATAGCAACGAGACGGAACGGCTGGTCTGCCATTGTTGATCTGCGTCGCTTCGAGCTTGTTATTTTGTTTCTTCGACGGCGATCGCCAGCCGGAAGCCCACAGTGGAGGTGGCTCGCCAACAGGAACAGCGCGCGGTCGCCAGCAGGTACCGCCAACCTACATGAGTGCCGCTACGCCGCCACCGCCGCCGCAGTCGCCGCCGTCGCGTTGTTTTCGTGGTGAGTGGTGCGAACGCAATGCACTAAGCGCGTGACGACCGCGAGTCGCAATTTCCTCCAGCACGATGGGCAACTGCCTGAAGCGCGCCACCACCGACGACATCTCGTTGCTGCGAGGCAGCGACAGCGTGCGTGAGACCTCCTCCGACCAGCTGGGACCATCTCCCTACCAGGTAAAGCCCGACACATATTCAAAACAAAAACACCTAGACAACCTGGAGCCTGATTAAATCCGGTGATTTTTGCAGGAAACGCTGCCCATACAGGCCGCTTCGCCGGTGTACCATCCATCGCCAAGTGTAACGCGTTCCGTGGGTCAGCTCACCGAGGAGGAGCAGGTGAAGATAGCCAAACGCATTGGGCTCATTCAACACTTGCCCACCGGCACTTATGATGGCTGCAAGAAGGCACGCGAGTGCGTCATCTGCATGGTGGAGTTCCTCGTCGGCGACCAGGTGCGCTACCTGCCGTGCATGCACACCTACCACATGAAGTGCATCGACGACTGGCTGATGCGCAGCCTCACGTGCCCCAGCTGCATGGAGCCGGTGGACGCCGCTCTGCTCACCAGCTACGAGACCAACTGAGCGCGCGCCCCCCACGAATACAATACACAATACACACATACACAACCTAACCAACCACCACCACGGCCAGTGCCTTGCAACTGCTAGTGAAACTCTGTGATCTGAAAAAACAAACTCTTGTCTGTCTATGTCCGAATGTATAACTCTCGATCAATTAACCCCCACTTCCTGCGGGCGCGAATGTGCACTCACTCACTCACTCACACACACGTTAGGTGGTTGTAGCTGGTGTGGATCTTGGATGATCTTACTTATTGGGAAACTGGAAAGGATAGTCGAGTGGCTGTGAATCTGCCTCTGGGGGATGTCGGCGGTTGCAAAGCAAAACCACCGACGCCCGCCGGAGGCCGGATGGATTTGTATAGTTCATACTTTGAAGAAAAACAACCCTAGTTAGATATCTGTTTTATATTATTCATACACATAGCTCTTAAAAGTCTAAAACACTTTAAATTAAAAAAAAAAAACGCAAACGGCTGGGGACACATGGTGTGTGTTTCCAGCCTTAGAATGAATGCGGAATGAGGTGAGGCGTTGCGAAACAATACCGACGACTCATTGTTTACACTTACATCGGCCCGAATATTTTCAAACAGCTTTACACACTGCGCGCTGTTAATTGTTTGCTGCTTTTTTTTTTGTTGCGCTCTTCGAAACGCCTCACCTTGAGCGAGTCTAGGATTGCTGGTATGCATGTGGTAAGCTGGAAACCTCTTCGTACACCCTGTGCTAGTAGATCGGCTAGAACTAGGAAAGGAAAACAGGTCACATTTTACAATAATAACAAAAAAGATAAAACCGGTTGCGTACGTCCATCGTCCATTAAATCGCGAATTAATTTTAAGCGTACACGCAAATACATAACAGACACTAGATACGTGCTGAGAAATATTTTAAATTGAGGTGGTGTTTAGACAACACTCTGTATAATCAATCGTAGCCAAAGATTGTGATTTTGGCGAGGTGCATCACACGAATATTTAGATGATTTAAACAAAAACACATACAAAACAAAAAAAAAATGAAACTGGAATATGCCTACATTATATCTACTAAAGTAACATACTGATAATACTTGATAAGATGTGTGTATGGAGTAACGCTTGTTTTACATAATGGGACATACGTGTTTTTGTACTACGAAGTAAACTATAGCTGTAAGTGCATATTATTAGCCAAGTTTGTTTATTAGATTGTGAGAGGACGTAAGGGAGCTATCTGCGAAGGAAAGGAAATTATGGCCGTGAACAAAATTATCTGTAAGCCGCAAGGCGAACGCGAGATTGTATTAATTTAATATATATATACTGGAGTAACGATCTGGGAAGGGAAGGAATCGACGGCGAGAAGAAAGGTTATGCGAAACGTGTTAGTCATCAATAATAATAACTATATTATAAAGGTATATCTATATATTTGTTCGTTTCAATATGTTAAGACATTATTACATACAATAAAGTGGACACACTGTATACTGACTGGCGCATCAATGCTCTAAACTAGTGATCGGTTCAGGTTAAGGCATATTCTGATATTTGAGGTTATGTATTTAATAATACTGTGATTGAGAGGTTAAGGCATCCTATCGCACGATGGTGTTGCGTGTCTGGGACCCGGTGCGTGAGATTTGCCGCACGCTGCTGGTGACTGGTTTCATGTGCCGTTGGTCACGCTGTCGTGGTAGGAAACAGCATAGGACCGAGCGGAAACTGTCTCGGAAATTTTTTGACATAAAACCATATATCACCGGGTTTATACAACTAGAAATAATTTTATATTATTAAAAGTTTAAGTGAGGTTAGGTTTATAGGTTACGTTACCTATTGAAGTAGGCCATGAGTGTAAATATGGTTCCCATGTGTTTCTCCCATCCTCCTCTCACAGGACTTAAAATACCATAAGCTGTGAGGAGGTTATCGACTAGTAATGGCGTCCAGCATATAGCGAAGACTAACACGATGACTACTAACATATAAATGACTTGTTTGACTGTTTTACTGTCATCTCTACGACCTGCGCAATTTGAATTTCCTTGAGATTGTTGTTGGATAGGTGTTCCTTGAGAGTTTACCTCGTTCAAGGGTATAGCACATTCTTTTCTATTCAATCTACAAAACAAAACAAACAGGTGTAAATTATTAGTAGTTTAAGATACATAACCTAAAATTTACTTACGCATGGCTGCTGGTCATAATATGGCGTCTCTCCATGACATTCCACACCTCCCAGCAAATAGCAACATAGGTTAAAGTCATAATACAAAAAGGTATGATTAGCACCAGTAGCAACATGTAGATCTCATGCCAACGCCAGTAAGGACTGTCCCAATCCCTGATACACCAATAAAAGTCCTGGTGTTCCTCTCCAACCTGTTGCATAATCTGCACGTGCAGTATAGGCGTTGCTAATAAGATTGATAAACACCATGTTATCAATATGACCCTTTGGGCTTGACTAATTGTACAGATGTATCTGGCTTTCATTGGATGCACAATGGCGTAGTACCTCTCCACGCTGATGGCAGTCAAAGTAAAAACACTGCACAAGGTACTGACATTTTGCACGTAGTGTACTCCTTTGCACAATAACCATCCAGCATCCCAGGTGTACGAGAACAATTTAGCTACCTACAAATATATAATAATAAAGGCGATTACAACTAGGATGTTTGTGTTTGTTGTACGCGTAGTTGTTTCCATTTAGCAGTAAGCAAAATGGCGTGGCAAAATATACAAATCGACGAGGTATGTTAAGTGCTACTTGAAACGTTTTATCTAAACAATGTGAAAGCGGCTCGTAAAAATATGTAAACATATGGCCCTAAAATATGTAACTCTGAGAGCATCTAAAAATAGTTGCACTCTTCCACTCTCGAGAGATCCATTTGTGATATTCGCGTCAGAGCAACAAATTGCAAACTTGCACAGTGGCAGAGTTTAACATCGAAAACGCGTCATGAACTTTAACACTCGAGATAAACCAATTGGTTATCAATTGCAATGGTAGCACTTTGTTGTACTCGTACGAATAATTGCAACCATGCACCAGATTAACTTATTGATCAGGATTACCTTGACTGGGATACAGAGGATGATCAAAAGTAGATCGGCAATGGCAAGGCTGGCGAGGAAGACGTTGGTGACGCTCTGCATTCGGCCATTGCGATATGTAGCGTAGACAATGAGCGCGTTGCCGACGGAGCCGAAGATGAAGGTGATACCATAACACACCAGGACGGGGGCAAGCTCCTGCCAGAAGAAGTGTGCGTGTGGGTCTTGCTCATCTGACTGGTGGTCGTCCTCCATGTCTATATCCATGTTGTCTTACACGCACCACCCAGAACAGAAAGCGTCGATGGCGGTGGCGGCGACTCGCATCGATTGATTGCGCCGCCCCCTGCGATCAACGCGTTGAAGGATTCAATTAGGTTTATGCTTGCAGACGCGCTCGCGACAATTGGACCCGACGCTCAACGCTCAACCCGACGGCAAATCGGCGACTGTTGTGACGACGTCGGCGTCGCGACGCGCTTTTATAGCGCAGCACACTGCTGGGGGCCACCATCTGGCCCGTCGTAAATTCATAAATATTTTGATTGCACCGGCGGCGGCGTTTAAGGGCCCGCGGCAATTATGATAATGATTTTCGAGTGCTGCGAAAATATCCAGAATATGCCGGGGAACACAAAGCATTGCTACAAATTTATTTTCATCGCATTACATTAAACAAGCACCTTGTCATGCAAATTTTGCTGGAATTGAATCTGAATGAGATTTTTACTCGAGCGCAGTTATCGCACAAGCTGAATTTGCTAGTTTTTAATCAATGAATGGAAGCGAAGCTGGTCAAAGCGTTATCAACACAGAATGCTGAATATGATATTTTGTGGTATAAATACTGCTAGTTTAACTCAAGGAAGTCAGTCACACTTGAGGACCTGATCAAGATGTGGTCACAGATTCTCCTCTGCTGCCTTGGTAAGTACTCTAGTAAATTTAATAATTGGGCATAGATTTTGATTGAATTGGTTGATGCAGTTGGCTTTGCCGCTGCTTCCGACTACGGTTGGAAGAGCAACACCGAATATGTCTACAAGGTGCATGGCCGCACCCTTACCGGCCTGCACGAGGTTGAGAACCAATACTCCGGTATGATGATGAAGGCCGCTCTTGTCGTTCGTCCCCAGGACGATGGCAAGCTGATGGCTCAGATTCAGGACGCTAAGTACGCCCAGGTGCACGCCCACCTTCCCGAAGGTTGGCGCAGCGATATCCCTGAAGGCAAACTGTCCTACCAGCAGCTTCCTATCAGCGAGCACGCTTTCGAGATCGTCATCCGCAAGGGTGTCGTTCGCGATGTGATCGTTGCCAAGGAGGTCGCCAACTGGGAAGCTAACTTCATCAAGGCTATCGTCAGCAACCTTCAGCTTGATACCCAGGGTGAACGCGTCATCAAGTCTCATGTTAACCAGCTTCCCGAAGCTGATTCCAACAACGCTGTCTTCAAGACCATGGAAGACAGCATTGGTGGTCGCGTTGAGACTCTTTATGACATCTCTCCTCTGCCTGAGTACGTTCTCCAGTCGCAGCCTTGGCTCGCTCCCAAGCCCGAGATGAAGGGTGATGGTGAGTACATCGAGATCGTTAAGAACCGCAACTTCTCCCGTGCCGGTAATGTTGGTTACCACTTCGGTCTTGGAAACAACGTTGACTGGGAACCTTATTCCAACCAGATGGGTGACTTCTTCCTTCGTTCTTCCATGAGCCGTGTTGTTATCTCTGGCAAGCTCCAGCACTACACCATCCAGTCCGCTGCTACCACCAACAAAATTATTCTGAGCCCTACTCTTAACAGCCAGCAGAACGGTATGGTTGTGTCTCACTTGAACATGACCCTCCACCAGGTTCAGCCCGCTCAGGGTCAGTTCCAACAACCCCAGCAGGGTCACAACCTTGGCTCTCTGGTCTACAGCTACAACAAGCCTTACTCCGATAACCACGAACCCAAGCAGTGGATGCAGAACCGCGACGATGAAGATGTCTCTGACTCTTCTTCTGAAGAGAACCAATATGCTCAGCGTTACAACCGTCATCGCCGTTCTTCTGGCAATCAGTACACTTCCGGTGAATCCCATGAATACTGGACCCAAGACCAGCCTCAGCTTCATGAAGCTCCCGAGACTCCTCTTCTTCCTTTCTACATTGGTAACCAGGGCAAGTCCATCAAGCAGTCCCAGAAGGTGCAGGTTGAGCAGGTCGCTCAGAAGCTTGCTCAACAGATTGGTGAAGAGATCCAGCGCCCCGAGCACATCCACAAAGAGAAGACCCTTGCCAAGTTCACCATTCTTGCCCGTATTGTCCGCATCATGAACGAGAACGAGATGCAGCAGGTTGTCAAATCTCTGTACTGCACTGAAGAGAAGGGTGCTAAGCTCGACTCCTGGAGGGCTTACCGTGACGCTCTTGCTGAGGCTGGTACTGGTCCCGCTCTTCTTACCATCAAGGATCTTGCTAAGAACAAGAAGATCCGTGGTGAAGAAGCCGCTGAACTGATCGCTACCGCTGCCCAGTCTGCTCGCCACCCTACTCCTGAGTACATGCGCACCTTCTACGCTCTCGCTACCTGCGATGAGGTCAAACACCAGGCTATCCTCAACGACTCTGCTATTCTTTCTTTCACCACTCTTGCCCGCAAGGTGTACAGCGACAAGGTATACTCCGACAACCAATACCCCACTCAGGCTTTCGGCTCTTTCCGCAAGAATGAGCAGGGTCAGAAGTTCGTCGCTGAGGAGGTCATCCCCTACTTGAAGCAGCAGTTGAATGAAGCTGTCCAGCAGGCTGACTCTCACAAGATCCACGTTTACATCCGCGCTCTTGGCAACGTTGCCCAGAAGAAGATCCTCGGCGTTTTCGAGCCTTACCTTGAGGGTAAGAAGCAGTGCTCTCAGTTCCAGCGTCTGCAGATGGTTGTTGCTCTTGATAAACTTGCTATGGTCCATCCTAAGGTCGCCCGCTCTGTTTTGTACAAGATCTACCAGAACGCCGGTGAACAGGCTGAAATCCGTGTTGCCGCTGTCTACCAACTCATCCGCACTGGTCCTCCCGCGTCTATGCTCCAGCGCATGGCTCAGTACACCCATGTTGATGAAGATGAGCAGGTCAACGCTGCTGTCAAGTCCGCTATTGAATCCGCTGCTGAACTTGAAGGTGAACAGTTCGCTGAGCTTGCCGAGAATGCTCGCTCTGCTCTTCCTCTGCTTACCAAGAACACCTACGGCATTAACTACTCTCAGAACTACCTCCGCTCTTACGTCATTGACGAGATGAACATGCTCTACAAGCAGGACATCTACTCCATTGGCAGCCACGACAGCCTTTTCCCCAAGGGCCTGAAATACTACCTCCGTTCTGAACTCGGTGGTTACAAGACCGAGATCGTTAACCTGAAGGCTATGGTTTCTTCCATCGATGAGCTTACCAATGTCCTCCAACAGCAGACTGAAATCCACCAGCAGAAGCAGAAGCAGCAGAAGCAGAATGCCCAACAGGCTCAACAGAACCAGTTCTCTAGCGAGTCCATCCTTCGTCTTTTGAACGTCCAGAATGAGGAACGCGAACAGCTTGAGGCTAACCTTCTTCTCCAGCTTGGAGGTGGTGCCAGCCGCTTCTTCACCATCAACAACCGCACTGTTGAGATGCTTCCTGAAGCTCTTGCTCACATTGAAGACCTTCTCCGCCAGGGACAGAACATTCACTACACCAAGTTCTTGAACCGTTTTGACTTGACCATCAGCTACCCTACCGCCATGTCCTTCCCCTTCGTCTACACCTTGGATGCCCCTACCATGCTCCATGTGCAAGGCAAGGTCCAGGCTACCGCTGAGCCCAAGATCTCTTCCGGCGACAAGATCCACAAGCCCCAGACCCTCAAGGCTCAGTCCGAAATCCGTGCTGTTGTCTCCACCAAGGTCCAAGCCAAGCTTGGTTTCGTCACTCCCTACGACCACCAGCACTACATCGCCGGTGTTGAGAAGAACGTCCAAGTTCATATCCCAGTCAAGTCCCAGATTGAGATTGACCTGAAGAACAAGCAGGTGCACGCTGAAATTGAACCCCTTCAGCACGACAAGAACACCCAGGTCTTCCACTACAGCATGTACCCCTACACTGCTAAGCACGACATCCTCAGGACCCAGCCCCTTCAGGATTCCGAGGTCCAAGTCATCTACCAGCAAGAACAGCCCCAGACTCGCTTCGAAACCGTTGTTGGCAAGAAGGCCGGTATGGCTTTCCGCGTTGAATACGTTTCCGAGCAGAAGCACATGGACGGCAAGTGGCTGTACGACCAGCTTCAGCGTCACGACGCTATCTCTGCCCTTCTTGCTCCCGCTGTTGATGAGACCATCCAGCACACCAAGTTGAACATTGAATACGACGCTGAGAAGTCTCAGGCTCGCAAGGCCATTATCCGCATGGGTTACGAGCGCCGCTACGAAAACGACGACTCTTCCAACGACTCTACCAACGAAGAACCCAAACTCGAGCAGTTCTCTCAGCTGCCCAAGGAGTCCAAGGCTCGCCAACAGAAGTTCGCCAAGATGGCCGCCGCTGGCATCCGCTCCGCCAGTGTTGGTGTCTACGATGCTTCCATTGAATTCGATGGTCAGAACAAGATTGAATACGCCGCTACCCTTGCCGTTGCCTCCGGTCCCGCTGACCACAAGGCTCGTGCCCTCTTCTACGTTAAGCGTAACTCTGGTAACCACGGTGAATGCAAGCCTTTTGAATTCGCCGCTGCCGCCAAGACCCGCGCTCCTAACACCAACGCTCTTGACTTTGGCTACGCCCTGAAATTCGACCCTACCACCGCTGCTCATGTTGAGATTGCTTACGGTCAGGACCTCCAGTCTGCCGCCAAGGTTCAGGTTCATGCTAAGCTTGAAAAGAGCGAATCTCGTCGTCGTTACCTCCAGGCTCATCCCCGTGCCCAGGAATGCCGTCATGAAATGCAATCTGGTAACTACCAGCTGCCCGCCTGCGCCAACATGACCGCCGAGGCCAACCTCCTTGACCGCGTCCATGTTCAGGTTCAGTACGATAACATCACCCCTGTGATCCGCAATGCCACCTACAAGATCTACTCCGCTCTCCGTCATATGGGTTACTACAACCTTGATGAGAACGTTGTTTCCGCCCAGGGTACTGGTAAGGACAACCAGATCGAACTTGAGGCCCGCTTTGAGCCTGACTTTGAATCCGTCAATGTCACCCTCCGTGCCCCCAAGGTTGAAGCTCAATTCAACGAGATCCGTGTCAATGACTGGGCTCGTCAAGTTGTTGCCGTCCACCCCGCTTATCCCTTGAACTACCGCGCTATGTCCCATGCTCTTGACATCGATACCTATGGTTCCATCTGTGTTGTTGACAAGAACGCCGCTAACACCCTTGACAACAAGACCTACCCCTTGCGTCTTGGATCCGGCTGGACTGTGATGATGCAGTACGTGCCTACCTTCGCCCGCCAGCACCACCAAGAACAGAAATACATCCAACAGCAAGAAGAACAACAGCAGGAGCAATACGTTGTCCTCGTCCGTGACTCCCAGTCCGGTGAGCACAAGGAACTTAAGATGACCATCCGCACCCCTGAATCTCAAGGTCAGCTGATCGAAGTTGATGTTAAGCCCCAGCAAGGTCAACAGGGTGAACAACCCCGTGCTCAGATCACTGTCAACCAGAAGGCTTACCAGCTTGATGACAAAAAATCCACTGATATCGAAGGTGGTCTTATCCAGATGTACGTTCTTCCCCGTGGTGAGGTCGCCATTGAGGTCCGTGATGCTTTCTACGTTATCTACGATGGTGAGCGTGTTATGCTTTCCGCTACCCACGACAAGTTCCGTGATGCCGTCCGTGGTCTCTGCGGTACCTTCACTGGTGAACAGGTCAACGACTTCCTGACTCCCAAGAACTGCATTGTTCGTGATGCTAAGCAATTCGCTGCCTCCTGGGCCATCGAAGGTGAATCCCGCCAGCATGCTGGTCAACACAAGGGTGAATGCGTCTACGAGGATGTTGAATACGTCAACGTTGTCTCTGACTACGATGCCGGCCGCACTCAGCACAAGCAAGGCAAGCACCACCAACAGCAACGCCAGCAGGAACAATACGAGCGTTCCGGCTCCAACTCCGGCTGCAGCAAGCACCAGACCCGCTATGTTGAGGAGAACGGTGAGATCTGCTTCACCATTCGCCCCCATCCCGTCTGCAAGAGCTCTTGCCGCGCCAACGGTGAAGAGGAGAAGAAGGTCCCCGCTCACTGCGTGAAGGCTAACAGCGTTACTGACCTGTGGAAGAAGCAGATCCAGCGTGGTGCCAACCCCGACTTCAGCCACAAGAGCGTCACCAGGGACGTGCGTGTGCCCATGCCCAAGTCCTGCACCAGGCAGTAAGCTCAAAACGCATTAACAAAGCGTTAAGAAAGCGTTAGCATCCCAAAAATGTAAAAAAAATATAAACAAATAAAAAATATAAAAAATATAATAACCTTGTGATTATTCTTTACGCGGTAGTATATTTTAAATCTAAATCAACAACCGACTTACTCAGTAGTACGAGAAGAACATTGTAAAGTTTAATAAAGTTTAACACAGTGACGATTTGACACAGATTTTTTCTACTCATCATCTAGTTACTAGTAAATTGTTGCTTCAATGGCGTAATTCATACTCACTTAATCCATTACATTCATTCATTCATTATTGGATTCATGATTTAGTTATTTAACTTATGTTGCACCCTGTATATTTCATTACTTTTGGGTGGTATAACATCCGTTTATCAATTTATAACTGATACAAACTTAAAATCAAAAGATTTGCGTTGTTTGAGTATTTTTAAGACGTATTTAGTTAAGTAAAAGTTAGTTTGTGCAGTGAAATAATAGTTGGCGCTAGTAGTATCATTTTGAATGTAAAACAACGTCCATTGCTTTGTTTTTAACTTTTTAAAGTTTTTTTCTCGTAAAAATAACAACAATAAAAAAATAAATCAAAGAAATAATTATACTTCAGGTATGTGTATATATGTATATTTTGTCTACATTTCTTTTAACACAGGTTGCACAGTTTTTACAGATTTCACGCTCCTTCCTCACCACATAACATCATCAACATCATATAATTTGTTTTTGTTTATGGTATGTTTCACTGGAAGCACAGATGCATGCCGAACATCACATTGACAGAGGTTTCACATGTTCCTATTTTCATACGTCGTTATTGTCATTTATATGCACGTAGTGTTTGTATACAGAGTGTTGCACACTGGCTATATTCTTAGCTTATATAGAAACACGTCTATTTGCGCGGCTAGAACTAAGCAAAAAGCCCGAGGAACATATAAGAGCGAGTCCACACACGCTTAGCAATATAAGTTGCCTAAACTGATTCGACTCGAAAATTGACTATTAACAACAATCAGCATTCAACGCTTATTTACGCGGTGTCAGATACAGTACATGTCTACGTATTCATAAGAAACATTTGTAGTTTAGTTCGTGTGAGATATTCAACGTCAAAAAGAAACATTTCTCTTTAGTTTATGTTAAATCGAAACAAAAACGAATATTCTACGCATAGTTTAAGAATATATTTTGTTCATGGACATTTTCCTTGTTTAATATTTCGTTATATTCTTTCATTTTGCTAATAAAATAGATATTTTTACTTTCGCACAAAATAATTATTGTCATCATGTGTCAAATATAATTTCTTTGTTTCATATAGTATTTCACTTACATTTTTAATAGATTTTTGTTTCTGTATTGATTTGTTCGTATTCTTTTCATCGTTATTACCATTCTCAATGTATATGATTATTGTCTAAACGTAGTTGTATATAATATCACGTGCTTAGCATTAGATTTCCTCTCTTATTAGCTTAGTAGTTTATCAGTTAGGTTAGGTTAAGCTAGATGTGTTTGTAGGTTAGGTTGTGTGTTGCCAACACACTTATACACGCACACAACAAACTATTTACTCGCATAACTCACTCTTCAACATTTCTATTCATATGTTTACACAATTGTCTACGCATTTTTAAATTCTTCTAAATTTCTCTTTTTATTTGTTTTTCTGTATTGTTTGATTTTATGGCAGGAATTTTCAGACGTGCTACAATTTTTCTAAGTAAAATAATTTGTGCTTGATTTCTTTTAATTCTTTGTGTTTCAATTGTTGTGCTTTGTTGTATCGTTTGCCAAACACATTTTGTACAATACAGTCTAGTCAAAACGCTAAAATCGCATATCTAAACCTCTAGAATGTCTACAATTGATTGCCCACATGGTTGCATACAACAGCAACATGCAGCGCCCTCTGTGACATCTACTTGCCAGTTTGTTAGTAGTTTTGTGCGTCTATACACTAAAACAAACAATAATCAAGTGTTAATTGACAGTTTTATGCTTGTTAGGTTATGTTTTCCATTTTTTCAAAAGTTTGGTTATGTAGAGAGCGCTGACGTTTGACATCATTTATAATTTCCCATGTTAGAATAGAGTAGACACTAGATAACATCATATAATCTCATATCATATAAGCTTAGCTTACATATTATCTTTTCTTTCTGATATATATTCTTTTATATATTCATATATTTATAAATCTCTATACAAAACTATGATATATTGTATATATCGTTTAATGTCGTAGACGTAGTCAACCTTCTCTACGGGTATAAAATATATCAAGCGCACGCGTCGTCGCGACATCCATCGGGCGCCATTTTAATAGCGCTCGCGGATCGACGCGCCGACGCACAAGTGTATAATGTATAATATGACACAGCATGTATAAACAGATCACATGTAGCGGTCCGCTTCGAACACTAGGTGAATTGTCATGCGTTATTTATATATGTTTTTTATATTTCTCATCTTCACTTTGTTTACGTGTATAATATCATATAGATCATATATATATGTATCACTATAGGATTGATATCATTTGTATATGATAATAATGCTCTCCGCTAGATTATTGTGCGTAGTCGGATCGTGGCTATGACTCTGAAGTGAACCAAATTATTCTAAAACATTTTTTCAGTGACAGATGATGACATTTCCATACATTTCTTAATAATTCTGATTGCCTAACACGCAGTGCGTTTCCTAAAGGGTACTTTAAGGTTCAAGGACGACCATGAGTTGGAAAACAGTGTCTAACTTACGACTATCATCAACATTCGTCAAATTATCTTCATCAAATTGTATAATTTGTACCGTCTGTCAAAATTGTAAGGTTATGATACGTTATTAATTGATATTTATTGTCGCTGACCTTTTTTGACACCTTGAATGTCATTTATTGTCGTTTTATCAAAAATTCATCGAATTTGATTGTTATTGTCATCGTGTATACTCTTATTGTCGTATTTTAATCCGTATAGTTTTGCATTTGTTCCAAAATCCACGGAATGTATTTTGGGACGTATGCATACACGCCTGGTAACCGGGGATGGGCACATTTGATGCCCCATGAAACAATTCCGCCGACAAACCAGCGTTCGTGATCTGATTCGTCCCGGCATAAAAGGGGACCGCCGGAGTCACCTTGACAGGCGTCCTTTCCACCTTCTTGATATCCAGCGCATATCATACCGTCAGTTACGTTTAATTCGCGATTTTCTAACCATTTGTTGCATAATTCACGATTGAGGATTGGTACGTCTACTTCGTTTATTTCCGGTGAATATTCTGAACCTATAAAAATAATTTTTTAACAATTTATTAAAATAATTAAATTAACTTACGTCCTGAATCTTCTTTTTTGCCCCAACCAATCACAGTACACACAGTTCCAGGATGTAATTCTTTTTCTGCGGATGGTAGACACACGGGTGATAGATGTTCATGAAATGTCACTCGGGATGACAGCTGTCAAAATAATATATTGTCAGTTATGTTTAATTTAATTAAAAAAATGAATTTTTTGTTTTTACTTGGAAAAGTGCAACGTCGTTATCATGCGCAATGCCTAAATTGTAATTAGGATGTGGTACAACTCGTTTTACATGAACTTTTTGACCGTAGTATGAGTGGGCATGGCGTCGAGTTATTCCAAGTTGAATGGTCCAGCCTCCAACTTCAGAATGACTAAAAATTTATTTTTTGGTTTTAAAAATTAGAAATAAAAATAAATTAATAATAATTACTTTCCAACGCAGTGTGACGCTGTCAACACCCATTGATCAGCTATCAGAACACCTGCACAGTAGAATATCTGTTCAGATCCACCTAAAATGGCGGCGAGGAATGGCCAATCACCGGGTTTTGATGGTGTACCACCTACTATCCTCTTGTATCGACTTCGTGGGATGTAATTTCTTCTTACTTTACCACACACTGTCAAAACATAAATATTTTAAACAAAATTTATATAAATACTTATAATTTACTTACTGTAATTTGTACATGTCAATTCAATAGTCGGATATGTTTTTGTGCGACAGACAAAGTCGCGAATCATGTTTTTTGATTGTTTTGCTTGGTCACGCCGCCATTGTGTGGTTGTTTCGTGTAGATCCAGAGCATCACCATCATTATTCCTTCGGGGACTTCCACTTGAGTTCCTAAAAGCATAAAATAAAGTAATTATGCGGTTTGTGTATGTTGTGTTGCATAACTTACGAGTATCCCAACAAGGAGCAAATCTGATCTGCTGTGGTAGCTGCGTCAAAATGTCGGACACAAGCGGGGACAAACTGTCCGAGTGCAGGGCGGAATACTTCCAATTGACCACGCCCTTCATCACCGTTCTGTTCACTTAACCTCACTTGATAATAAAAAATATTAATTTAATTTATTACTTAGATTTATATAATTTCTATTTAAATAAACTTACAGCAATTTCTTTCGTCCTGTCCCCAAGGACAATCCACAGTTCCATCACACATGTGCACGTTAGATACGCATTTGTTTTGCCCACAATTTATTTCACCAGCGCCACAAGTAGTGCAGTTCTTTTCATCGGATTCGTCGAGACAATCAAGATGGCCGTCACACTTCCAGTCTTTAGGTATACATCGCTTGCCATCGCACTGGAAACCGTTCACGCATACTAAAAACCAATTTAAAATATTTTTATGCAGAAATATTTACTTTTGATTAATTTTTTCTTTTGACATAAACAGTTTTATATTTGTATTTGATATTTTGTGTTTACCTGGCCTCTTTGCCCGGTTCTTCGCCTCTTTGACCTCCCGGTGTCCTATGCAAACATCCGAATCGGGGTTGTCAGGAAAATAGCTGCACTTGAGCAGATAATCCGGCAGTTCTAGACCGAAAACGTTTAAGAAAAATCCACAACGCTCCTTAGTCTCTGAAATTTTAAACCATTTTTTATATTTTTTAAATTTTTTCTTCTTTTATATTACTTACCCATGCATAAACTCCGACATGGCCCAACCAAAGCCCCATTAGGTCCACATTTGGGCACAAAAATCGAGCATAAAAACAGCGCTGAAAGTTCATAACACCTTACATCAACTAACGCATCATAAACCTCCAACTCTTGCTGCGCTTCCGGTTGTCCAAAATGTCCCATAAAATTCGGAAAGATGGTATAATTATAGGGCACATTGTGCTGTTGACAAAACGTAACGATAACCGGTAAGCAAATCCCTGGAGCTGGGTTCTTCTCAATCATAGGTGGCGCTTTCTCATAGATAATAATTGGTGCCACCGCTGTGATATTTGTCGCTGTTGTGTTATTCACGATATGCACCAGTGGATATGCTTTGAAGTAAGCGATCATCCCGCCACCTATCGCCAAAAGCGCGAAGGCATTCAACGCTAACTGCGCAAAACGAAACTTTAAAAGGTTATGATGATTGTAGTTGTAATTTCTTGAAGGTCTTCTGATGTTTATATCTTTTATAATCTATTATAAACAAAATTTAATTTATTTAATTTATTTTTAGGTTATGTGGTTAGTTATACCTTGTGATGTAAATTTGTGCCATTTTGCAGTCTGACAATTGTTTGTAGACTTGCCGGAGTCGATGCACTTTTAGTTATAGTCTGGTTAGTCCCGCCCTCGTTGTCTCCGCCCACAATGTCAAGTTTAACTTTGTGGGCGTGGCTCAACGCATGTAAACCGCCATGTTGTTTACTTGCGGGTGGTGTACGTGGTGGTAATAAAGGTGTTTCCATTGTTTTTGAGGAATAAGAGGGACTTGATGTTTGACTGAAACTGTCACTCGAAATACCAGAGTCTTGACGCATAGACATTTTGTTTCTGTTACGCCCTGCGACTGCGTAGGAGTTTGTCGAGCGTGGGGAGATAACAGGACCTCCTATGGGAGGTGTGGCCATGCCATATTCTTGTACAAATTTCGGATTGAATTCAAACGCGCTTTTTCCGGTTTTCGGTGAGTTTGCAGATGGTTTCTTTGAGAAATTGGGAGAGTTTGGGTTGGATCTGCGTGCGGGTGGTAGAGGGGGGACGCGGTTTCTAGGGGCGGGCGGAATAGGCATTATTTTATGAGCATTAACAGTGTTTATACTGCCATTAACTGTGATTATGTTTTGTGGTTGGGGTTTTGTGTTGGGAGGTATTTTGACTGGAGGTGTTTTTATTACCGCGGTTGAGGGCGGGACGTAGTTGCGTTTTGGTACTGCTGGTGGTGGGCGTATTGGCACTGGGGGCGGTAACTAAGGAACATCAAAAATTTAAAATTTTAAAAAAATTTTAAAATAATTTACATACTGTAATGTCTTCTTGTTTCATGCTGTGTGCCGAATGTCGTCTGGAATAAATATTTGCCGTGGAGACCGGAACTAGTGTCAATGGAGCTTGTTGCATGTCTGGGAGCTCCGCCCCTTGAGTGGGCACGCCTCTTGTCGTGATTGGTAGGGTTGTCATGTTGGGGGCGTGGTCGCTGCTTGCTTTGTTGAGCAACTCGAATAAAGTAGCTTCGTTTGCCCATCTATTTAAGAATAAATCAAATAAAAATAAAATAAAGAAGAAAAATGGGAATAAATTGGTTTTACCTTGACCTCGATCGATCCTCCACCATAGCCGCCACCCTGCCGGCTACAGCCGTGTCCTCTGCAGCTGCGGGTCGGGTAGAGTACACATCACAAGGACCTGTTGCACGAGTTGTACCTGAATATCAAAAATAAAGAAAAATTGTAAAAATTATTCAATAAAATTATTTATTTCAACGAAATATTAAAAAATAATTTAAATTTTGAATTTTGTAAACGACAAGAATGCTCGTATTAATTTATAGACTGCATCTTTCAATTCCATTCTCCAGTGTTCCGGTTATCTGCTTCTCGTGTTATCTGAACTTCGAGAAGCCCACGCATTGTTTGCTCGCCGTATGCAGGCCATAATTTATTTTATTATGAGATTTTTTGTTTGGAAAAATAATATGCACGATTACAAAATGTGGAATGCGCACGTTTGAATTAAAAACGTATAAAATATTATTTGCACGCAGCATAAATATTGCGCTTGGAGGTCGAGTTCAATTTGTTTCTGACGCTTTGAAGGATTGAATCAATCGTTCGAGTGATTGCGGACGAGGGAATTAATGGATATTAAACGAGAATAACATACAATGACGGTTTAATGCATTGGTTATTGTGCACAAAATGAAATTTCAATTTTTATAAGTTTTTTTTATTTCGCTTATAAAAAAATAGAGAAAAAAACAGCGGAAAAGTGAAAGATTTATATGTATTAAAATGGATATGGTATGTGTGTTCCTTATTAACTCCTAAACGGCTTAAGCAATTTTAATGAAATTTTCAGACAATTTACAGGTTAACCTAGCGGGTAATCTGGTATAAGTAAAGTTGCAAAATTATTACTTGAAGGGTGAAAAATAAGGGTTGAAAGTTGAAAGTATAAAAATTCAATCATAATTCTACTAAAATTTAAATAGATTCACTCTTTAATATTCTAAAATCAAAAATTTAAAATTTCTATGAATATTAATTTCGTTCATGTCGTTATTTTGTATTATTTTACCATTTTGGCTCTTTAACACATTGAAAAACTTTATAAACCCCGCTTATACTGATCACTAGTCGAACATAAAAGAATAGTCGACATAACGTGAGCATTCCGCGCCTTAGTGCCGAAGGATGTAAAAGACCGGAAATATTTCGAAAGCTTACGGGATTTGCGCGCAGCGAAAGAAAAAAACCGCTGAAAATATTTACGTCGGAAAAGGCCCGCAAAGGTGGAAGGTGCAATGGCGTCCGAAAGTTGTACGACCGCGTTTTATAACATTTTCAGGACATTCACAACGCGCTCGGCGCTTCAGCGAGAAGCTTTTTCCATTATGTAAATTTCTGTTTCGAGCGCGCACAATATTTCAATATTATTCGTGTGCGAGCGTCGTGAGCGTAATAAATGCAAACCGGATGTCTAAGCGGAAACATGCTGAAACTATCATAACCTTATATTTTACATAACCTTAAACTACGTTACGTATAAAAATGAAATATAATTGACGTCGTTCGGTAAGCATCTTATCTGTTACATGTTTTTTCCTATAAAAAAATGTAATGCTAATAATTGATATCAATACGTGATACGCAGGTATCATACGTAAGTACCTATTAGGTTATATCACATCTTGTTCGTTTTTTTTTTCTTTTTTGAATCATTATGTACTATTTATCATCGCAAAGGATTATTTGCCTTCGACGTTCGTTGATTCGATTTGCTCTCGTTGAAGGAGCTCAAGTGCCGATGGAAGGGGGAAACAAACAAGTGTCTAATTCGTATGCGCGTTCCGCGTCCCGGAAATGTGACGGGTATTGAATTCCCGGGGCGCCTCCACCACCGAGCGCCGCTTCCGCGTTTAATACCACTCCATTCCACCGGTGCGCCAGCGAACACTTCAATTTGCATGCGAAACTAATCTTAGCTTATTTATAATTAACCAATAAAAACCTAACCTATTTATATCACATGAATACATGATTTTTTTGAGGTTAAAACTACTTGCGGGGGGTTTTAACTAAACTTTGAACTTTGATTCGTAGGCTTAACGATGATAATTGGCGACAATAGTCGAAAACGTCGAAATGACAAACGTGCGCCAGACTTCGACAAAGTTTAATTAAAAGCGATAAACTCACGACGAACTTTCATTACGGCACGATGATCGTTCTCATTCTCATCATAATCGCATTAATTGTATTCATCTCGAAACATTCGCTGGGCGCATTTTCGATTGTGTGATATAATTTTAATCAATACGTGCGAGGTGGATGGTTTTTTGCTTGTTACGTTGTCAAATGTCGGTTTTTTTTATCTGCGTCCTTCATTTTTCAATTTCGTTTTCATGTTTTTGCGTTTTCACGTTTTCACGTGCGAATTTTTTTTATTACATTCTTCTTTATTGACTGTCGACGTTGGCGCGAAAAATTACATCGCTTCATTTTGTTTATTCAACGCGCGCGAATCCCTGTCAAGTGAAAGACATTTTATACGATTTCCGACGTGGAAACAACACCATCACTTTTAAGTCAACATTCAATCACAACCAAAATGGGTGGAAAACATGAGATAACACTTTAAATTTCAAATTTTTAAATTTTACAACGAAAAAAACTTCAAAAATAAAAATATAATCATTACAATTAGCTAATAAGGTTTTTATTGATAACTAATTATCAAAAATTCAATTTTAAATTAATAATTGAATAGTATACAATTTGGACCGTTGTTTTGGACATAATGCATTTTCCTGTTTTTTGTAATTTCTACAATTCAGTTAAGTTGTTTTTGTGTTCAAAAAACATTTGTTTCCGGCCGTGGGGAATAGGTGCGGAATAAAGTTCGAGGACATTATTCATTAATTACGACAACAAGGGAGGCGGCGAGAGGCGGCGCACGGCGGTTAACTACAGCGGTCGGCAACAAAACAACAAAATCGGCGCGAGGCAACAAAACGGCAACACCACATGCCGTGTGCAAATTCGCCGCCCCCGACGCCAACGTTTTGCAAATGTAATTCCAAAAGGGGTGGCAATACAACCATATGTTATTATTTACTCAACTAAATATTCTTATATTTTTTAAAATGGTTTTTTTTAATGGTAATATAAGTTCTTATTGATTTTGCGGTTTGTTGAACATTATTATGTTATGTGTGCCCGTGGGGGCGGCTTTACTTTAGCGCGTTTTGTGGCTAAGGAAAATATTCCATTAGGCCGGCGGCGGTGGCGGCGACGACGTAGACGACGACTACGACGGCGGTTGGTCGGTTGCCATGCGGCATTCGCGTCACGTTCGCCTCGAGCGCCGTTGCGAACTTATTCAATCCTCCGCATCGTTCATGGCGGCGCGGAATCCTTTAGTTCCTCGGGGATTTCGCAGGACTTTCGGGCAAGTTTATTAATTATGGCAATAAAAGTGAAATATTTCATTTGGCATGCTTAAAACTCATTTTTAAGCAAAAAACAAACATAAATCATTTTTTAGGTTAAAATTTTAGGTTAAAATTGACAGCTGTCAAAATTGACATTTAGAAGTATAAATAATAAATTTAAAATGAATAAAATTGAATGAATAAAAATAAAAAGTTTAATCTAAACATAGTCGTTGAAGCTGTCGTTGGCGGTGGCAGTGGAGGCGGCAAACAGCAAGCAAGCAAGGTATTAAGCTATTTTTAGCATCAGTGGAATCATCCGCGACTCGACGCGCGCTTATCAGCGAACAACATTTCACATTAAGCCGCCCTGCCGCCTCTTTGCCACCCCTACACAAACCGCTGTCATCATCATCATCTTTTATAAGTCGCATTTGCATAACATTAAAATAAAAATGTAAATAATAAAATTTTGTTAATTATAACATTTTAGGTTATGCGCAGAAGTGGGCGGTGTACACGGATGATAGTATACGCGGCGTAGCTACAAATTTGTGGCGGGACGCCTACGCAATACGGACTACACACGCCGCCCCCGATAGTAGTCGAGGCGCGTATTGTCAGCTGAGCAAACAAAACGTAAATTTACATCTTGAATTATTTTCAGATAAATCACGCTGTGTTATTGTCTACTCGTATTTAGATTTAAATACCTAGGTATTTAGAGGCTAATGGCCTACGGTTGAGGTTAGAACCGCGCGGACATTAAAAAGTAATTAAGCTTTGCATATTTACGAAATTTTTGTCTGTTGCGTTGTAATTAAATGCATGAAAACAACAAAACACAAAAAAACAAATTTTTAAGCGAAAAACCCAACAAAACATTCCAAACATTTAACTAAATAAATTTTTATTAAATTTTCAGAATTGTTTTTCGGTATTTCTATAAATAATTTAATAAATTGAAATATTTATGAAATGCTTACCGATAAAATTGTTTATGTAATCCGTGGGAACGCGCATTCGTGAGTTGGCGTGAGTGCGGCGATGTGAAAGTGGCGGCTGGCGAGAGCGCACGGACACGCGGCGGCGGTCGTGCGGCAACTGGCGGCGGTCGGTCGGTAGAGGCGCCGGGTCGCCGAGAGTTCGACGTTCCGGACCTCGGCCGTCGAGCTATGTGTGCGCTCCACACGCGCTTTATGCCGCCCCTTCGAGGCCCAGCCGCCAACCTCAAGCAAAACTCTTTCACTTTCATTACTTTAACTTTATTATTTTTACCTAATTTAATCATTTTTTAATTTTTTCATTTAAAAAAATCATAATTTTATGTATTTAAGTGTGTAAAATGCTACTTTTGCACACGCAGTGCTAAAAATTAATTTACGCACGTTTAAAGTCACAAAAATTAAAAAATTGTAAATTTTTTAATGAAATTTTATAAATTTAAGGCAAGAAATAATAAATTTTTACATTGTAACACGTAAATATCCATTTTACACACTCCAGTAAAAAATAAAAGAAGAAAAGAATGTGTTAAGCAACTAAATGCTTCATTTTACACACTTCATAAACCAAATCCGATCCGAGATGATCTCTCAACACTTGTTGTTGATGTTTTTTTTCCTGTGCCCAGCGATGTGTTTCTTGTTGTTGTTATTCGACGCTGGGTTGTTTACGATCGCGAAACGTGAAGCGGCCAAAGCAATTTCATCCCCGAGGAGAATCGACCAGCAGTCGCAACCGCCCCCAATCGAAGAGCGCGATGCGGTGTGCGATTGATGGATTTGTTCCGAGTTAATTTCCTGCGGCGTGTGCTCCGACACCAACCGCCGCTCGACATCATCCCCTGTTCACGATAAACACATACCAGTGAAACACATTGATACAAAATTGTTCCAATCAATGCAATCGGAGTATTTTTGGCTATAAAAACAACATAAAAATTCATTTTTTGCAATTTTATAAAAAACGTATTTTATTATTTTGTATTAAAAATTATGAGTGTGTAAAATGATGTTTTTTAGTATTAGAAAATATAAAAATCAATTTTTTAAGCAAAAAATATCCCTAATGAAATTGTAAGGAATTTATTGGCTTTAGATAAATTGATAAAAACCTTTTTTTTTTTTGAGATTTTGGCGTTTTATTCTGCACCGCGTGCTTGTGCACGTTCAGTCCACGGGATGAGTAGAGTTAAATTCCATAGCAGCCGCCCCCAACCCCCTCCCAACCCCTTTTAACCGCCCCCCACACCTCTACCTTCACCTAATCTCTCCTTCCATCCCTTTTCTTCGCCTAAATATATTTAAACACTTTAATAATTTCATGCTCTCTCTTCGTCGCATTACAATCCGAATTTTTTGTGTGTAGATGCAAGCCGCCCCCCTGGGTGTCGGTGTCGCGGCTGGTGGCGGTGATGGCTTGCGACCTTGACCGTAGCGCAACGAAAATCGATTACTTTCTACGAGCGTGCCGACGCTTGTCGTACGCCCGGTCGCCGCCTCGCATACGCCGCCCCCGGACAGTAGTAGCTGGCGTGGATTGCCAAACGTTCGATTAAATTCGCCCGCTACAACTTATAGTATCACTATACTACGAGATTTACACAAGATGAACATGGTCTTGATCCAAGATGGCCGCGCTGTGACCTACATCCGGTTTGCGTATAAATCATGTCTGGAATATGAAATTCATTTGTTTCGCATTTATTTCGTAAAACATATTTCAATATTATCTCATAATTCAACATAATAAATATATTCGGTAACATTCACACACACAACGCACATTCACGCATGTTTCAAGATGGCGGTGAGATGTGTGGTGTGTGACGTACGCATTTATATGACATTCGTTGCCAACCTAAACGCAAGGCCAAAATGAAAGCACTTAACACATGACAACAAGATGACATGATTCGATGATGACGCAAAATATAATATTCTATACTCATAACCTCAACTCTCAACTGTCAAAAGTCTCAAATATCAAATGAAGTAACAGTAATCTTTAACAATTGTAAATAATTTTTGTTTCATAATACTTTTTTCCATCGTTTTTCGCCGCTCGCATAAAAACCACGTGTGATATTTCCATATTTGACATATTGTTTATCACTAGCGAATGATAACATAACCTTACATCACTAACCGCTCAATACAGATGAGTTTTTACACACACGTACGCATCGTTTAATTGAACATGGTATTGACTAAGGTCTGTGTATATGAATATGACGTTTCGTTACCATTACAGTTTCCTACAATTGATCGCTTAGAAAATAACCTCAACCTCAATCGTCATTGCAAATTCACAGGAAATGACTCTTATCAGTAAATAATTTATCCGTGTTCGTCGTTTAAGGAACGTTATCAGTACGAATAAAGGCTAATCACATCAACCGAGTAAAGTTTGGTTATGAAAAAACTCAAACTGTCAAAATTTCATTTTTTGACAGTTTTTGACAGTTTAAGTTAATTGACAACCGTGATGTTTATGTGTTTTGTTTTTGTCTAGCTAATACACGTTTTGGTTCAGTCGCAAACGAATACATTCAACATCTACATCAAATAATATGATGATTATAGATGATTACTAAACGTATTCTATGTTTGTGTTTGTTTCTACTCAAGAGTGTGTGTGTATATCTTAATGTTTAGTTTCATTTAAGGTTATGTTTAAGGTTAAACGTAGCAATTTACAAATATTCAACAATTTTTTTTCGTTCATCGGGTTGATTCATCTCCCCCTAAAATGTCTCCTTGAAAACGTTGACATTGCGTTTATATTTAAACATTAATTTTGAAGAAATTTAGATTTTAGAAGAATGAGGTGTGCAAAATGTCTTTTTAGCTTTTTTGCCTTTTTTCGTTTTTGTTGGAGGGGGAAAAGTAGCACGAGTAGAATCGAAAATGTACACAATGTACACAAAAAGTACAAATCTTGTTCTAAACTAGTTGTTGTCGTCTAAAACGGTAGCCTAAATGTCATTTTTTTCTGTTTAAGTTTTAGGATTAATTGTAGTAGAACCGCAAATGCCTAAAACGCATTTGACATATGTATTGGAGTGTGGAAGCATGTCACATTGACCTTGACAAGCTTCAAAGCGTGGTTATGTCACTAACCAGCGTTGTACACGTAACCTTTAGATAAGGACCTCTGGGTGCATATTTCTCACTCAGTTGAGCATTGTGGACAGAAAGCCGGGATCCACCGATGCGACCTTGGCTGTGAGGAAAGCGTGCATGCAGAAGAGCAGACTCTGGAGGATCGTACATTCCAACTCCTAAAATAATAAAAAAAATAATAAACATAACCTTAAAATAAAAGTAAATCAATACCTTGGTTTCAATGGCGCGTGTATCAATATCTTGAAAGTGAAGTTTCAACTTTGATTTACCATCGTCAGAGGACCCGCGTAGTTGGGAGAATTTAAACTGCCAGAGAGGTGTTTTCACGTCAGTTTCATGCAGGGAGAATCCATGATTCCAATCCAAAGTCAATCCAGCGGTTTTTCCATTGTAACTCACCGTAAACGTCTTATTCTGAAATATTTTGTGAGGTTAAACATTGGTTAATAAGTGAGGTTATGTGTATTACTCCAAGTTTCATCACTGCAGTGCACACGGCGCAATGCCAGGCGTTTTCAATCCGTAAAAGTTCCTGTCGTGTTTCCACTGAGAAATACCTTGAATCTTGACCGGAAGTCTGCACCAAAAAGCAATGTTGACGTTCGTCGACATTTTCGGATTCCTTGACCACGCGAAACATGGTTTGGTATACTTTGAACATCAACGTGCATTTTGCCCAGTCAGCAACGTTCAACTACAAAATTTATTTTATTTTTTAATTTATTTAGTTTATTTTTAGATATACTCACAGGTGGTGTATCAAATAACATAAGATCAGTCCCCTTAAGTGCAAAGAATCGTGGCTTGTAGTTCTGCCAAGGATGATTATTATTCAACACTCCTTCATTGACCCATCCCATATATTCTATTCTATCCGAAACACTAAAATTGCGATTGTACAACTTCATCTGCAGATGTGTCAATCCAATGATATTATCGCCAATGTACTTCAACCATTGCGACAAAATGGCCGAATCATCACAGTGGATAATACCAGTAGAGATACCATTCAATCCACGGACCTCAAACGCATTGGGTCGTAGTTTATCCGTTCCAAAAATGTACCTTGTAACATAGGCCATCATTAATGGTAAGGTAACCAGGTCAGTCCATTTGGTAGTAGGTGGAGCTGCCTCTGACTCTGATTCAGAGTACAGTGAGCTAGGTCTACTTCCTGTACTGTTGGTTGCCAGTCGCAGGCTTTCATCACTGTTGCTTTCCTGTGGAGCAGAACCAGCCATACCAGCTGTACTAGCCAACAACGCAGCCAATTCTTTCTCCTCTTGTTTCTGTAGGAATCTGGTAGCTGCTTTGTAGTGTTTCACTGTGAGCACAACTAGATCACCAGCATTGCGTAGGATATTCACAGCGTCATCATGCGGACATGCGGTGATGTATTCCCCGTTTACTTTAATGATGGCGTCACCTACGAAGAGTTCACCAGTGGCATCTGCGGCTTGGTCCTTGTAGATACGCGAGATTAGAATAGGGAGTTTATGCTCGGCGCCTCCTTTGATGCTGAGGCCGAGACCACCTACTTTCTGACGTGTGATTTGAACCATTCTTTCCTTTAACATAACCTCAATATTCATCCACCAAATTTAACCTTATTTATGATCCACTTACTTTACTATTGGTGGGTTTACTATCAGGTGGTACTATTTCTTCTTTTTGCAAACGTAACACCTCCATGGAAAGATGTAATCTCACAGGAATGGGTTTACTTTTCCCATCGCTGAGGGCAACCATTCCTGTGCGTACCTTCATCTTCTGATCCAACTTCTCCTCGATCGGCGTGGTCATCCTGGTCATATTCATCGTGTTGATCTTCATCGTGCTCGTCCTACAATCAACCCTAGGTACTTGTAATCATTGTTTTTTGATTGGTGATTGATGCTTACTTGCTTCCCGGTTCGCACTTCATTTGACCGCACTTTTAACTCATCCAGTTTATAATAAAATTACCATGTTTTCGCGGCCATTTTCAGTCGGGCCAAAACAACTCGGCGGCCTTACTGACTCACTGACTGCGCGAGAGGGGTGAACGTGAGCGCACAACAGGTTTGCATCTGGGGTGGTTGGTATTGATCGTGAGGGTGGTAGCCAATGAACGCGAAGGGTCATATATAGGGTTTACGTCCAGACTAGCGCTGAACATAGACTGGGGCACTAGGTTGAACAATATTATATTATACAGAGTGTTTTATATTTACATCCAAATTAATTATTAATTATTACAGAGAATATTTTTGATACAGAGCTTTGTTAACTCGTGATGCTGTTGGTTTATCAATGGCTGTTGAGATGTAGTGACCTGCTTTGACTAATTTTTCTAAATCCACTCCTGTGACACATCCTTGGCCGTGAAGCATGTAAACTACGTCTTCGGTAGCTGCATTTCCGGTTGCGCCTTTGGCATACGGACAACCCCCTAGACCGGATACTGATGAATCAACCACTTTGATACCATGCTATTTATAAATAAATTTTTTATATAAATTTAAACTCCGTTTTGAAAAAAAATGGCGTCTTACTTCTAATGCGGTACAGATGTTCACCAAAGCCTGCCCATAGGTGTCGTGGCAGTGTATAGCCAACCTATCAGCTGTAGTCACACTCCAGAGATCTTTCAACATGGCGTCGATTGTATCCCGCGTGCCAACTCCTATTGTATCACCTAGGGAAACTTCATAACAACCAAACTCTAATAATTTTTCAGTTACAGAAGTGACTGCGGATGGTTTAATAGCGCCATCGTACGGACAGCCAACAACACAGGAAACATAACCTCGGATTTTGAGCCCTTTTAGTTTCGCCGCGTCCATTACGTCTTTAATTCTTAAAACAGCTTCATCTGCTGTGCAGTTCACGTTCTTTTTGGCGAAACCGTCAGATGCGGATGCAAATACCGCTATTTCTTTGATTCCATCTACCTGGAGCTAATATTCAATGAATAAATATTATTTTTATTTGGAAAATACGTAGCGCCATCTTACTGCTGATTCTAGTCCTTTGAGGTTAGGAATTAATACAGGATAATCTACGCCAGGTTTCTTCTTAATACCGGAAAACACTTTTGAGTTGTCTCCCATTTGTGGCACCCATTTAGGACTTACAAAACTGAAATATTTTGATTAATAATTAATATTTAAATTGAATTATTAATTAAACCTTGTAACTTCAATCGATTTGAGCCCAGTGTCCGATAGTTGATTTATTAAATTAATTTTTACTTCAGTAGGGACCTGTTTAGCTTCGTTTTGTAATCCGTCCCTTGGCCCTACTTCTACTATGCGAATGTAGTCGGCGTTAGTGGCCTACAAGCATGAGACCATCGTTCAGAAACTTTATTGACTAACTTACAAGCTTAAATTGATAGGTATTTAACCACAAACTAAATTTACTTGATTTTGTTTTGTTCTTAATGATTAAAACTAAATTATTACGAGTTTTACTTTAAGCTTAGTTACGAACCTGAGCCAAACTTCGTGTTAACACGCGTGTCGCATTTCTCACAAGAAACCCACTCATTTTCTTTGGTTAGCACGTGAAATAAACCGCAAACAAAGTCGAAATACCGCGAACACGTTGTGTGTTATATTAAGTAACACTTTACCGGCTTACAATGTGAGTTAACTAATTTAAGCCGAGTTTAAAGCGGTTCAAGGACTTCAAGTAATATCAAATCAGCTGATTGTTACTTAGCGTTGGAAAGGGAATCAGTAGATTGGCCGTGAGTGAATTGGCCGCCGCCATTTCACCACGCGACGTTTCACCGTGGCTTCTATTCGTCCCATACAAAGTGTGGAACAACACGCGGCGAAACGACGGCCGCCAAATGACTCACAGCGAAATGGATGAGGAAGAACTACAGAAACCTGTAAGAAACCTTGATTAATACATAAAATAGAAATCTGTAATGCACGATGCTGGTAGGCTAGTAGGATGCTAATAGTCCATTAGACGAGAAGATGACACTACTGGAAAATAAAATTTTTTTTCTTCTTAAAACATGTTTCTTTGATACACGATAAATAATACTAGCTGTTTGATAAAGAAGTATTCAGGACTGAATTAAATGTGGTACATTGTTTTATTTTTAACTAAAAGTACATAATTTATTTATATATTTAATAGTTTTTAAAATGATATATCGCCATTAATAGTTTAGAATTTTAGAATTTAACATGTTTGTGCTTGTATAATTTATATCGTTGGTAATTACAATAGATAATGAGTAATGAATACCCAAGACATTTAATGTACTTATATGTTTACGATTAACAAGTAACGTTTTGCTTTAAACATCATATCATATCATCAATTACAAATATAAGTACATTTCGCAATAAGTTTCAAGTAGATATTGTTTCGACTCTAAAATGTTTTGTAAATATGTATTGATAAATATCGTAAAGTGAGTAATCATTTATTATTTTATTCTAACTAGTTTTCTAATTTTATAATCGTATTGCTTACAATATGAGTTCTTGGATGACGTCCAGGCGCCGCCATTTTGTGTATGTACAAATTATTACTAGAATTACTAGAGCTACTAGAATTATTTACGTTTGTTTTATATAAATAATAACGTCAACGTTGAATAACTTAGCAAAATGTTAGGCTATCCCTGATTTCTCAAACATTTTCATCTTTATTTCTGTATTTCTGTAGTCAGTTCAATTCCTTTGATGATAAAAGGCACGATCGTGTCTTTTGGACGTTTTTTCATTTTGTATTGTGTTTTGATAATTGTTATTCATGGTTTTTCTAACCTTTTAAGTACTTAAGATGACTAGACAGCTTTCAGCTTTGACTACTTTGACTTTTTTCACTTTTAGCTTGCGATTTGTTACTCTAATCAACAATGGTTGATGTTTTAGGTTATATCTCAATAGAAAAATCAAAACAAAGGCACTGATTCACATCAATATGGACCTTCGCTCAGTCTTTCCGGTTAGTTAAGTTTCTTTTTTACTAAATTTTGACTCTTTTATCTTCGAAAATTTCCATCATTTGCCTCGTTTATCGTTACAATTGTTTTAATCATCTAATTACATATTCGTAAATTGTAAATGTAATAATTTAAATAACTAAGTTATAGTAGACTAGACTTATTATAGCATATAACAATTATTCGGTCACTATGAGTTTGAGAAACAAAAAAATGAAGAGTGAACTAAATAAATATTAGTTAAAAACATGATGAGAGTGTAGGATTGCACAGCGCCCTCGGTCGGCCGCAGAGCAAATAACAACTAACCAGCGCTAGCCACCAGAGGGCGCCACATATCGAATTGAGCATTAAAATAATAATTATTACCAAATATTTAAGAAACTGAAAGTATCGAGTGTTCATGACAGAAATTTAGCTGAAAAAGAAAGAAAATATTGTTTTTAACAACAAAAAAAATTAAATTCTAATAGAAGTATGTAGAGAAAAAGAGAATCGATTGAGCAAATGAGCAAATGTTTCCGTTCGTCGAATATTACATAGGAATTTTGTACTTTCGTAACACTACTGGTAATAAATATAAAAAATCAACAAAATGACGCTCAGGCGAACGTCAAACATGGTTGACCCTGACGTAGCGACATCTATCTGCGTCACGGTCGCCGCGTACTGGTGCAAGAGCAGAGGAGGTCGAGTAAAGATTCGAGTGCGAATGCGAGAGAAATGAATGTTAATTTAACCTGGCTTCTTGCATCGTCGGAGCCTGCGCAGCGGCGGTCTGATACGGCAGCGTTGAGAAATTACCGGCGGCGGCGGCTGCGGATGCCGCCTGCAAGCTGGTCGTCTGCGGCAGTGCTGCGGCGTATGTATAGGGCATGTAACCAGCTGCGGCACCTAAGAAAAACCATAATATTAATATTTATAAACAAAAAATGAAAAAATTAAAGAAATAAAAAAATGTAATGTTGGTTGTCTAACCTGCGGCGTTCGCTGCGGCTGCATACGGTGAATAAGCATCAAATCCACTTGGATATTGTCCTGTATAAGGAGCGGCGGCAGCTGCGGCCATAGCAGCTGCATTCTGATACTCATAGAACTGCGTGGTGGCGGCCGCCATTGCAGCAGCATGCGACAACTGCGTGGTGGGCGCTAGCGGTACTATGCTGCCAGGTGCAGTAGCGGCCAAATATGGCGACTGGTACATGTATCCCGGCATTCTGCAAACACAAACAATCACATATAAAATATCTGCATTCAGGTGAAATTTCACAGCTACCCAAAGAAAAAAAAACACAAAAAAACAACAATGGCGGCTTCCCAACCAACGCGGCCAACACTGCAACACACAACTGCCACCGTATCAGCAATATTATATTATATACTCAATATAAGTCCTAAGGATAGAGAAAATCCACAAAAATCGAACACACAACCACGAACAATAATTATTTGATTATTTTCATTTCATAAAGTGAGAGATAGAAGTACACAAGGTAGAGAAACCAAAAGAGGTTAATTTCCTACAATAATAGTCTTAATAGTCAACACCAGATGGCGTAAAACGTAATTTTACTTTCTGAGTGTTTTTAACACCGTATTTGTTAATTTTTTTAACATATTGATAATATGTTATCATTTTGGTGGCATATTTGCATAAATTATTCAATTTTTCGACGTCTACGCGTCGTTTCGCCATGTTTTTGAGGTTATCTTATCAATAGCAATAGATTCCCGCTGCTTGTGCATATATTTTAAGGTTATAATCAACGTAATGACACATTTTCGACGTTTTGACGTAGCGATCGATGTGTGTGTGCGTATGTGTGCACTGTGCAACCTTTTAATGGCGGGTCTGCGGTCTAATGGAGTGTTTTATCGGTCGGGCGCATAATTTACGGACACGAACCGGACAATAACAACATGGCGCGCAGTCGAGCAAGGACGTGCATTAAGCCGCCCGCTGTCCTCCATACACAATATTCACTCGTTATATTGATGTGTGTGTGTGTGTCTCGTTTTTTTTTGTTCATGTTTTTATATTTTTATCATCGAACGGTTCACCGTTCACCGTAATACGGTCATAATGACCATCACACGTCCGGAGTCAAGAAAATCGATATGGAATTATTCATTTTATTAATAAAAATTTATTTTTTTTGGTTTTTAATTTGTTTTTGGTAATTTTTGCGTATTGAAACACTCTGTATATGACGTGTTTGGCTTTTATCGGCCATTTTCCATGTGATGTGTGTTTGTTGAACTGTGCGGCGGCCGACTTTGTTGAATTACAGTTTTGCGTCGCGAACGAACTAAATTTAGTCGAGAGACGCTTTACGTTTTACCATTCCACGTTTGTTTTGTTTTGTTTCGCCGACCATTATGCTCGGCGCTCTTTTGTTCGGATTTCCGACCGAGTCAGTGAAAATTTCACGCGTTTATACGCTTTTTTGCGTTTTGTGTTTAATGTTGAAATTGATTTATCGATTGGTGGTGGAATTTTTTGTTGGAATGCGATTTGCGCTCAAGATAAAGGGGTTGATCCCGTGCACTGACCGGTGGCGGCAGGGCTGCGCACTGATGCAGCGCAGTGGAGGCGGCGGAGGCGGCTAAACCACGGATTTGTTCTCGGAGCGCGCGCCGACGCCGGATTATCCAATCGCGGCGGGGTTATTCCCGCCCCTGAATACATCCACCGCCAACGCCGCCGCCACTGGATTCGCGTGTGCAAATCTGCAAATCCCTATCCGCGATCCAATCCACGAATCACGTGTGGTCTTGTTTTAGGTTGTTGGAATATAGATAGATGATTGTCGTGGTTTTTAGTTTTTGAGATTAAAAAGATTAAATTACGCGTTCGGGAAAAAATGCGGAGGCGTCGACCGAGAGTAAAGAAATATGCGCGGCAGCTGTCCGCCTCTTGCCAAGTATCGCGGTCTATTTTCGTGCGTTGTCTATTTCGAGATCACTCGGCGGTAATTAATTTTGTCTCTTGGCTCGCGCGCGTCGAAAACCTTAGGATTTCTTTAAATATCAGTACGCAAAACGCTAAAAACCCTTCGAAATGTTTCACAATGTCGACAAACAACATAAATCCATTTAAAATCACCAAGCACTGCGTTATTCTACAAAATATACACAGGCCCGTATTAAATTCTTAAAAATTTCAACTCCAAAATTACTTCTACATCGTTAAACCGCATATAAATTTAAAATTGTAAAAAAAAAATTTTTACAACAAAAAAAAGATAATTTAATCGCTGACCATGATGTCCGCGCGTCGCTAATGACCCGTGCACGCACGTGTCCCACCTCGCATGTCCCATTGACAATAAATCGTATAGTTATAGTTGTGGCTGTCATTGTTGTTTTTTTATTTCTATTTATTCGTTTCAAGTTTTTATTTTCAGGTGCATTTAGTGGCATTCTCGAAAACAACAGCAACCAGCACAAAAAAAATCCACCCAGTGACAACAACGTCAAAAAGTCAACCAAATCAAATCCACAACAACTAATGATCCACTCGCCTAAATATGATCAGTCACAAACACACTCTGTATATTTATAAATCGTATTATTACAGGTGGTGAAATGAATATCTACGAAACACCGTAACACGTTCAAGAAAAATCGTCTACGTTTTTAAACTTAATTTTGTATTCATGGGACACTCTGTATAAAATTTACCTTTTTAGCTATTAAAATGGTGATGTTTATGTTTTTCTTTAATAGAAAATTTTGTAAATGTTAAAATTGAAGATTTTTGTTTTTTGGTCCGCCATTTTAATAGCTCTGACGTTTTCGGAGAATATGGCGCGTCGCGCAAGCCAGACACACACCCCACTCGTTACTACTACACCGCCCACCACCAAAATAGGTGCCGCAGTGTAACACTTTAAAAATTTCAACTTGATTTTAAAGAAAAATACTAGTTTCAAATGTAGGCAACCGTTGTTTGTTTGTTTGAGGTTAATTTGACAACCAAGCAACATCGAGACATGTCCTGTTAGTGTCGCGTTAGTGTTACATTGCAGTTCATGTTTGGGGTGAGTACAGAGAGAAAATCATAAATCAAAAAATAATAATAACTAAAAAATAAAGTAATAAAGTGAGAAAAAATACGAACAGCCCAATAAAAAAACGCCCAAAATCCAAAAATAAATAAAAAACAACTAAAAATATAAATAAAACAAAAAATAAAATAAAACCTCACTGCAAACACAACCTGAAATGTGTTTTTAACTAGTCGCCACCAGGTGGCGCACTGTTCTCCATTATTTTTTGACATTTTGAAATAAAATTTAAAGAACTAAAAAATAAAAACAATTAAAAAAATTCAACACACGCACACGCACAAACACTCAACCGAAAAACAAAAGATAGATAGGTAAGAGATTATTGGTGGCAAGATTGGTCGACACTAACTCGTTTTTTTTTCGTTTTCGCTCTCTCCGAGACGCCGCGCGCGTCTTTCGCACAGTCACAGTTTTCAGACGCCATTTTGCGGCTCGCCATTGGCTCGCTTTTAGCTTACTCGGTCAGTGTGTGCGTGCTTGACATTTACACAAGTCTAGAAAAATATAATAGAGCAATGAGTTATCATCAAAACAAAAATGAGGACACATCATCAAAGAGATCAAGAGTTAAGAGCAAGAGAAATAGATTATAAAAGGCCAAGTTGCAATTTGCATATGTTTGACATTTGACATTTTTGGCAGAGTGGCTGAAAGGGGGAGCGGAATTTGTGCGTAGGTGAGAGATTTCCTCAATGGTGGCACACGCGACCTGACTGCAAAAATTTCCGAAATTTTTTTTCTGCTTTTGAAAGAAGACTGTGTGTTACACGGAGAAGTCTAATTGTACTTACCCGTACTGAGAGGGCAGCAGCGTCGGATAACCTGCACGTACTCCAGGAAATGTAAATCCTTTAAAATAATAAAAATTTTGATTTAAAAATTGAAATTTTATTCAAAAAAGAAAAAAAGTTACATACCGGTACTTGTAGGAACATTTCCACGTGGTTTCGCGCCTAGAATCGCCAGATTTACATTGGCTTTCCGGCCGTCGATGATGGGGTTAGGTTCACGGCATGCTCTCTCCGCCGAGGCACGATCTCCCATTATAACCTGCAAATATAACCTATTTTAACTGCTTTTCAGAGAAAAAAAACTAAAAATTTTGAAAAAAATGTAAATTTTACGTTATCAGTGAATAATTATAAACTCCTATTTTAATTAATTTGAATTTAAATGACATTAAGAACAAGAACCTATGTAAAACAAAATGGCGACGTAAAAAAAGCCATTTTATTTGTTCTAAACTAGTTTTCTCGTAATATAAGTCCTGTAACCTTCTACTTTTTAAGTAATACTTAAGTTACTTCTAAATATTATGAACTTACAAATCCATAACCACGACTTTTGCCATTTGCCCTATCGGTAATAACAACCGCCTCCTCAATATCCCCATAAACAGCAAAATGCTCCCTCAGACTACGATCAGTGGTATGATACGGTAGGCCTCCAACAAAAAGCTTGGTCCACGTGGTATCGCGGTTCTGCACGCCGGCGGCGCCCACCGCAGTCGTGGACCCATTGAGCAGATTGAGGCCGCCGACGAGGGCGTCCGCCTCGCCGTTGGCGGCGGGCACCGCATTCTGCATCAGCATCGCTGCTGCCGTCGTCGTGATGGCGGTTGGCGGCTCGACGCCGACGCTGGCGCTGGCGGCGGCGGTGGTCGTCGCGACGACTGCTGCGGCTGCTGCTGCTGCGGCGGCGGTGCGCGCTGCTGCTCCGCGCGCCCCGTACGGGTCCGGCCGGCCCGCGAGCGGATTCACGATATTGGCGATGTACTCCTTGGTGAAGTTGGTCCGCCGATCTCGCATAGGTCCCGGCGAGCGCGCACCCTCAACGCAACACACGCGCCCTCTACTACAACTGCAACCCTCTCAACGCTATCGCAATCATAAAAAAACTTTGCGGTGCTTGGAAATCGCGTCACTTACAAAACACTTTGATTTAGTTTTAGTAAAGTTTCGTAGGTTAGAATGACTTAAGTCGCTTTGGAACCACTCCTAGTACCTTTATATTATTATTATTACTATTAGTTTCAGCGGGTTTAACTTTATTTGCACTGTAACACTTCTGGATGCGTTTGAAGCAAGGAACCAACATGGACTGCGGCCTGTAGAGTGGAGTGGAGCGTTTGGACTGAAACGAGCTGTGAGCAGCGAATGTGCACACATGCGATGAGGACATGTGTGACGGACGCGCGTGGAGGGGGCTCGCACCTAGGTTGGATTTGTCGGACGGCTGTGCTGGATGCGACCAACACACGCCGCGTTTTTCAGCTACCGATTCTACCGAGTGAGGAGAACTACTGCATGAAGCGTTTTTACCCCCCGGCTTGTCACCACACACACGAGGAGACAGCAAGCGTTGAACTGTCGAACATATGGGATCGTAACGGGGCACTGAGGCATATACCACCTTACAGGGACGTACCAACCAATGTAATATACAAAAAAACTTACTTAGAGTAGCTTAAAACTTTAAATTCAAATATCTTTTGAACGGAAAGAGATAATTTGATAAAATTTGTGGGAATTTATAGATAATTAGAAAATCTTTTCTATTATGTGAAATATTTGAGGTAAAACTTGATGTAAATCTATGAAATCAACAAAAAATCTTTTTTTTTTCTGGTTTTTGTGTGTTTTTTATTGATTTTTATAAATTTTTATGAAATTTACTGCTTTTAACCGGATAAACTATTATATTTTAAGCAATTTAACTGCCTGACACACAAGTATTCTCATTTTTTATAATATTAACAATAAAAAAAATAAAATTTAAGCAGTAATAACCAAAAAAAAGGAAAAAAAATTAAATTTCTACTTTGATGTTTAATAACTAGAGAACCAAAGAATTTATTTTGATAAACTAAATCATAATTGATATATAATTTAATAATCTAAAGGAAAACCCTTTAAATCATGAATTATTGGTTAATTCTTCTCTAAGTTATCTCAAAAAACATGATAAAAAATATCGAACAATAAATTCCAGATGATAATCAAAAACTAAATGAATTGTATCGCCGACATTGAAATAAGAATTGAACCATTGCTAGTAGACGCATAGAGAGAAACCATAGCATAGGGAGATCCGTTAGGGACGCGTGCGTTTTGGGGTGAGGGTGCAGACCAGGTGTGCGCTCGCCAAAGTGGAACAAACGCCAACCGACAACCGACACTTTGTGCTAGTACGCGTATACTCGTAGCACGAGTCGCCCGACGCAGATGGCATCGACACCAACACCACCAGAGCATTTAGTTCTGCTAGGAATAAACACACACTCACACATATACACAGACAATATGAGGTTGTGTGAGGTTGTGTATGCGCCTTGCACAAAATGCACTGAACGACAGTTAAGGAGAGTTAAAGAGACAAAGCTGGTTGTTGCTGATGGCAAAAAAGAGGATATGGCAGGGTGGTATGAAGGATAAAACCGCCCGAGGAGAAGTTGAGTAACCTACGGTTAAACAGCTGTTTCTAACAGGGCGAAGAAGGTCGAAACTTGAAAGGAAAATTAAATTAGATGAAGAGAAACAGCTGATTTATTTCAAAATTCAATTTTTATTAATTCAAAGGCTAAATTTGATTTATTTATTTAATAAAAGGGTTTTAACATTAATGTTTCAATCAGTTATTGTCAGAAAATTCAATTTTTATTCAAAAAAAAGAGAAAAAAAAATTAAAGTTCGTATTTCAACAAACATGTGAATTGTGAACTACTTTGTATCTTTTTTCATATATATTTTATTCTGGATGCTGTTGTAGTGTTAGGGCAGCTTTAAGCTTTAAGGAGGGTGATCTACAACTATATGGTACCCCATACACAGTGCTGGACCCCCTCAGAGAAGAATTAATTGCAGCTCAATCTCATAGTATCATCATCATCGTCATCATTCACCATTTCAAACGCATAAAAACTGTGTTTGTTTGGTTGCAGATATTTTGCTATTTTTTTTAAATAACACAAAAATTTTTAATTAATTAAGCTGAAATATATTTAATATTAACTAGTGAATATATACATTTGTTTTATTTATAATTTTTTGACTAATTAATCAATTTGTACACTATGAAAACATCTGGTGTAGTATGGTTATATAATTGCATCCAGTTTGCACATTTGGTTGCATATTTATAGATGTTCAACGACGATAACTAGATACGCATCGGACGATACCGTTTTTGTGGTCGACGATTCCGGGCCGGGCGCAATTTCCGGACCGGAAGGCGACCCTTTGCTCAACGACACAAGGAAACGCGCTACGCATGAAACGCACACTACACAAAACAACGCATTATACAGGGTGGTACAAAAATAAAAATATATTTTAAGTTTTCTACTATAACTACAATACAAGTGCAAGTAACATAATATTTTACTCTTTACTTCCTGTTAATTATTCTTTGTTTTTTTTTACATATTACCATCAGCTTAAAATCAAGGGTGAGTAAGAGGGATGTTTCACTTTGGGCTTATACTTAGGCACCCTAACAGTGAATAACAATATGTCACTATATCATGAACCGTTATTTGCCTTTGAATTATAAAGTTAAAAACGCATTTCTTTTTTTACGTTTCATAAAAACACAGTGTATATTTACAAAAAAATATGTGAAACACAAAATGGCAACATAAGCGAAGATGACTTTTAGTGTTTTTAGCGCATAAATAAACAAATGAAGAGCGATTCGCTGCGGACGTTGAATGACACAAACGTGTTTCGAGTTAAAACTTTCGTAAAAGTCTTAAAACTCCTAAAAGTGTCATCAAGTCAGGGATATATTCATAGTTTTATGTGGAATTATCTAAAAATAGTTGCATATTTAGTGTACTCACAATGTTAACCATTCAAAATGACATAAAAACATAAAATTATCCATTAAACTCGATAAAATTATTATTTTTTTATAAATCAGTATTAAAAGCACTTTTGTGAGATTGAAAGTGGTATTTTAAACACGGGCTATTAAAACCATGTCTAAAGTACTTTAGCCACGAGCTTTAGTCACGGGGTGGAGCTTGCGCATGTGCATTTGCACTTTTAACCACATGCTACTTAAAATACTATTTGATTTGAAATTTAACAAATAATCTCAACAAAATATTTTAATTATTTGATAAAAAATTAATATCTTTATTAAATTATAACCTCTTTAACTATTCTATTATTTATTTCATTAAAACACTTTCCTAAGAAACACACAATAAAAATACTTAAAGCAAACACCAGAAGTAGAGTAATATAAGTAAGAAGAAGAATATAGTGTGTTATAATAAAAATTCAAAATGGCCGCCCAAGAAAACAAACAGCCCACATAACACATAACTACAAACCTATTTGTTCAACTGTTTATACTCATAGATGAAGTTGACAAATAATACACCATTGTGACACGTCGGAACGAGGACGATTTTCGATCAAGTTAAAACGATAACAACTACCATCACACAAACAGCAATATTATAAAAAGCAATAAACAAGTAAAAAGATGATTAATAAGTAATTAAACACTAAGGAATGATTCATTAGTGTAATTTGTTTTTAACCGCACGATTACTTAACGGTACATACACACACTGCGTTGATATGGCAACGTTGTGCGTTCGGAACTTGTACCGCAACTCCAACATTGGATTTTTTACGAATTTTTAATTTTTGTATTTTGGTGGTTTTTGAAGTGAGACTGGGATGCGACCTTCTCAAAATAGAATTTTATTTCACTTCTATAATGTTTATTAACTTTAAACATAAGTATTTATTAGATTTACTACAAATTAAAATACATTTTCAAATAATCTAATTTCCGAATGATATTTTCGTGTTTACGTGAAATGTTTGTCTTCTAACTACGTCTTTTATGTTTTGATTATGTTGAAATCGTCAGTTTGTATGCGCTCGCAATCTACTAGTGCAATGATGTGTAATTCTAAAATAATTTTGGCACAAGCACAACATTTCTCTGTCTCTTTTTGCGCTGTTTTCATTTGTGCATGAAACCGTCACGAATGCATGCATTCGTCGCCATCTTGTTTGCGTTGATTTGGCAACCTTGTCAACATCACCAGCCAACGACAATAACAATCTTCCGCATAAATTAAGTTTTCAAATTAAGTCCACTGAAATAATTATATATTTAGTACGATTTGTTTGTAGCATATGTGAAATTAAAAAAAAAAATGAAAAAATTAACGGAGACTATAAATAAGTGCAATTTCTACATTCAGTTGAGTCTATTGAGTTGAGTCGAGTTGGCTTTGCGGTCGAAGTCGACTTAAGTCACTCGGTGATGGCGGCCGCTGGCACGTCACAAATAAAATGTTTCGCTTCGAAAATAAATGTCGTCGCGCGGCGTCTATTTTCGTACCTTCCGCGTCGAAAATAATAATAAAAATAAAACGCAGACTCAACTCGGCGGCTTGAATCATCCGAAACTAATCATGGTTGCAGTTTAAAATGAGGACGGGCGAAAAATGTATAAAGGGGTATTTTTGTGCAACAATAGTAATAATTATTATTTAATATAACATAAAGTACTTTAGTCACGGCTTTGGGCATCCGTGTTTAAAGTACCACTTTTTGTGTTACAAAAAATGTGAAAAAACTTTATACTAAACTGAATTTTAAACAGAATTTTTGCTAATTTATTTTAATAAAAGTTGTAACATATCAAAGTTTTATTTTTAAACATACTAAAAGCAACAGGAATGTATGCCTATTATTATAATATATTTAGTGATTTACGATGGTAATTTATTAAAGTATAAGCCATAAGTAACCTCACATGGCATTTCATTTATATAATTTTTTCTTCATTACTCATTATTAATTCCACACATTATACACACAAAAAATCAAACGCCTATTACTTACCACTGGTCTGCAAAAAACAAAAAATGAAAATAAAATAAAAATACGATAATATCACAATATCCATGCATAAATGTGTGTGGAAATGTGTGGATAGAGTGTTAGAGGCCAAGTGAATAAATGGCTGACAAAACAATGACAGAAGAAAGGCAACGAAATTACTAAACGGAAAACGAAGTAGATAATAATAATAATAATACTAATAATAATAATAACAATAATAATGAAATAGATGGAATATTGGAGTAAAGAATAATGAGTGGAAAAGCGTGTGCGACACCATGACACTTTGTTAAATACCGGAAGGACACGAAGGAAAAAAATGTATTTGTGTAATAATCGATATGAAATATGAATATATTAACCCCTTTATGATCGTTTTTTTAGTTTTGTTGAATTGTAGAGAGTTTTTTGTAAATCGATCAGATTTAAATACATTTGAAGATTATCTTAAGTGTATTGGAAAGTTTAATTACTTTTAGAATGTTTTAATAAATTTTATTTAGGAACATACTATTTTTTCTATCAAATATAAATTTCATGAAGTGTAATTTTACAGAATACATTTTTGTCACTTCCAGGTAAGCCAGAAATATATAATAAACTTTAAATTAAAGAAAATTTATTTAACTACCTCATAAATAAAGCAATAACAAATTCCATTGTGCAATTAATTCTAAAACACTAAAAATAGAAAATAATTTGTAGGCCACACCTCATTACTCTAAAAATAAATAATTAATATATAATTTTTTACTAGAAATATTAAATCATAGCTCGGTAAATTAAAATTAAAATAATTGTAAATGCTGAAACTGGATACTTCTAAGAATAAAATTTTCAACTCTTTCTACGAATGTTTTATGTGTGACGTCTAACGTCTAATGTCCAATTCCTAATGTAATGTCTTATGCAGTTCGTTTTAGGGGTAATTTTCTATTTCCATGTCGCGAGGGCGCGCACGTGGCGCAAGTGTGAAACAAGGGTGGCACTTCCGAACAGGAACTCGCGCATATCCGTTATCCGGCCCGCCAGCCGCCTCCCGGCTAACGCGTCATTACGCGGTGGGGTTGTGGCAGCGTGTGCTTTATTATCAATTACCTTAAATTATTTATTACCTGGCACCCTCACTATTCTTACACATGCATAAAACTACGTCAATTTAAAAACACCAATTAAAATATTACTTAATCTTACATTCCCACATTGTATTTTATATTTTTAATAAAATATACATAATATATTTATTATTATTAAGTTTTTGCTTTATATTTATTATTAATTTAAAGGTTGAATTGATTTTTAGGGGTGGTTTAATGTGGTCATCATAATCAGACTTTCACATCCTTCTGGTTATATTAAAAATGTAAAAGTAAAACACTTTCTTGGCTGGACAACCCCTAAAACGAAGAAAATTTCCCTTCACTAAAAGGGTGGACAACAAAAGCCACGGATAATATTGAAAGTATATTGAAGCAAAACACGTCAAACACGATGTAACACTAGGGGGCATGATTGAAGCAATTTAGAAGTTTTTATATTCAACAAGTTTTTTCTTTAGTAAAACTTTAGTAATAACATAAAGTTATTTAAGAAAAAAGTACGATAGCAATACATTTTATACATTATTATACTTTTTGAAAGTTGAAAACAGGAAGTTTTTTTTTGTACTTTGAACCAGGACATAAAAAATAGATTTCTGGGACAAAACCTAGTTTTGTTATTTAGGTTTGCGAAAATATTTTAGATAAAGTTGCGGTGCTCATAGAAGAAATAAGAAAAATAATAATATACTCATATAACAAAAAGTTTGTAGAAATTTATTGAAATATTTTAATAAAATTTGATTTGTTAGAGTTTAAAATATTTTCTTTTTGTAGTATTTTGGACAATTTATTTCTAAATGCATTTTTGAAGAAATTATTGATTTATCTTTATTAGATTTTGATAAATTGTCAAAAAACTAACAGATTTTCTTAAACATTCTTGCGTAAAGTTTAAGCGCCGCCACTATATCTCCAACAAGACAAAACATTTGTGAAACCTTTAGAGACTAGACTAGAAGACTCTGATATAAATAACACGTTCAAATGTAAAATGTTCTCTTTTATTTTCATGTTATTTTTTCCACGTGGAGTTTTTTTTTGATAAATCAGAAACAGCTGAAACCGTTTTACATTCTAGTCAAGTTTCAAAAGTAACACACTGTAATATTCTATTGATAACCTCAAACACTCAAAAATTAAATTTAGAAATTAAGTAAATAATGTTTAAATTAATGTTAACATCATTAGTTTATTTTTTAATTTAAATAATTAATTAAATATGTAAAAGTTAAAATATCTTATTATATTATCTAAACATATTTGTATAATATGTTGAGAGCCTACACTGGTGAACATGTATTTATAGAAATATTCACGTCGGAGATGTTAATTAGCCACGGCCGAAATGAGAATGACATATTCAGCGCGTTAATGCGTTCGTAGCGCGCATAGCTTGGATCGTGCAGGCGGAAAACCAAAAACCAAAAAGTCAAAAACGAAAAACAACTTAAATGAAGTGCCATTAGGCACTACAAAAATACCAGACGGTACTAAAATGTTACACGGATTGATTCAACATGAAACGAAATTAGATTTCATAACATGAAGCATTTTGAACTATACAACAGAAGATGGCGCCATTCTATTTATATTAACATTATTTCTAAGAGAATCATTAGTGTAAGACTGTATTGAAAACAAAATCTTAGCTAGGAACTAAAAATAAAATTCAGAAAAAATACCTTTGATAATAATGAAAGACAAGTCTTTTTTCTGCAGATATTTGTATTGATGAGTGTTCGATGAAAGGTAAAGTATTCCTGTCGCTAATTGGCATAATCCCAGAAGGAGTTTTCTAAAAGCGCACTTTTAAAAAGACTCGGCGAGCTCACGGCTGCACGCGCTTGTTCATTTGTATAGGTTTTTAATGCTTTCTAAAGAAAATAAGAAAATAATCCTTAAAAGGATATCTTGTGAGTGAATAAATGCGAATTTCTTATAAAATATATTGATTTCTTCTTTCACTGTTGAAGCGCCAGTTTCTCTATGGTTTTAAGACGTAAAAAGTGATACATTAGACACGAACGTCTAAATCCGTGACTAAAGTATTTTAATCATGGGTTTTAGTCACGGGGTGACAATTATACGATTATTTTTTGAGTAAAAATAAGATTAATAATTATTTTTGATACCTAAACGTTGATTTGAGTAATTTAAAAAATAAAATGTTATTTATTTGAATATTGTTATATTTTATTGTATAATTTAATTATTATAAATAAAATATTTATAATTGAAACGTGAAAACAAAGCTTACTAAATTTTTTAACAAATACCGGAAAAATATTTTTATTTCCCCGAACGCTGTTCCTATATCACGCGATTAATGTATAACAAATAAAAATAATTACAAAAACAAAAATATTAGAACTAATATTTATATTATATAAAATTAAATAAATAATTATCCTACAAGTCTAATAATAATAAATTAATATTTTATCTTTTTATCTCCAAATCATCCGCACTCCACTTCCGGTTTGTCGTTGAAGTACCTAAAACGCTAAAGGTTAACGAACCTCTTTAGACGCCTGAGCTAACTGCATTCAGAGGCAAAAGCAAAGCAACCGCAACCAGCGCGCAAGTCACTCATTAAGGGTAGCTAGAGGTTACCCCTGACGCGGGGGGCGGCAAGGACGAAACGCCTCGGCGCGCTGAATAATTGACGAGCACAAATATTTGTCCGTGTGCGCAGCGCAAATGACGTGCATTACATGCATGACCATAAAAAAGGACTAAAATAGATAAAACGAACAAAAAAACGCGTCCGCGGGGGTAAAAATCAATAAAAGTGACATAGAAACATCAAAACATATTTTTGCTTAGCCCTAAGCCCTTCAATCATGAATACACAATCAAAAACAACAAAATAAATGTTTATACTTATAAAACACCAAAGTTCATCACTCTCCGTCAATAGATGGCGTTACTTTAAAAATAATTTCCTATTCAAGCAAAACATTAATTTATTAAACAATTATTCAAGTATAAATATAAAAAATAAGTAAATATCAAATGTACAGTGTGTTTACAATAAAAAAAATTAAACCGATGGATCATTATAATTAACATCATACTGATTGTAGAAATTATTCGGTGTGAGAAGATCTTGTATTCTCTTGTACATAGAAGTCCTAGCATACTGATTATACCAGCTGTCCAGCATGGGAGCCACGCCTGCTGCGGCCACGCCCGATCCACTTGCTCCGCCTCCGCTCACAGCTGTAAATCCACCAAGGTTTCCGCCCTGACCACTGCTACTAGGCGGAGCGTACGTAAAACTAATCTGTTCATTACCGTTAGATGGTCCATATCCAGGATAATGATGCACGGGAGGACCATAGGTAATGCTTATATTGTTATAGTTATTGTTACCATAATATGGATACTCTCCAGAGGTGGCGTTGGCTGCTGACATTGTGGTTGTGGTTGAAGGTGTGGTGGGAGTTAAAGTTGTCGCGTCAGTTAAGTCAGTGTCTGTGACTGTTGTCGGGACTGTGGTGATATCCTGCTGACGTTGGATTGCTCGGCGAGTTGTACGTCTGCCTGGGCGGGGCTTGGTTGTCACTTCTTCTTCATAGTCTGGATTGTTTTGGTCTTGACCAGAATAGTCTTGGTCAACTGGATCGTTATAGTATTCATCGTAGGTGGGTGTGGTTGTAGTGGTGGTACGCCTTCTTTGTGAATTTTTGTTATTTTTGGGTTTTGATTGGCCTTGACCTTGGATTTGTCTCTGGGGAGTTTCTTCGTCATCGTATTCGTTATCCGTAGGTTTGGGTTTCCTTTGATTTGGGTTTTTGATGTTACCATTGTAATATTGTACCTTTTTCTTTTGGGTAACAGGCGTGGCTTGGTCATATTCATCGTAAATTAATGTGGCAGGTGTGGTTCTACGTTTATTGGGAGATGGTTTTTTGGAGTTGATTCGTTCTTGTGTTTGTTCATGATTTTGGCTCAATTTTCCTTTGGAATTTTTTCTTAGAGTGGATTCTGTTGTTATTCTGATTTTCTGGGAAAATTTAGGTGATACTCTTTTTGGTAGGTTTTGTTCTACATCCATTTCTGGTTCTTCTATGGTGTCATCATCATCTTCTTCGTCATCCTCGTCTTCTTCATCTCCAGCGAAAACATATTCATCATCTGTTGTTCTGGAATTTTTTGTATTCTGAGATTTTTGTGTTTCTGATGCTTGAAGATCAATACTAGAAGCCGCTCCTTCTCTATAATCTGCATCAGTTGCAGTTTCAGAATTTTCTGTATCTACAAATTTTATATGACTATCTTTTTCGGGAAGTTCTCCTTCGTTTTCTGAGATAACAGGGAAATTTTCTTGTGAATCTCTATTTATTTCATTTTCTTTTGATTGATTCTCCGAATAGGTTTCTAAAACTGTATCATCCGCTGGTTTATTTGTGTCTGGGATTAATTGGGCTAATTTTTCCAACATATGATTTGAAACATCTTTGGAAAATTTTTCGGAAAGTTTTTCAGAAATCTGTTCGGAAATTTTCTCAGATATTTTCTCCAACATCTCAGGTGGAATGTTTTCTAGAATACTCGTTGGTAAATTCTGAATCACTGATTCCGACATGTGTTTAACTTCATTTTCAGTTGCGTTTTCTGACAAATTTTCCGCGATTTTGTCTACCATTGTTTCTGACATGTTTTCCACCAATTGATCAGATGTTACTTCTGGACCGTTTTCGGACATTTCTTGAGATATTTGGTCCAAGGTTATTTCTGGTAATCCATCTACAACTTTATTATTTTCTGAATTTGAAATTTCTGGAGCAGCAGAATTCTGAGATTGAATTTGTTGAATTGTTGGAACGTTTTTTCTAAAGAAATCCGTCAAAAAGTCTTTTAATTCTTGAGTAAGTTGATTACTTGAAGATCCAACCATTTCATCATCTATTTTTTGAGAATTTAAAGTTTCAGTTGAATTTTCTTCAACTTTTGGCATTTCCGTACCAACTGCAGTTGTAGTAGTTTGCATAACATTATTCACATTATCACCACCATTTTGATTCAGATTTGGCTTTTCCTTCAATGGCCGCTGATGAATGTGTATAATATGTTGCCTAATCGGATAACTTGTTTGTTGTGCATTTAGAGAAGTCTGCAGTTTATAATAGTGCTGAGCATCATGCGGATACCATGGTAAAGCCTCATAATAATTCTCTGAATATCTCAAAGGTAATGGCGGCGTTCGTGAATAAGATGGCGGCGGAGACTTCGATCTAGTGATTCTACTCAACAAACTTGCAGCCAGAATCAAATTCAACAGCGGAGAATCCAGAGATAAATCTTTACCACTTCGCACTGCAAAATTATCAAAAATTGAATCTAAAGTTATTAAAACATAAGCAGCCATTTTGGACTTACCGGAAGTAGTTGAATTTGCAATGGTTTCATTCATTTTCACCTAAAAATCGTTAAACGAACCAAAATTAATCCAGATTTTGCACAGATTTGCACTATTTTATACGTATTGCTTTAAAACACTCACTGATGTTGACGTCTGAAGAGTTCAACACACACTGGATGGCTTCGTTTGCAGTGAAAGCGCTTTATAATAGGGGCATTTTGCAAGCCACCCGCATATTTTGCGTTTATCACAAAAAAGCATTGAAAACGTATGAAATTGCAACATCATTACACCGATTCGAGAGTCGAGAGCGTCCCTAGTTTCGATTCGTTACATATGCATGAGAATTTCATATTTAATCGTCACTTGTTTCACTTCTAGCTCTAAAGCAACCAAGTTAATGGAGAATTTAGACATGCAGTGCCATCTAAAAGCGGAAAACTAAAACTTATATTAAAGTAATGTAGGAATGAAAAACGATGTAAAAAATAAATCAAAATTAAAAAATAGGAATTTTAAACCTAAAAATGCTTAGAAAAGTAATATAAATTGATAAAGTAACATAAAATTTCTATTTTTATTACAATATTTTAATTTGATGCGAGATATACGGTTATATTTGATGTTCATTTGTGTGTTAGCGGATTTATGACGGTAGGCACTGATTACAATTGTTGTTTATGTGGAGTAATGTTGTAATTTTACTCTAGAACTTGTTGAAACATACAGCGGATGATGAAAATGTTTCATTTATACGTAAATCTAAAGTCTAAATGAACTGTCACACAAATGTCGCGCACAAAATGGCGACTAAGCAGACATCTTAATTGTTTTCGTGAATATTAAGCCCGCGCCGAAATGAAATGCATGAAATGTAAATTTTTAGAATGTTAAGCTTAAATTGAGTGATGGATGAAATGTTTTAATGATTTCCGCCGGTTTGTTTGCGGCGTCGATCGGTTTATGTTTTTTAATTGAAATCGAGCACATCAATCGCCTGGTTTTTCCGTTTGAGACATATTTTAATTAAGTCGCGCGTTCTCGTCCTTAAACACATATTTCAGGTTTTCAGGTTTGCAGCGCGCTTGCGACTAATGAAAAATATTAAGTGTTTTCAATTCCTTGAATAAATTGCGCGCACAAAGAAGCGGGCGAAGAGAAGCGCAATCTTAAAAGGATCAGGATACAAATCCCCATTGCGCGACTGTCAGACGAAATGGGAAGGAGGAGAAAAGGCAATGTGGACGAGTAAGAGAAAAATAATGCAAAAAATAGATATTTACGAAAATATGCATTTAGAACAAGAGAATATGTTACTTAGAGTGAAAACATTGATTAGCGTTAATTAAATTAAACCGTTAATGAGTACGAATTCATAAAAATAACATTAGTAATAACCTTTTTTTTTATGGAGGAATAGAGCAACTCTTTGATTACGTATTTCTAAATTTAAAATATTTATTTAGATATAATTTATAGTATCAATTATTATTTTATCGATTATTTAAGTAATTATTTTCCCAACCTTAAAGATATAGGTCCTATTAATCATAATAACTCAGGGAAATCCAACAAAAATCTGGCGGGAATTGTTTATGCCCACCTTCTGCGTTCCTAATATCATGAACTGATGAGCAGCTCAATTTTCGTATTTCCTCGACCAAATTTTGTTGAGAAATCCGATGAAATTCATACACAAAATCTTTTGAATATTAGGATCGCAGAAAGTGCAGTAGGCTGCTGAATTAATGATGAAACTTATTGTAACATCCAGTGGCGGCGTAATTTATTTATTCATAAACAGATGGCAGTGGTGTCAATATTTAAATAAATTATGGTAAATATTAAATTAAAAATGGATTTTAAAGTGTTTCACGATTGCAGGAATGCACAGTTATTAACCATGCTACGGCAGTTGCCTAAAGATAACTTATTATACAATATGTATAGCGAATACGTCCACTATTAATTTAAAACCAATTTTATATTTAATATTGCACCAAAGTTAATTTAAATATTTTCACTACTGCCATCTGTTTCTGAGTAAATAAATTACGTCGCCACTGGGTGTTACAATAAGTTTCGTTATTAATTCAGCAGCCTACTCGCACATTCTGCGATCCTAATATTCAAAAGATTTTGTGTATGAATTTCATCGGATTTCTCAACAAAATTTGCTCGAGGAAATACGAAAATTGAGCTGCTCATCAGTTCGTGATATTAGGAACGCAGAAAGTGGACATAGATAATTCCCGCCAGATTTTTGTTGGATTTCCATTAGTTATTATGATTAACAGGGAATATAGCGATCATTAGACAAATAATTACTTAAATAGTCGATATAGAATTAATTAGCTTGCAGAATCCGAAAACAGGATATAACATTGACCGTTTAGGTCGAATTGGCAATTTTAATAGAAAAATTGTTTTTTTCATGCCAATAGGGCTTTAATCTATAATTCTGTTAGTAGATTCCGACTCAGAATTTAATTTACTTTAATTTACCTACACTGAATTCAAAAATTCTAATAAGTACATAACCTAAATTTGCTGAAATAAAAAATATCATCATAAAAAAGGCAAAAGATAATCATATAAAATCAGCAATTCGTTGGTTGCTATCGGTTTTAGTTTAATAGATAGTAATTATTGAAAATCCTCGAAAAAAATTTACAACCCCCTTGGCAATTTTTTCTTAAGAATTAAAATTTCATCTCTCAGATTTTCCTTTTAACTAGCCTATCTTATAGAGAAAGGTCCGTAGATTAAGACGCTACGATGCGATTCAATTTATCTCTTTTAGTTTACGAGATATTCGCGATTGAATAAAATGGGCAAAAATTGATAAATGTCACTTTTTAGCACTTTTAGTCGCGTTTTTCGACCTTTTACTCTTAGAAATATAGTTATTTTATATTTTTATCTGATAGAGAATCGTCCAATCTTTCATAATCAACAATTCGTTGGTAGCTATCTCTTTTAGTTTAAGAGATATGAATTTTTGAAAATCGTCGAAAAAAAGTATCAAGCACCCCCCCTTGGCAATTTTTTCTTAAGACTTAAAATTTATTCTCTCAGATTTCCCTTTTAACTATCCTATCTGATAGAGATTAGTCCGTAGATTAAGACGCTGCGATCAGATCCTATTTATCTCTTTTAGTTTACGAGATATTCGCGATTGAATAAAATGGGCAAAAATTGCAAAATGTCAGTTTTTAGCACTTTTAGTCGCGTTTTTCGACCTTTTACTCTTAGAAATATAGTTATTTTATATTTTTATCTGATAGAGAATCTTCCAATCTTTCATAATCAACAATTCGTTGGTAGCTATCTCTTTTAGTTTAAGAGATATGAATTTTTGAAAATCGTCGAAAAAAAGTATCAAGCACCCCCCCTTGGCAATTTTTTCTTAAGACTTAAAATTTTATCTCTCAGATTTCGGGTTTAACTATCCTATCTGATAGAGATTGGTCCGTAGATTAAGACGCTGCGATCAGATCTTATTTATCTCTTTTAGTTTACGAGATATTCGCGATTGAATAAAATGGGCAAAAATTGCAAAATGTCACTTTTTAGCACTTTTAGTCGCGTTTTTCGACCTTTTACTCTTAGAAATATAGTTATTTTATATTTTTATCTGATAGAGAATCTTCCAATCTTTCATAATCAACAATTCGTTGGTAGCTATCTCTTTTAGTTTAAGAGATATGAATTTTTGAAAATCGTCGAAAAAAAGTATCAAGCACCCCCCCTTGGCAATTTTTTCTTAAGACTTAAAATTTATTCTCTCAGATTTCCCTTTTAACTATCCTATCTGATAGAGATTAGTCCGTAGATTAAGACGCTGCGATCAGATCCTATTTATCTCTTTTAGTTTACGAGATATTCGCGATTGAATAAAATGGGCAAAAATTGCAAAATGTCAGTTTTTAGCACTTTTAGTCGCGTTTTTCGACCTTTTACTCTTAGAAATATAGTTATTTTATATTTTTATCTGATAGAGAATCTTCCAATCTTTCATAATCAACAATTCGTTGGTAGCTATCTCTTTTAGTTTAAGAGATATGAATTTTTGAAAATCGTCGAAAAAAAGTATCAAGCACCCCCCCTTGGCAATTTTTTCTTAAGACTTAAAATTTTATCTCTCAGATTTCCCTTTTAACTATCCTATCTGATAGAGATTGGTCCGTAGATTAAGACGCTGCGATCAGATCTTATTTATCTCTTTTAGTTTACGAGATATTCGCGATTGAATAAAATGGGCAAAAATTGCAAAATGTCAGTTTTTAGCACTTTTAGTCGCGTTTTTCGACCTTTTACTCTTAGAAATATAGTTATTTTATATTTTTATCTGATAGAGAATCTTCCAATCTTTCATAATCAACAATTCGTTGGTAGCTATCTCTTTTAGTTTAAGAGATATGAATTTTTGAAAATCGTCGAAAAAAAGTATCAAGCAACCCCCCCTTGGCAATTTTTTCTTAAGACTTAAAATTTATTCTCTCAGATTTTCCTTTTAACTATCCTATCTGATAGAGATTAGTCCGTAGATTAAGACGCTGCGATCAGATCCTATTTATCTCTTTTAGTTTACGAGATATTCGCGATTGAATAAAATGGGCAAAAATTGCAAACTGTCAGTTTTTAGCACTTTTAGTCGCGTTTTTCGACCTTTTACTCTTAGAAATATAGTTATTTTATATTTTTATCTGATAGAGAATCTTCCAATCTTTCATAATCAACAATTCGTTGGTAGCTATCTCTTTTAGTTTAAGAGATATGAATTTTTGAAAATCGTCGAAAAAAAGTATCAAGCACCCCCTTGGCAATTTTTCTTAAGACTTAAAATTTTATCTCTCAGATTTCCTTTTAACTATCCTATCTGATAGAGATTGGTCCGTAGATTAAGACGCTGCGATCAGATCTTATTTATCTCTTTTAGTTTACGAGATATTCGCGATTGAATAAAATGGGCAAAAATTGCAAAATGTCAGTTTTTAGCACTTTTAGTCGCGGTTTTCGACCTTTTACTCTTAGAAATATAGTTATTTTATATTTTTATCTGATAGAGAATCGTCCAATCTTTCATAATCAACAATTCGTTGGTAGCTATCTCTTTTAGTTTAAGAGATATGAATTTTTGAAAATCGTCGAAAAA